ATTTTAATTTTGAGAATTTTCTGCGTAATTTTTTATCCGGTAAGCACTTTGACACGTTACTTCGCACCGCCGTGTGCGCGTGCCAATGTCTGAAAGTTGAACGGGCAGGATAAATAGCATAGCGGTTTAATCCTGATGTTTGAGACACTCGTGTATAAACTCGTATTAAATGCGTATTAAATTAGCGCGTATTAGTGTCTAGTGACTGCGTATAAACGCGGTGAAAACATTTTAAATATGTTACATTATAATACACTGTACTCGTACGTAATATAACGCGTGTATGTGTAATACAATTTGTTTTAACGCGTTTTCGCGCAAGAATCCTTTTTTCGATCCGAGCAGAGTTTTTAGCGTTACTTACACATTCGTATGTTTCTTTGCGTTTTGTATAAAATATAATAAATAATGTTTTTTCAACTATACACGTATATAGGGTTTAGTCGCCACTTGCTGCCGGTATCCCCGCTACGGGCCACTACTCATTTGTAATTTATTCTTAATAGCGTAATATTTTTTGTAATTTAATATTCTGTTACCGTTGTGTTGGTCTACGTCGTAAATTTACTTACTGGACGACAACGATTATTACAAACGCATAAATAGCACAGGACGGCCGTGGAACGGGATAATGCGATTTCGCAATATTAATACTTACTATTAATTTTTCATTCCGTAACGTTCTTATAAGGACTTTGAAATTCAAACTACGTATCGGAAAATTTATAATGCATTTATTGTTTAATTTTTTATTTTTTTTTTTTTTTTTTTTTTCAATAACAATAGACGGATCAAATAGAATATTAATAGAAAAACGTTCCACGCAAAAATATCCACCCTACTCGCAGATTATACAGAAATTTCCCTTCGTCTTATTAATTATTTTACTTAACTGTGTTCTATACTAGCTAAATTGAAATTCATTCAATATACCTCGATAACGCCATTTCTATCCGCACTATCGTACGCCTTTTGAAAATCTACACACGGTTCCTTATCGTATTCCAAGCTTTTTTGGAACAGCTGTCTTAATTGTTTCGTCTGAATCCGCATTGATAACTCCCGAAACATTTTCCACCAGCGTCTATCCAGAATACAATAAGATAACACCTCGTACGTTGTACCCGACCACGCTATACGCTCCTATAGTTACTACCTACATAATTGTTTGTCGTTATTTTTGTGTATCCTCTGGTTAGGTTTCCTTATACCACACTTCCTTTATTAATGATTCTCTGTCATAGAACTGTCTGTACATTATACTTTAGTATTTGCCCCCAAAATCCGTCTTCGCCCGGCGATTCGTGGTGTTTGAGTCTTTTAATCGATAATTAAATGTGACTGGGCAGGGCCAGTGTCGGCGCTAGCGGAGGATAAATAGGACACACGTCCAGGGCCACACGCTCATTTCCGTTTAAATGGGCCCCGCGGTTTATTATTATATAGGTGTACAGTCATTAATTATACTAAAGTCACCACTATACTGAAGCATTGTCCAGGGCCCCGCAAAACCTAGCGCCGCCACTGGGCAGGGCTCGTGGTTGAGTTCGTCGAGCAAATGTTTCCACCGACCCTTCAAATCGTTCAAAGTTTACTGGCCATTTTTCTACGTTATTTTTCTGCGTTTTCACCGGGTTTTCCCGTCATAATTTTTCTAAATTTTTCCTATTCCCCCGTATCTGCCAAACAAACACATTTACTTTGCGTTATAACTGTCGGGTTATGCGTGCTGTTATGTATAATACGGTTTTACTTTTTTTATAATATTCCGTACGTATTTTCTCTTCTCGCTTCTTATAATATTACGAGCTTCTTTTCTGCTTATTCCGTTAACCCTGCGATAATCCCGCAATCTGAACGACTACTCCGACCGATTAAGGTCAAGGTAGGGCTACTGCAATGGGCCCGAAACCCGTCGGGCGACGGAGACGCCACTTTCGGGCAGCGGGAATTATTAACACAACTATAAGGCGAATAAAAATTAAAAAAATGACTTTCTCCGCGAACCAACTAGACGCGATAATTTACTAGAGGTACAGGAAACCGCACGTGACGTTTTGCAGATGATCGCAACAAAATTACTCGTATAAAAATCAACAGCAATCAGAAAAAAAAAACAACGATAGTGATAATAAACGCACGCATATCCTGTGGGTAATAAAACCAATTATCCGATCCTCAGTTACGTTCAGAAAATCGAAATCGAAAACGCAACATGTTAGATCGATTTCGAAAGTTTTTTTATTTTAAAAAAACGTCTCGTCGGGTTCGGTTCGAAATTAAAAATCAGGGTACGTTACTGTATAATGATAATTAGTACGTATGTATGTCATTCGGGCAATCGGTCAGATCGAACGGCATCCGCACTGCTAGTGTCCGGTAGGTAGGTAATTTATTGTGTACAAATTTTGACGGATCGGTTTCGGGAGCGGAAAAATATTTCGCGTGTGCGTAAAACCGACGCGCGTTATTAGCGATGGGGTGGTGTCGGGATGATAATTATTATGCGGTTGTAAAATCGACTGCGAAAATCGACCGACGGAAATTTAATGAAAATTCGACATAAAAAAAACTTCATCGAACCTTTTTTTTTTTTCTTTCTACTTAGCGCACGTGGGATTGATACGATAATAATAAACGTCGTTTATATAATATTGCGGATACCAGTGCGAGAGGAAATCCGACGATAATGACGTGGATTTTTAGTGACGACAAAAACTAAAAGCCAGCAAGAGGCCACGCGTGATTGTACAGGCAGTGGCGGCGGACGCGTTGGCGGCGTACGAGATCGAAAATACGGCGGCGGCGGCGTCGGCGGCGGGCGCGCGCAAAAGGTCGTCGTTTTCCCAGGTCGCGTCGCGGAAAATCCCCACGAGTCGACCGCCGCCGCCGGCAGCAGCAGTGCCATTCGATCCGCGACCGTCACACGTGCGCCGCACTTTCGAGTCGCGCTACAGCAGTGAAACGCGTCATGTTCGAAATCGGTGGCCCAGCACGCCGTGTTCGCAGCCGCAGTACAAGTGGTCCGAAGGCCCGTCGTTAGGGGGCGCACATGGGCCCTGCCGGTCCGGCAGTCACCGCAGTTCGCGTCGAATTCACGACGCCACCGCCGCCGGTAAGTGGTAATAACGCACGAAACGCATAAAACGCCGATATTATACACGCAGGTATACATTACGGATTTATTATATTTTATCCGATACGTTGTAACAACAATCGTTCGTTTACTTTTTATTATTATTATTTATTATTGTTTTCTTTAACGTCCCGCCTGTTCCGTTCGCCGCATCGGTTTAACGCATCGCGAACGCACTGCGAAACGGTTATTCGCGCGGGTGTGGTGTAAACGGTGCCCGGAAAACACGGATGTGTAAATCGGCCGTTTCGCGAAACCGCCGATTATTACGTATGCGCTATACGGTATAAAAATATTACCTCGGCAGACCTCGGGAGACGGCCGTAGGTACACCGTGACACTGTTACGGCGGCGGCGTTCTAGGCTCCCGCGTCCCGGTCATTGGGCACGGCGCGGCGTCGGGACGTCACGGGGCTATCTGATTTGGCGAAAAGTCAACGTACAAAACTGTACGTATTATCCCGGGACGTCAGCCGCGGCCGCCCCCCCGGTCTATTAATAGGTGACGTTACGCGCGTCCGCATAACGTTATAACGGTAACGATAATATTATTATAACGACGTGCAACGATACACCGTAATAATATAACCGGTACCGAGAATAACGGGTACGAGCGCCCACCGCGATAATGTCGCTATCGTTTTTATTGCGACGCGTCGGCGGCGGCGGCGATAACGATCGGCACGCCGTAGCCGCCGACGTGTGTAGATACACGGCGATTATACACAATGACCGCGAGACGACGACGCGCACACACGTTTTCGCTAATACACGATCGGCGACGGGAGCCTATCGGCGCGCTTTATTGGTCGGCGGGGGGGGAGGGGGAGGGCGATGAGACGGGAAAAAAGGGACCGCGGTGATGCGAACAGTCAGCAGATTTTCGCGTGCCCCTTTTCGCCGGCGTGCGCGCGAACGAGCGAACGAGCGCGGAGATGCCCCGCGGCCGGGTGGGCGGACGGTCCGCCGGGCCGGGAAACGGTCGCGCGCGTATATATCCGCGACAGCCGAGCGCACGCGGTATATTATTATGTGGGTCAAACGCTCGGCTGTATCGCGCGCGGCGGCCCCGGTACACACGCCCGCAGAGTCCCCGGCGCCGTACCGCACTACAATAATATTATTACACCGACCGTACACAACTATAATACCGCCACTGCCGTGCCGCTACCGCTACAAACACCGCTGCCGTCGCGCTGTACGCGCGCGATACGCGGTGTGCGCGCGGGGCGCCGAACATGTGTCGCGTTCTCGTCTCACCGCGCGGGACCGCGTCGCGCCGGGACGACAGGGCGGATCAGCCGATTTACAATAGCTTTTCCCACCTCGTCCCGCCGCCGGCGCCGCGTTGTCCCGCGATACAATGAAATACCACGGACGATTACGTGTGCGCGCGTATCACACAGTACGGCCGCCGGCCAATAACAATTACGCGTAACAATAACAGTGATAATAATGCGACGCGCGTATCGTCGCGTCTCCGGGGGAATGACGGCGGCGAGTGGAAAACAGATTTCTCGCGAGGTCCCATTAATAATAATCTCTTTTCCGCGGGCCGCCCCGAATGACAAATGCCGCGCTCGCGTTTTGACACCTGTAAAACTCGCGACACGGTTCCGTTTCACGTCGGTCGCCGCGCCGCGGTTAAACGTCCCGCGCCGTGCGGTAATGTATTACCGTCCGGATGCCGGAAATGTAACCGGCGGCGGCGGCGGCGGCGCGAGTGCCGTTCGAAGACGCCGCCTACCCGTACGCTCGTGTGATTATAATATGCCTGCAATAACTGAACGCTTGAACGCGACGTGTGTGCTTTCAGATAACCGTCCGGTCCGCGCCGCACAGCACAGTACCGTAGGCGGCCATCATGACGACCGGCCCGGCGGCCGCCGTGATGTCGATATTGATCTGCTGCTGCGCCGTCATCGGGCCGACGCTGTCCTGCCGCATATCGGAATTCGCGTGCAAGACGGCCGGCGGCGGATGCGTCCGGCTGGACGAATACTGCGACGGCAAGTACGACTGTCCCGACCAGTCCGACGAACCGCCTTCCTGCACCGGTACGGATCACACTCTCTTTCTCACCCGCCCTCTCGGGACACGGTCTTTGTTAGCTTTCAAACACTCGGTCGTCACGCGACACCCGAATATTACGTCGCGGCGGCATTTGCCGTCCGCCGCGACGTTTGCTGTTGTTCGCCACTCGCCAAACATTTTTTTTTTTTTTTTCATACTGTTTATTGTATTTTTTTTTTCCTCTTGTTATATAAAACGGACGGAATGATTGAACGATAGTCCTTATCGGTAAATTACTAGTAACCGAAAACATTAATCGTAGTTGTCGGTCGTTTGCCGATTCCGGTCGTCGTTAAGTGCTCTCAGCCATCAAATAATAATACACAGCATACTGTGCGGCCAAAACGGTTTGTTCGCCGAACTAGCAGTAACCAAGTCACTCGAAACCGCATCGTCAAAACACGCCCAATGACAGAACACCGCGGTTATAACGTTTCGAAGACGTTCGTCGGAACATTAGACGTGTTGATGCGTGATGCAGTTTCCAGCGACCTGGTTCCTCCAGTGCGGCGATTCTCAACGCGGAGGGTACGCGGGCCCCTGTAGGGTGTTGCGAAAAAAAATAACGTTACGGCGGGAATAGTGAAATTTGTTGTATCTGATCGAAACGGCTCGTTATTCGTGAAATATTCAGAGGTCAAGGGTTACGCGAACGGGGAAATGGTTGGGAAACGCTCCACTAGTGGAACAAACCATTTTGACGGTGGTGGTTGCCTGTACTGCGTGCAATCGTTTGATAGCCAAACGCACTTTTCGACAACCAGTTTGCCGGGATCGTCAAACAATTAAAACCATCTTCGGTTACTGCAGCTGGTAAACGGGTAAACAAACCGTGTTGGCGGTTTTGGCGGAACAGCAACAACGGCAAACAATACAGCGAACTGTTTACCGAAAACCGCGTCTCCATAACACGCCTGTTATTAATTTGAAACGAGACTTGCAAACAGATCGCTGCATTTATTTAAAAAAAAAAAAACACATATAAAACACGACCGTTTGTAGCTTATTAATCGAATATTTTTGAGAACCGTAAGGACTGCGACGATACTCTCTTCAAAACGCCGTCGTTTATACATTTTAAGATCTATATTTTTTTTCGAATACCAATTTTAAAGGCTTTTTCGTTCGTTTTACACGGACGCGTTCGCCATATCGGCCGTTAGACGGGCGGCGACTGTAAATGCCACTGTGACCGTCTGCACCGCCTGAGCACAGTGCTCACGTTGAATAATTCGTACTCGGACGGTAACCGAACGTTAACGCGGCACGTGATCGTGAACCGGGTCAAATCTCCACCCGTACATTTGATTAGGGAAACGACAATATTTAACACGACCTCAAATATCCCGCAAATCGGCGGGCTCGTGTGGGAACTCAATCGAAAGTAAACTCCGGTTCGATAGGCACGATCGGACAGGAGAACAATTATTTCGTTTCTCCCGTGGATTTCCGCTCTCTCGCTATCGCGGGAGGCGAACCCAACGTCCGGTCTGTGACGCTCAAACTGTTCACACGTACGTATAGGATCGCGATGTTTCGTTCACGGTGTTCGTCCCGAATATGATCGGACGAGCACACTTTGCTATACGGAAAATAGCAATATAACACCCGTGGGCGGGGGGGCTGTGCTGGAAAACGAGAACGGTGAAAGCGAATGAGATGAGACGAACTATTTTTTTTTTTTTTTTTTTTATATGATTGTATATGTGAAAAATGTATGAGACGACTGAGACGAGTTTGACGAGAAATCCGGGTGTTCTGGGAAAATGAATCGTACGATATTTTACTAAAACTATGTAGGTATTGAAATTCCCGAAAATTCCCGCATTTTTTTTTTCTTTTTATAATATACCGTTCGGCGTATAAAATGGCGCCTAATGTAGTTTGTCGTCGTTGAAAAACAGATATTCGTAATTTTATCTGCCGGGACGTTTGTATTGGACTGCTGAAACGGAAAATATTTCACGAACGGATCGGAAGGGAACGATTAGATTTGAATGTGAAACCGATAACAATTTGCATCCGAATCACCCGGGAGATACAGAATCCATCCGAACGAATGTGACGAAACTCCGCGGGTTCGCGTTACGTCTTACCAGTGGCGGTTATAACTGACTTTTAAAGGGGGGGGGCGAAAATGACAAACAAAAAATCATAGGGCAAGGTTCACAATGGCATTGATAAATCGATTCACAATCAATAATAATCATTATTGTGATTAACATTAATTCAGTTATTTATTATAAAAAAAAAAGTCCAATGGGGCGATCCACCTATCGTCCTCCCTTATAACCGCCACTGCGTCTTAGCTATACGCGGTTCGGTACGCTGCAGGACTGTATCGTATGTCGTTTCGAAGAGGGTTTTTTGCGAAATCGGAAATCGGTCGGGGCATTCCGGGGCCAAATACATAAAAAAAAATAATAATAATAATAATAATAATAAAAAAAAACGGCGAACGGCTTTAATCCTGCCGGCCGTCGTCCTACACGTACACCGCCGCCGTATAATACCTATACGGTGAAATAACGCGGGAAATAAAATACCACGTCGTAAAACCCCAACCGGTATAAAAAAAAATTATACGTTCGAATAAATCGTCGTTAAAACCAAAATACGCGTTTTATACGACCGCTTGCGTCCTGTAAACGAGGTGCCCACGAGCCTCCGCAACTATCCTCATACGTAACACTGTACCAATGGTTTTCAACCTGGACGGAGGGGGGGGGGGTAGCGGGCGACAGTTAGGACCATAAGGGACGGCCGAAAACCATAAGTATCACATATATACTGTATGCGTATAGTATTATTCGAGTTTTATTAAGAAGACGTTATACCCGCGCCGTGCTGCCTCTGTTCAACTAACCGTTGGGCCGTAAAGCAGAACCTAATTTAGAATAAAACCATCACTATTGTTTTTTTTTTTTTTTTTATTATTATTAAAGAGATTTTGACAGGGACATTATAATAAAGAACGTTGATGAGGGAAAATTTGGTACCGAGAGAGGAAAAAAAAGACTTCAACTGAATTCTTTTGAGTGAGAGAGAGAGAGAGAGAGAGAGATGGACAATTTAGGAACAGATGTTGGAAGTCGCAGTAATCCGCACCACAGTTCAGTAGGGGGCAATAGGGGCTATTGTTGAGTAAAAACGAATAACGATTCTGAGCAGAATTAAATTGATCGTGTTGCTTTGTCAACAATATATATATATATGTCATATTACGGTAAAATAATTACAATGTGCGTTTCCATGACAACAATAATTGTTTAAAAAAGATGAAAACAATAAAAACTTAATAATGAGAAAAAATAAATAAAAACGGCTGCCAATGACAATAACCTTATTTTAGAATTTTTTTTCCTGTGCACAACTTTTGCTCCAACTTTTAATTATAGCAATATTTTTAAAAGGAAATTTCGCTAGAGAGGTGCTTTAAAAAGGTTAATTTTCCATTTACCTAAGATTTTTCACAGCAAATGTGAAAAACAGGGATAAAATATGGGAAAACCAGAAAAAACAGGAAAACCGGGAAAATCAGTACAACATTAAACAAATGTTATTAAAGAAAATATATAAAACCTATTTAATTATTTCTCTATAAAACGACATATATATTGTTGACAAAGCTTCATTATCAACTGAACTCCGCTCAGAATCGTTTTTTCGTGACCTATGGCTTATCGTTGCTTACAGATATACATTGAATTCCCGTCTGTATCCTACCTTTCAAACTTCCAACAGTGGCTGCACCCAAGTGCTAAGTATGTCTGTCTTTTTGTTGATTTTTGGATTATCTTAACTACTCACACGGAGCCAAAAACACGCGACGTAGATATCACGGATTTCCGAGATCCACTCGAAATCTCATTTTAATTATAATGATTTGTTTCTATAAAATAAACTAAATTAGCTTCCATATAATATATCCTATATTATGTACCATCGAAATTTCCCACATATAACTGTAGCCTACCCATAGTACCCGTCCCTATTATCCTAAGACATCTTTTTTAACCTAAAGAACCAGGTTTTCCTCATTATCGCAAGAATTTCCAAAAATGACTTCTCTAAAATACCATCCATAAAACATTTCCTTTCAGAAAAGATGCTATACTTGATAATCGGAGTAAGCTTTTTGGTAGAAAAAGTGTTTATATAAAATAAAAATATAAAAAAAATAATAATAAACATCTTTGTAAAACCAATACATTTTCCGCTTAGCTCGAAATCTAAAAGAATCGCGTCGTCTTAACATTCGGAATATTGCCCTCTTTTATTTTTATTACAGGTGCTTTTATTCTAAAACCAAAATCAAGCAAGTTCTACGCAGTCTGCGTAAAGTATATTTTGCTATATTGCCCGTTAGTTGGACTAAGACAGCGAGTCATGCGGATATTGAACGGTTATACTTGATCGTTTTTTAAACGGGTCATCTTACACGGGAAAAAAAATTAGGGGGCCGCAGCCGTGGATCCAGAGGAGCCTTAGCTCCCTTTCTCTTGGGCTGTAATTATAGTATATTTAAAAATAATAAATTATATATTTGGAGTTTTAAACTATTATATATATATATATATATATTGTTCAAAAAATTAAAATTATATTTTATAACGATTCAGTGATAATCATTCCTATTATTTGTGTGGTTTTATAGAGCCACCTCCTCCCCCCCATTTGTGATTACTGGATCCGCGCCTGGGTGGTCGCGATTCGTCAAAATTCAAAAACCATCGGTGTAGATACGACCGCGATACAGATCGTAACAGCACAAAGATCTGACGCCTGAAATAACTTTTGTCCCGTTCAGTATTTATACAGGTTTTTTTCTCTCGAGATAATTACCGGCGCTCATGATTTCAATGCTTAAAATAAAAAACCTAAGCTTTAAAAAATATATACATGGCTTTACAAAATCCGAGACGAGATAATCTTGACGATAAAATACACAATTGAATACGCTCGATTGACTTTTTTTATTCCAACATGCCGTGTTTAATCATTGCTATCGAACGATTGATACGTGCGATACGCGGTATACTTTTTCATTAAAATTTTCATTAGATTACAACATTTGTTTTTATAAGGTTATACTGGCTGTAACACCAAGACTCGACACCTGAAACAACTGGTTATGGTTCCGCTCAGTATTTTAAACAAAATTGTTTTTCTTGTAACGATAACTAGAGCCTTGTGCTAAGATCCCGCCATTTTATAATGTTTTTCACAATTAATATTCAAAAATTGAATATACAAAATATAACATAGCCGTTTTATAATTATTTATTTCCAAACGAAACGTTGGTTGTTACAATTATTTACTAATGATAAATCGTTAACTTTTTACAAATTCGCTACAGTATTAATTACTTTTATTGCCACTACTGTAGAATAATATCAATCGATTCGCTAAATTGTCCATAAAACACAATTTTGTTAATGATTTTTGTAAACTTCAAAAGAAACTTAACGATTCATATTCATCATTAGTAAATATTTATACGGTGACTTTTGGATTTTGTAAAAACAATTTTTTATATTTAGTTTAAAAATAGACGGATATACTTCGCACGATGGGTGGGCCACTATTGTAGGTGAGAAGTTGGGAAGGTAAGATGGAGAGGAGGATTTAAGTTATATTTGTACGCAACGATTCATTTCAAATGTACATTAAATTCCCGTTTGTATCCTACCTTTCCAACTTCCCACCTACAAAAGTGGCTACATCCATGTGCGAAGTATGTACTTTCTTTTTTTTTTATTATTATTTTTTTTTTTTATTGATTCTCTTATTATTTAATATAACAAGAGCGATATTTTCTAAATTCCTCGGGATGACAAAATTCTTAGTCGGTACGCCCTTGGAATTTTCAGTCATTATATTGTAATAGGTCGTTTGATCGTGAACTTATTTACAATAAATTTCAAATTTGTATCACCATTCCTGCTGGGTACCGTAAACACATTATAGATACCTACTGTCTCAATATAACAACTCACGTTTTTATGGACTCGTTCAAAAAAATAATATGTGTCCATAAAATGATTTTGATGCGCATAAATAATATCGAATAAATTACGGTACGGTATATACAGAGAGAAGATCTGTATACACAAATTTCATTGCGACGTTATATATTTTAGAATAACATACCCTCATCGAATTCGGGATAGTAAAACAATTATGATAATGCGATCGTCAAATGATTAAATTAGTGTCCGAAACGATTCAAAATTAAATTTATTCGAAATCGTCGTAGATATTATATTGTTATAATATAATCATTATAGTTGATGAAAGAATCCCTCAGTAAAATAATGATACAATTAAAAACGTGTTACATATACGCGATCAAATACGCGGGGTGGCTTGTATCTATACAAAAAAAAGAAACTCTGGACTTACAAAACACAGTCCGAACCATCTCTGGTCTAGAAATTTGAAATTTTGCACTGAGGTTCCGTAGGATGCGGTGTAGGCGACCGCTAAGAAAGGATTTTTCAAAACTCGACCCTTAAATAATGGCTGACACAAGATCTTTGATATTTTTGGAACGAAAATTGAATATATCTACTTTCTATTTCTTTGTTTTCTTTTTTTAGATCCTGAGTGACGTGAAGAATATTGGTTTTACTAAGTGTATAATTTTTTTCTGTCTGTAAACAAATTGTCTACTAAAAATCTTGCTCCAATCAAAATATGACAAATGACCTTTTTTGTTTTATTTTGGCTCTAGTTGAAACGTTGAAAAGATCAGTTTTTTGAAATTCTTATTCATATTCGAAATAATGAGGATAAATACTGATTATTTTGGTTAGAAAAGATTTATAGATTAAAACCAATGCAACCGTTCTTATTTATTTATTAGCATTAAGTTTCTATTGTTCTAATCTATATTATTAAACAATCGTTTTCGTCGTGAAAACACACATTGTTCTTTTCTATTATTCCTTTTATTTTAGATTTTTTTTTTTTCTTCACTCAAAATCGTTCTTCGTTAGCGATGTTTTATCGTAAATTTTAAGGTATCTCTCGTCTTTCCAATTGCCCACCTACAACAGTAGCCGCACCCGTCCCCAGCTATGTTTTTGATTTACATTGGCGACGCAAGCGTGGACAAAACAATCGTTCTTTTTATCAGTTTGATTCGGTGTCGCGGGCAAGGAAATACATTTTGAAAACGGAAATTCCCGTTGACCGCGGCGGGAAAGCGCGTTATTATTTGAAAAAAATAAAAAATCGTTTCCGTTTAACACCGACGTGGACAATTAAAACCGCCGAGTATTTAGGCTTATACTTCATTATTATTTTTATTGATATTATTATAATAATGATAATATAGTTTGTTTGCCAATATAACATTATACTGCCAGTTGACAAAAGAAATATACATAAACAATATGGTACAAAACAATCATAATTAACAACATATATTATATACTGACTCACTTCTAAAAAGCTAAAAGCTTGTGATGAGAAGTGATAATTACTCATTATATTATAAACCTATACAAAATTGATTGTTACGTTCACGGTGGCCGCAAACAGACATTAATTAAATAACCGGAAAAAAAATAAATAAAACATTTACGAAGCATAACTAGGTGTAACATTTTTAAACTGATTATGTATAATGTGTCACTTTAAAGAGTTAATATTATTAAAATTAAAAAGATTTTGATTTAGTTTACCGCACAACAATGTGAACATATTTTGTAAATAGGACTCTAAGAGGTTACAGTCTTAAAAATTGAATAGAATTAAGATTAGATTGACATTTCGTTCGGGTATTATAATTACACGCTCAATAGACTTCAAACAATGTTTATATTTATGCACGAGCAAAAGCAAAAGATTTATAACATAAAGCAAATACAGGCACTGGGACTGGACATCAAAGTCAATGCACAACTTGTATGTTTGACATAAAAAATGTCATTATTATTATTAATATCGTTGTTATTATACGCGACACGCGGCTCGGATATGAGAAAAAAAAAATTAATAAATCCCGTCCGCCCGAGCATTTTACTCGCTGGCGCTGGTAATTCGCGGACGATAGTTATCATCGGTAATAGAACGGTAATTGGACGATAACAGGACGCGACGACGACGACGACGATCGAAATTGTTTACGTTTTCCCAATTAAAACCCCGTTTTCGACTCCGAAACGGCGCGGATCGCGTGCAAACGGCCCCGTTTATGGATTTTATATCTGGATTTCACGACCACTTAACGGACGGTGTACGCGGCCGTAACAAACGGTCGTTGGAAACACCTATAAATGCCCGACATTATACGCGCGGAAATCGGCGAGCCGCGGCAATTCGCGCGCGATGGAAATCGGTAAAAGAGCGTCGATAACGAATAACAATTTACAAAAGGTTGACGTAATAAAATATGTTTTATTTAATACCGGGACGTTCGCCGTCTCTTATTTCTTCTTGTTCCCGGCGGGCAATACAGCGAGAAAATAAAATATTATACATCGTCCGTTAAAAAGACAGAGACGGTAAATTCAACCGTGACGGCCGTGTATACGGTCAAGTCGACACCGGCAAAGTCTTGGCGAATTCTGGGTGAAATTTTTAAATTTTCCGAAAATTCGCCGATAGCCGCCAACTTAGCGTCCATAATATGACGGACCCCTGATATTTAAATTTTCCATCCATTTATATCTGTTGGATTTCATAACGTTCTATAAAATCTTTTCGATTTAATTTATATTGTGTGGAAATTGTGACTTTTTTTGTTACCTCGGCAGTTCTACTAAAGAAATCTCGAAAACGGAGTTATAGCCATTTTAATTTCTAGAAAATTTGCGTGAAAATAATTAATTTTCAATAGAATAGCACATTCCGCGATAAAGAATCACAGTCAGCGCGGTAATTCCTTACTTTCGATTAAATACTAATTGCTTTCGCTCCTTTTTTCTATACATTAAAGTCACTATATTTTTGATTTTCTTGATTTTTCAGTTACAATTTTTTAATATAAACCATTGGAAATGTGAAATTTCTCTGTCAGCTAATAGGTTCTGCCATCGCAACAAAATAAAAAAAATCCTCTTTTGTCCCTAAAAAGCTCTTCTTTTGAATTCGTGACAAAATATAAAAACATAGAGCACATCAAAACGAAAAAAATTGTAGAGAATTTACAATAATACAGATGTGTACTGGATAAATCACAGAAGCAAATGATATGTCTATCCTACTGCTTTTCGATGCTCTGTTGAGCGTTGGTACACAGTACAAACGGTCTCGGAAATTTTTTATCGCACCACGTAAATTGATAAGGACACTTTCCTAGATTATTGGACGAACGCTCCAATGTCCCACCCCCACCCCCCTTATCTACACCCATGGCTCGAGCGAAAACGTATTCACTAATTAATCACCTTCTATATAATATACAAATTTTTGGCTCACAAGTGTGTATGTGTGTGTGTGTGTATGTTATAAATGTAAATACAACACATGTATATTATTGAAAAACCCGGAGCCTTACAAACACAAGAGATTTTCGAAAACTTATACGATCCGGAAAACACCGTGAACTGCAGAAAAAGGTACTACGGGTTTTTTTTTTTTTTTTTTTTTTTGTTTTTGATAAAAGTGCTCTCGAGATTACTGCAGAGATACCTACGCGTATATAGAAACCGTGTGTGCTGCAGTGCGAACTACATCGCTCATCAATCTTATTTGCGGGACTCCGCTTTTTTTTTTTCTCGACTGTCTGCTGTAATACACATCTCCCGTTTATACCGTCTAATTGGTCGTCGACTCGTTCACTATAATATATATAGACAACCCTGCATGAATATAGACTTAAAAACACACGTACGCGTTTAATCACCGAATCCTCGTGCCTCTTAATTCTCCGATATTCGAACGCCGTCACGTCGGTTACAAACGCATTTAAAACCTACCCATCAAATTATATAGTGATCGAATTTAGCGGAGTATCTTTGATTTTATTTTTTTTTTTTTTTCCCATAACGATAGTAATATTCTTTCGTTAAGTTTAACTCCGCCGAAAGCCCAAAAAATGAAAACGCCATATAGTTTTTTTTACTATTTATAATGTTAAACTTTCCACAGATTCTTATACGCTATATCATAATAAATTTTTATATCTTTCTAGTTTTATATTGTGTATTGTATTTTGTGGTAGATTTTTTTTAGTGTCTTGCCCGACCTTACTTAAAATTGTATTATTATGCATTTTTAATTTTTAAATTTACTTTATATTCAGGGTGGTAGAATATGTACGTATGCTATGTATTCGAAATTAAATTTAGAAAATTATTAAAATTACTTTTTGATGATACGGCTTCTAAACTGAAAACCGTCTAACCTTCCCCACGAATTTGAGTACTGTTAATATGAATAATAATAATCAATGGCGTATAAATATATACGGGGTGAATTTTTAAGCTTTCTCATCTCACTCTTATGATTGAACTATGCATTTAGTCAAATTCTGGTTTTTGGAATTTTCAAGTGTAGTCAAAAACGATATTTTCGAAAACTTAGATTTTTCACGACATTTATGGAGTATCCTGTTTTAATGCCAAGTTCGAATCGAACAATTTTACTGAAAATGTGTACGAGTATTGCTGTACGAAAATGTCGTCTTTGACTTACGCTTAAAATGTCTAAATGACAAAAATTTGAACACCTACCCGTACAAGTCAGCCGTAATTCGACAATAAAATTATGATCAAATCATTGCCCTATGAATGGGTGGGATCGCAATACGTACGCCGTCGTGCATGTAAGTGTTCAAAATTGCAAGGAAATTTCCGAAATTGTAATATACATGTAAATTGTGCGACCGTAACCTCAATTGTCGGAGGGGAGAGCGATTGTAACAACCCCCCCCAGCTCCCCGCTCCGGGCGCGACGCCGTCCGTGTAAAATAAACATTCGGCTGCCTAAGCCCACCTCTATAATTATTGAATATTTACAAAGCGCGCGCGTATTATACGCAATAAAAAAAAAAATATATTATTATTATTATATTTCAGCGTGCAATAGGACTTATTACGGCGAAGTGGGAAATTCGTACAGGCTGACTGTGAAGAAACAACAAAAAGAAAGACCGTTCCTGTGCCACTTGAGTTTCACCGCTAGCGGACAAGAACACGGTGACTTTGTCCAAGTAAGTACATACTGTATGAATAGGTATTCATGTACGTATAAATTATTTGTAAAATAAAAAAACACGAGTTCGTTAAACTTGTTTGAGTATACATTTTTGTGACGGTATTATGCCTAAAGAAAGTATATTATAACGAATTTCGTGGTTTTTTTTTTTTTTTCGAAGGGCTCGACATAACACGCACAGCAGCGTCGCGAAACAGACGATACGTATACGTACATTAATTGCTCGCGAATAATATTAAAATTATGTAGCCTTTTATTCGATTCTGATAAAAAAAAAAAAATGTCTATACAGGATACGTTTTTTTTTTTTTCTTTTAATGTGCGCCAAGCTTTTGATAATATTATGCGGGAACGAATTCTTAACCAGACAAAAGTTCGTAATATCATCTTGTCCCTAGTATATTTTTTTTATTTTTCTGTCAAACTTTCCCCGAAAACAGAGACTATTGCACGCTGTATTGTTGCGTCTTTTTATATTTTTCCCGTTACTTTTGGACGCTTTTTGCGGTTCCTTCCGGCCCAAACGATAAGCACAGACTCGAAAATTAGAAATTTTTCACTACAGACTGATTTTGAACTGATAAAAGTTGCGGAAAGATGGTGTTCGAAACTTAAACAAACCCCTATAGAGCCTACAAATGAAGCCAAGGATTACAAGGTGGCATTTTGTATATTACGCATGGCGTTATCAAATAAGTATGTGTCTTTTGGACATTTCAAATTTCAGCCAACAATCCGACCAATTTTATGATCAAATTTCATCTTTTTTTTTTTTATTTTGGAATTTGTACAATTATTGTAGTAGGAATAGTATTGTATTATACTATAGTATTCGTTTTTTATTTAATGACTTGTTGCAAACAACGACAGCAAACAATTTCTTCTATAGTGTAAAATGTGTGCAAAGAAATTCAACTCTATAATATAATAGTCACGAAATTCCGCTGCTCCCGAATATTTTTATACAGTTTTACAGTAACTTTTTACAATAATTTCAGTCAAATAACGAACATTTGCGCGAATTTCTTTTCGGTTTTTTTTTTTTAACCTTCGCTTTTGTTAAAAATGAATAAATTTGTATTGCCGGAATTAATACGCGTGCAAAATAATCAGAGTTTATTCAAAAATAAATAAAAAAAAAATATTTTAAACGTTTTCGTTGTGTTTTTTAATTTTTATAGTATACATTTTTCATGAACTATTATTATAATTCTTCCATTCTACACTGATTTCTCTCCCCCGAGTTTACACACCACAGCCTGGGCGAAGAAAGGGGGGAGGGAAAAGGACGAGGTTCAGGGGTTCATCGTCACGGCCGCTCTCCTCCCAGCCGATCCGTGAAACACGTTTTCCGGTATAGACGGAGAAATGACGGCGATAAAAAAAAAAAATAATAATAATAATAATAATAATAAAAGCCAATATTATTTTTAATTTAATAATAAAAAATGTGTTCCGCCGGAGTACGTATTATTGAATATCGTAACGTCCGAAAAACAAAATCGACACAGTAGGTTTACTATTTGTTTTGAATTACAGTTCCAGTCGATTTTATTAGCCACGGCAGCCCCCCCCCCAAAAAAAAAGAAAAAATAAATAAACCCATCGCCCCTTCCAGTTTGTAACAGTTACATTTACGATCTTCTATGCTACAATATATTATGGAGTCGACGATAGTGATAAATAAATTACGACGGGCTTTAATAAAATAAATTATATTCTACAACGCAGGCCGATACTTAAACTTTAAACCGAGTAAATTTTATTAAAATAATATGCGGCGTAAACGAAGTAAAATAATAAACTCAATTAAAATTTTTATTTTTTTTTTTTAACTACGATAATTCGATCAAACGTCGGCCAACTATACCTGCAGTGTGAACGGCGAAGTTCAACGTATAAATTATACAGGTCGGTATACTTATACATGAGTTCCATAGGTACAAGGACTGTAACTTTTTGAGTTTAATGCGTTTACGTAGTTTTTTTTTTTACATAGCGTCGTTTGAGAAAACGGATTCGATCAACATTTGTTTTGTGATGTTGTGTGTATAACTGGATTACAAAATCGTGTGTTACATAGTAATTTTGAATGTTTAATGCCAGTAGGTTCATTATGATTCGCGTTTTCACAATTTCTGCGCATCAATAATTTTTTTTTTTTTTTCTTAATAATTATAATATGTTTTTTCAGACAATCTCATCTACATAATTGACATCGAATGTTTTCTATTTGAAATATAACTTTTATAGTTTCGAAGAAACTTTTCTGTTTTTAATCAGATATTTAAATAGTTCATATTCAAATAGGTACGCTGAACATTGCTCAATTCAAATATTATAATATTGTATCGAGCATTTGTGCCTATAGTATTTTAGACTTCGATAAATAATTTAAAATGTTTAAAACATTTATTACAATTATTAATATTAAAGATCATAAAATTCAAAAATTCTTAATAAATACGTATAGGTGTATTAAAAAAAAATTATTAAAACAAAACTTAAAATTGTGCTTTTTTCACATATTTTCGCATAAAAGTTGACGAATGTCTTTTTTTAGATTCTGAGCGAAGTGTGATGGGTTTTTTTTTCTGTGAACAACTTTTTTACCAAAAATCTTGTCCTGATTTTCAAGTGTAACACTTTTTCTAGAAGAAAATGTTTTCTGGGTAATACTTAAAGGGGTAATACTTAAACCTGAGGGGTTTTTATAATAATTGGGAAAACCCGTAGGAAAAAAGGGAAAATGTACGAAATTTTATTTTCAATTTTGTTTTTTATTGTTTTGATTCAGTTAAAAATATTCATAGACTTTAAATTTGCACAGACATTTAATATTTGCATTTTATAGACGTGGTAAAATTTTCAAAACATTTTTGCCATTTTCGAGCTATTAATAGACATTTTAATTTTGCGAGATTTTTTCGTAATTTTTATTCGGTTGGTATACTCTGTGGATAAAACTGTTAGACAGCAGAAATGCTTGAAAATTTAATTGGAGTATGTAATAGGAAGACAGGAGGACTAATAATAAAAATTACACTTTGGAGTAGAAAAAATTTTTTGTGTAGAATGTGGAATTTTTTTTTATAAAAATGTTCATATCAAATTTCTACGAAAATCGTAAATATTACGACCTCTCAAAACATGTATAACCGAACTCCACTAGGAATCGCTTTTCGTTAGCAACGATTAATCGTCGCGTACAAATATGTATTATATTAAATTCCCCTGTGTATCCTATACGACCTTCCCAACTTTTCACCTTCAACAGTCGCCCGCCCATCGTGCGGAGTATGTCCGTTTTTTTTTTTTTTTTTTTTTTTTTATTATATATAATTTTATAGTCGATAATAAAATACGTATATTATTTACAAATATCGAACGGGATGAGAGTTTCCCGCGGCCCCCCGTCATGAATATTGTTCTGTTCCGGATCTGTAATTTTTCTCGCTAATGATGTACCCATAGATCATTTTTTACGACAAAAGTACACGCTACAATATATTATCGTACGAGTAGTATATCATATAATCGCCCGTGTCGTTTAGCGACATTAACAGCGGTATACGTATACATTCGTAAGAAAGAAACAAAGAAAAAAAAATAATAATATAAGTAAGTACAGTCCAAATTTGTCGGGCGTCCAAAAGTTTTCGCCGGGTTTTTATTATACTTACTTTGGTTTATAGGTATACGCAGGTATTATGCATAGGCGGGGGCGCCCGCCGCGTAATAAATTATTCATGAGAATTCTTTTAGCGGCGTAACTTTTATTGTCCGGGGGGAATAACGCAGACAATAATGGTTATCTAAAGGGGAGGGGGGAGGGGGGGTTGGGGCGCTCCGGGTACCTCTGCATACATGTATGATGTATATAAGTGTATACGGTATACACGGGGTAATTCTTCTCCCGCAACGATGTTCATCCGTTTGTCATTGTGTATATTTGTATACAGTATAATATATCGCGTATAAATATATACGCACACAAACGGGTCGGAAATATTATTGTAAAACGCATGTGCGCTCGCGAAATCGCGTCCCAAAACTATTAAAACGCGTCGTCTTTTGTTGGAACGCATACGGCCAGTTTTGCGAAAACGTTTCTCGCGAAAGCTCGCATACATTACGTACACAATATACACACACGTACAGTACCGCGCACACACACATATACATATATATATATATACAATATGATAAAAAAAACGTGGCTAATATCGCGATAACAGGCCGCGTAATTAATGATAAGAGCCGCCGAATAAAAAACGAGAAGAAAAAAAAAGTACGCGGAACATTCCGCCGGGGCTGTCGGGGCTTCATAACACGGGGGAGGAAAAACTCTCACGCCTCGCGGGACAGTTGGCGTAATATTGTGTTACGCGTACTATTCCGACGGTTTTTCATTTTTTATGCTACCCGTTTCAAAGAGCAACACGGCCGACCGTTTGTAGGTCACGTTTAACTCGGATTTTCGGAAATCCGAATTCCGGAACGCTATACGTACCGTATTAGGCGTATGAAAAATCCCGGTTTTTATTAGTTTTTAACGTTTTTTTTTTTTTGTTATATTTTGCTGACGACGATATCCGGATCAATCGAAATTCGGAGTCGGATACGACTTGCGAAAAAGGTTTTTTTCAAATTAAAAAAAAAGCGTGAGAGTTTTTCCTTTTTCCTGCAAAGTCATTCTCGTCCGTACTACTACGCCCTAAGTGGATGTCGGACAGTAAATCAGTGGAAAATAACATTTTGATACATTAAAATGTTGAAATTAATTTTCAAATTTTACAAATTTAGTGACAATTGGGAAAACCGACTCTGGCTCCGGTTTCCCGCATTATAAATGTGTGTGCCAAGTTTTATAACGTGAATACTATTTTCAATTGCAGAAATAACAGTGTAATTCGGAATTTCAACACGAATGATGTATTTTAATTGTTTTATCTCGATTTTAAATAATATTATAATAAGATAGGGTACACTATAGAAAGCCACCGCCCAAGAGTGGTATCAAAGAACCATATAACACCGCGATAACCTGCAGGTCTACCAATCACCGCGCAGTATGCCGTTAACCACTCGATACATACAAAAATCGTATCATGAAAAACATTGGACGAACGCGTTGTATTTACGTTTAAAACAACGCAACGTGATATTGCAGTAATTTTCACAATTTCTCCGCATTCGATCATTAAAAATATATAAAATACGTTCCAATGGTATGTATAGGTATACCTACTGCAAAATACCATTCAAATAATACGATGGTACGGGTATACAGACAGAATTTCATCTCCCCGAAAAGTGTTTGAAACTCGACCATTTCATAATAAATCGTTTACAGTAAATTTACGGAATGTTTCGTGTTTTTTTTTTTTTCGTTGTTATCTGTATACATATACTCGTATAGTTCAGTTTTATTTTCTCGAAAACTACGGGGAAATTTTCAATTCCGACATCTCCGCGCTGCAAAGTGTTGGATTTCAATTAATATAATGGATATATGAAACTTTTAGACTCGCAGCAGTAGCTATAGTAGGATAATTGCCACCAAAAAGTGTTTTTCAAAATAAAATGAAATACATTATCAACTTTAACGGACATGCACTATTACCTGCACTTAATTCATATTGACCTAAAACACGAAATTTAATTTGCTTTTCACGAGTGGGTAATTGAGTTAATTTAATTGCAGAATTTTTACAAACCTATAGTTTCGCAATATTTATGTAACTCTACTATAGAATGTATTTAGTGATACTATATAGTGTTTTAATTTCTGATCTAAAGATCAACTATACTTAAAAAATACACTAAATTTCCGTGAGTTTTAATATTACATTTCGATAACGGAAAGTAACGGTTTTTTTTTTTTATATTAGTTTACCGAATAAAATTCTAAAAAAAAAAACGTTTGAAAATATTTAAAACGAGAATTTATAGTTGAATTATTTAGAGATAAAACGAATTTGTACATACGATATTAATATCTCTAATAATCACGCATGATGTATACCCGTTTTTTATTGCGAATTTTGTTTTACCCGTCTAAGTTTTTTTTTTTTTTTAAATTAATTTTTTGTTAGTGCTCGATAAATCGTGTGAAATATTGAAACAATAACACGTACGATAAAAATAAATCCCAATAAATGTAATACGGAAACAATTATGACAATCGATTCACGGTGACGCAAAAAACTAAACAGAAAAATCCAAAACACACTTCGCACTACAGTTCATGGGCAAGCACGTTGGTGGGAAATCGGGAAGGTACTGTATACGTTGTAAAATAATTTAGTTTGTATACTCAAAGCAACGATAAATCATTGCAATTAAAATCCGATTATCGGTAAACTGGTAAGGTTTTGTATAGTAGTAGTAGTTCTTTTTTTTTTTTTTTGCTCTTGCAGCACGGTAACGAAACAATTATTATAAACTATATGCTGCTATAACGCGAGCGTACTTTCGAGTATTCATAATTTTAAAAATGTACTATCGTTGTTACGTCTAGGTATTATACGGCGCAATAAATAACTATTGGATACGTGTACACTGTATATACTCGCCGGGCGTAGATGCGGAAAATCGGCAAGTCAATGCGGTACAGAAAGCGTAGAGAACGCGACTAATTATGGGAGTGTAATTGCGTAAATATATATACCAACCTATACGGCTACACGAGCTGAGGACGGGAATCGAGAATCATTACTATAAATTATTATCTGCGGGGAGTCGGTATTTGGTAATCAAGGCTAGAGAAAGACGTGAAAAAAAAAAATGACTACGGTTTCCTTATGTGTGCAGAAAGTGAAGGACGATCGAAAGGGACGTGACAAATGAGTGTATAGTGTGCAGCAGCAGGGTATAGGTAATCGAGAATGAGAGTCGAGAAAGACGACGATGAGTGGGGGGGAGGGGAAAGAGGGTTCTCTTCTCTTATATACAATATTGTGAACGAAAAAGGGATGTGGCAAATGTCACGATCGTTTTCCAAGATATATACGAGTATACATATAATAATAATAATTTTAAAATTATAAACAATTCTGATGGCAACTTTCGGAGGGGTAACGTATTAAACGGAATAAACTGTAAAAGTTCAACGGGTGATCGATGCCCTATAGTAGAATATAATAGATAATAAATAATAAATCGTTTCGCAATCTATACAGGATTTATTTATAATGTAAGCATAAGTACGCCGAATAAATTATACGCTGTTAAGTGGATGTCAGCGAGAGAGCGTTTTTGAACGTAAAAAACTTGTGTCGAAAAATCGTTTTATCTCGCGAAATTAATGCACATGATTTAGCGAGGAAACGGCTTGTGACGAAAACTAAAGAACGCGACTTTATCTATACGGAACGACATAATAAATATATCCATTAAAAAAAAAAATACAATATTTATAAAACAAAAAATACGACTTATTTTTAATTGGAAAAAAATTCATTTTTTTAGATTCGAAACGTATCGAGAGATCTATTTGATTTTACTTTGATATGAGGTATTTTTTTTTTTTTTTTTTGTATGAATCTATGAACGACTATTCTATCGGAAACCTTGCTCCGGTGCATCATGTGTAACGTCTTTTCTGAATGGAAATTTTATCCGGTTGGTGTATTAAAGAGTTAAATTTTGATTTCCGAAAGGATTTTTAAAATAATCGGGAAAACCAGAAAAAATTATCGAAAAACCGGCAAATATTTACGGCGTACCTCGGCGTCACTAATTTCGTTATTTTTAATTGTTGCCAATTATATTTTCTACCAGAAATATTGCTCCAATAAAAAAAAACCGACAAGAGAACTTTTCTTATTGATTTTTATACCTAAATGCTTACAAAGCAAGTCGTTTTTTTTTAGATTTTCCAAGTAGTTTTCATTATAATTGAGAAAACAAGGAACAAAAAAACTAAACTGATAAATTTATGATTATATGCATTATTATTCCTTTATTTTAAATGTTAACGGTTTATGTTTTCTACCAGGAATTGCTCTAATAAAAAAAAAAAAAAAAACAAAGAGCTACCCTTTTTGTTGAGTTTTCAATATGTAGTTGGTAAATAAGAAAATATTTTTTTTTTTTTTAATTTTTAGTGTAGTTTTTTTTATAATTGAGTAAAACCGAAAAAAACTTAGAAAGAACAGGAAAATTACGAAAATAATGCTTTTATTATTTTCAATTTAGTTTTTTTGATGTAATTCAGTTAAAAATATTCGTAGAGACTTGACATTTTTACAGGAAATTATTATTTATCTTTTCTATGTGTGGTGAACTTTTGAAAACATTTGAGCAATTTTAAAAATATTTATATACATTTAAATTTTTTCGTTTTTTACGTTATTTTTATTTGGTAGGTAGGTACAATTTCCAAACTAAACAGAAATATTTGAAAATTTGACAGGATGTTCATTATAAGTCGTCCTTACCCACAAAACATTTTTTAATGAAACTCATTGAAGAAATATTTGTTTTTCATTTAACTGATAGTATTTAAATTAAACATTTTTAATATATTTAATAAATATATATGCGAGTAGTATATCATGTATATTTTAGATTAGTTTTACAATACTGTTTATTTTTTTATTTTTTCTTTGTTCTAGTCTATGAACACGTTTTATTCTACTAAACTTGCTCCGATTTTTACGTGTAGCAACTTTTCTTAAAGCTTGAGTTGTCTATATTGTTTAAAGAAGTTTTATTTTGATTTTTGACGCTATTTTTTAAAAATAATCACTGAAGTGGGAAAAAAACATAAGAAAACGTACAATTTATTATTGCTTACAAATATAAATGAAATAACCTTATGTATCCTACCTTTCCAATTCCTCACCTAAAACAGTGACTGTGCCCGTCCCAAATATTTAAAAAAGTTTAAATATTTAATAAATATATATTTTAAAAAATATATAAATATCTAATTAATATTTTAAATCGAATATTTGAAAAAATTAATAAATGTAGTTAATGTTAAATAATTTTTTGATATTAATAATTTGATAATAATTAAACATTAAAAATTATATTTTTTTCAAACATCTCTTTATATACCTGTATGTTATTTATTTTACATAAAATATTCATAATCAACATAAACTTTTCCAAACATGTATAACCGAACTTCGCTCCGAATCATTTTTCGTTAGCGATGGTTTATTGTTCCTTACAAATATAATTTAAACAACTTTATACTCGTATATCCAACCTTCCCAACTTCCCACCTACAACAGTGGTACACCCATCCCCAGTTTCGAATATTTTTAATCTTGGACATCTATACCATCTCATGCGAACAAATATTGAATACTAATATATTTCATACGCCCTGTAGATAATAATATATATTACAGTTGCATTTTATAGGTATACTTGAACATCTATTTTTGTTCGGTATGCATTCGGTTAAATATGCATATTGAAACAATATAGACGAACCACATTTATAGTAATTCGTTAAAGGCTTGTATACTCGTACCTATATATATTGTTAATAAACAAAATAATTATTCCGCGAGTTAAATTCTGTCGGATTCACATTACTCACGCCACGCGGTATTGTTCAAAGTTGTCACGGGGTAAACATAATAAATTATTAACTATTTGAACAAACCTTCACAATTTCACCCAATATAATATATGTATATAGGGCATTCGATAAAATAAGTTTACTATATCTATTACAATATTGCTGCTTATTAAATGTAATCACTGCAGCAGTCTAACCAAAATGATTTATTATGCGATGTCTACACTTCATTTAGAATATTTTAAAATTAAATAGGGTTGTTTTTTTTTTTTTTTAACAAAACAGAGATTCGTCAATCGGTTGGATAAAATATCTTGCTTGGTTTTTATTTCATAATTAAAATATAAAGTTTCCATTGACAAACTCGTCCTACTCTTTTGTCGATAAACCTATACTTGAAAGAACAATATAAGTACCTACCCTATACTAAAGACGGGGACAAAGTGGAACTAAAAAAGGTCACCGGGATTTAGATCTAAAGTGACCATATAAGTTTATACACAAAAAAACGTAGATTCTCCGATTAATCTTTGAACTTCTTAAAATTTAGAAGGATACTAAATGGACTATACGCTTTGAAGAAATATTGAAGCGGTTTTCTTAACTAGAAATAACTGTGTCAGTTGTAAATTCAAACAATCCTAAATACATTTTTCCAGGAAAAACTGTTTCAAATTTAATCAACTTTTTTAACAATGATCCTGCTGTAAATCACGTCGATGAATTAAATACCAAAGAAGAAGACATTTCTTCTAAAGTACCAGATTTCCCCGCAATTGTCGACACAGATTATTCCACAGACACAGACTATAATGTTTACATCATGGCTACATGGCCAAATTAGGCACTGGCCCGTTGGGAAATTTCCTGGCATCCCGGCAGCCCAGTCCGCCCCTGACTAAAAATAATTAATTTTTTTTTTTCTAACTTTATCGTTTAATATATTATAACGATAAACATTTAAATAACATATTATTATTATTATTATTATTATTATTATTTTTAACTCAACGGGTAAAAAGATCTGACACTGCTAATGGATGTGCCTCTGTTGTAGGTGGGAAATTGGGAAGATAGGATACTGGAATACATAGAGTAATTTATTTTATATAGATACTCAACGATAAATCATTGTTAACCAAAAACGATTCTCAGCGATGTTCAATTAACCACACATTTTAAAATGCTTAGATTTTTTCCAAATTTTCTTTTAAATTTACTTATGTGCTTCGTATAAAATTTGTAAGCATTTTTTCTGGACCAAAATAATTTTTTCTATTTGACTATAAATAGCTAAAATAAATTCCAAAACGTTTTGAATATCACGTCTAGAAAGGACTAATATTATTATTTATTTATTTATTTATTTATTTATTTATTAATACGGACAAAAGTCCAATTCACAATATATTTGTATAGATAACAATAAAATATAACTTATATAAATTATAAATTTATATAATTTAAAATAATAAAATATAACATAATAAAAAATGAAAAGATTAATATATCAAACAATATAAAACAAACAATTTATTCGGTGAAAATTCAGTTTCTACGATGATGATTAACTAAATAATAACAAAAACCCAAAATCGAAAATATCAAAAACCGCTATTGCCTAAATATTCTCGTTTTTCCCCGGTTTTTCTGCTTTCAACTTGGGAGAACGCGAAGAGAAGGGTACTTCGTCTAATTTTCCATAAATCGTAACGTTCCTCTACTATTTGTTACCAAAAAAGGCCACCAAAAACTTTCCCTAAATTTAATGACTGAAGCAAGATATCTCCCAAAAGAGTTGTATTTACAAATAGAAAAAAAAAAGGGTAAACCAGAGGTAGTAAATCGAATGCATTAAAGTTTGTAAAGTTGCAAAACAATAAATAACTGCCATATTAATTTGCGAGAAAATGACGAAGATTCGTCCTTGGGAGACAGCACTACCGACTACCGCTCCTCCTCTTCATGCTTGGTTAACGATAAAACTAAAATTTTAACTAAAAATGTTTTTAGTGATTCTGATATTAGTATTTTAATGAAATTAGCCAATGTTTACAATATTAAATCGCGCTTCTTATATTGTTATTTGTATAATATTGACGTTGAAATATGGGGGTTGTAATGAGGTTGTGGAATTAAAAGATTAATTGAAAAAGCCGCAGTTTACTACGTCGGGTAACCTACTTTAATTCGACGAGGAACTTTTAACTTTATTAAAAACCGTAATTTTTAACTTTAATATTATAATAGTTACCGAAAGACATAATATTAAAACCGTAATTAGAATAAAAATTAACGTATACGTTTTAATTAATGAGAAAATATTTTATCATAATGGGGTGGTAGTTACACTCGATGTCTAAAAAGTTATACGATTTTCTTGTAGGTACATCCCACAGCCTGCTGGCAACCATTGTATTTAATTTATATTTTGAGGAAATATTTCGTGTACTGAACTTTATTTTTTTTTATTACTATTATTTTATATATAATAGATGTACGCGTACGTGTTTATAATTTTAAATTAAAAACTTTTATTTTTTTTTTTTGGTCGTTCGAAAAACTCGAAGCCACGAATATTGTTTAAAAACTTAAAACTTTATAGTTGTATATAGATTTGTAGTTTTGCACAATGTTTACGAAAATACGGTTCCCTGCGATTTTAAGGCATATTTCATCGTTCACAGATTATTTTAACATCGATTCGGTGTTGTACATATACAAAATAGATTTATAATAGATAAATTTAAAAATATTAAAAATAATTACTAGAATAAAATTATCTACATCAAGATAAAAGATGCATAGACATTATCTATTGATCAAAAAAAAATAATCGGGATTTATTTTTATCCAAAATTAAAAATATGTACAATCATAACAATTAAAATCTGAAACTAAAAAAGACGGGAATTACTCCCCACGTGGGAGCATCCATTGTTGTAGGTGAGAAGTTGGGAAGGATACTACCTTCCCAACAGGTAAGGGGAAATTTAATGTAGGCATACCTGTAAGCAACGATAAATCATTGCTAACGAAAGAACGATTCTGAGCGGAGTTCAGTTAATAGTGTAGTTATGATATTTACCATAATATGGTAAAATAATTAGACAGGTATTATATATTTTCTTTTATAATATTTATATCTATTTTCCCGTTTTTCCTACGGTTTTCCCATGTTTTTCTCGGATTTTCCCATTTATTGGGAATACTAGTGAGAAAATCAAAAAAATGGCCTCTTTAAAGAAGCTCCCCGGTCAGATTTCTTTTTAGAAAAATTACTGCTAGAAAAGTTGTCCACAGAAAAAAAAATTCGTAATATTTTACTAATATATTTCGTAAATTTTCCCGCTTTTCCTCTGTTTTTTTTTTCGGTTTTTCACATTTAATAAAAAACTCCTCGAGAATATTGAAAAATAACCTCTCAAAGTACTTCCCCAGTCAGACTTACATTTAAAAAAATTACTATCATTTTATATCGGAGCAAAATTGCTGCTAGAAATTTGGCACAGATAAAAAAAAAATGAACATCTTTGTAAAACCATAAATTTCTTCGCTCCACTCAGAAGCTAAAAATATTGTACCGGATTCGGTACACATCTAGATGCCATAATGATCGTATGATCGAAGTAACTTAATAGTTTATTTACCAAATCGTTTTTATTATATATTAATACAATTTAAAACGGGCACCTATAATTTCTAATTAACTTGTAAAATTTAAAAATATTTATCTATACATCATCATATATCTATAAATAGAACAATTTATCTAGATGATTTTTTTTTTTTTAATTTGCGTTGATTTCTAATACAGATTGCTATTATTTGTCTTGAATTATTTTGTTTCTTATTTATCTAGCTAAGATAAAAGATAAAAATATACCTGTGTCTAGATAAAACAACAATGTAATAATATTAGTATTGTAAAATTAAAGGCCTGCAGCGACTATCGCGGAGACTTCTGAAATGTATTTTATTTTAGTTTTTATATTCTGTCTATTTGATTGTACTTGCCCTGTGTGTGCTGCAGTAGAGATTTTATAGATGCCTATATAAACCTATCCTAGCTACCTATCGACCAGGTATGCGATAAACCAACGCGGTTTTATCGCGTGATTTTTGTGATACGTATTTATTTTTGTAATAAAAAAAATCTCGGAACGGCGTAACAGAGTTAAAAAACTAAAAAAAAGTTTCGTTGAATTCCGCCATAATATATAGGTGCTATACCTAGTCACTTTGGTAAATTGAAACCTACATGCACGAAATCGCTTTTTGGTTACAACCAACATTTTATACTATTAAATTACACGTGCAAAAAAATGTAGGTACATGTAGCTGTAAGCGGAAAAACTGCAAACCTGCAGACACCCTATATACTTGTTCAGGTTTTTTTTTTTTTTTTTTTAAATGTATTTTTATGTTGTTACTATAATAACACGAATTTCGAGGCGTAGGCGTACCTACGTTTGTACACACTGTGTATACAGTGTAATATATACAAATAGAATACACACTCGGAAAAAACGCCATTCGATTTATTACAATTTCAATAGGATTTTTACAGACATTTTTTTCTTATTATACCGTTAAGTACAACTTATGACGGACTTGTTGTGTTCAATTTTCGAGCATTTTTTACCGGACAAAACAATTTTTATGTTTACATAAATCGGAAAATACAACGCTGAATAAATGCCGTGGTTTTGACTGTTTTCATCGAAATATGAGCGTTAAACTCCTTAAAAAAATAATCACAAGTTTGGATTCTCGATACCTATGTTAAGAGAAGCTGAACGAAATGTATCGATACTAAACCAAATAAAAACTAAAAAAACACGAAAACTTCTAATAGCAAAAAAAAAATAGCTCAAAAATCACCATATTGTTTTAAAAATTTGACCGCGTCTTGAGACGGGACTAACATAAGTATTCGGAGGACATGATTTTTAATTGAATTACAAAAAAAAAAAATAACAAAATCCCTTATTATGTAAATTTTCCCGTTTGGCATAAATGCAATTTATTAACTCCACAACTCGTTTTTCGATTTTTTTTTTTTTTTTATTTGTTTTCTTTCAAAATGTGTATTTTAAAACACCGAACAAAAAAGCTTGAAAAAGTCGTCGTTCTTTTTTTTATTTTTTAAGTCACCAATAAGCATTTTAAATTTCGTGAGTATAACGAATGGTCATCATTACACCCGTGAAAACAGTATATTTTTTCCGACAACTACCCGACGCGGTTTTTCGCGATATTAAAAATGGAATTTATTTTCGATTAAAAGTTCGACACGAGCCCACAGCTCCTTGCTACAGTATCAGGTCGAAAATTTAGGTTAGGTCAGCTTACCCCCGATCCCTCCTCCCTCCTCCCTCGTAAAGGGATCGAAGAAGGCCACGCAGTGGCACTCGAGTGGGCGAGCGAAGCCGGTAGGCGTAATGAGTCGTCCCGCGCTTCCGCAGTATTGTTTATTCCACGTATTCGTATTTATGTAGTGGCATTCAAATCGTTAAAACTTCTAAAATTAATGGTTCCCGAAACATGTCGATTGCGCCATCGTATTCGCCATTAAACCGTCCCCCCCCCCGTCTTTTTCAAAAAAAGTTTAGTTTTATTTTTTTTTTTTTTAATTATTGAAGTTTTTGAAATTTTGGAACGAAACTACTTTACCGGGCGACCTTATTTTTTCAACTTTATTATAATTTTATATTTGTTCAAAAGGGATGTTTAAAGGTCCTTTTTTTCAGAGGTCGCGGACGGTTTTCGTTCAAGAGTTTGAAGTTTTTGTCGGGTAGATATAACACAACGAAAATTTAAAAACGCGAGACCGAGAATTCCGGTGATCTCCGTGAGCGCGCGAGCTCATGTCTGACTCGTAAAACCATAAAAACAAAAACATCGAAAGTTGACCGCGATTTGTTATGCAAAACCACGGTCGGGTATGTAACGCGCAATGGAAAAAAAAACCGATAAAACTAAAAAATCGATTTAAATAAGTCTCGGGGTGAAAACAAAATTTTTAACACGAGTTAATCTGACAAAAAAAAAAACGTGCAAACACTTTTTAGAGCTTGTATTAAACCATTCACCGTAGTTACAATATAAAACGCATTATCCATTGCGCCACATTCAAACACACAAGGACAAGGAGATTAGCGAAAATAGCTATTTAAACTAAGAGTTCCCGCAAATTTCTGATTACAGCATCGATGTCAGCGTACAGAAATACATTCGTTTGCAAAATAAACAAATATGCCCGGTAAAGTAGTTTTAAAGTATCGGAAAATTTGAAACCTAGGACATAATATATGTATATAATACCTGTATATTAGTTCAGGGCCGGGCTTTGACTGGTTAATAAGTTAAAAGTTAAGTTGATTTAAACTTGTTAACTTAACTCACTATAGTTTTGCTAATTGGCTTCACTTTCACTTGGGTACTATCTATCTGTTGTTAAAATTTAACGGATAATTTGAATAAAATTATATAACTATAGGTAGTTTATTGTATTTCTTTGTTTAAATTATTTATTTTGTAAATTAATAAATTGTTAAAATGTTAATTAATACAGTAACCAGTTTTAAACTCAAATTTAAATTTAAATGATCCTTGGGTCTGAACTATGATTAAATGCTACAACTCGACAGGTTTTGAAATACATCCCCATTGATTACGTTTTATAATATTTTTATTCATAAGGTTTATTTCATAAGGTATTTTAATTTTTATACCTGACCTATTAAATTTTTTGTTTTAACTAACTTATTAATTGTTAAGTTAATGATACATAGTTCAACTTGATTTGTAATTTAATCGGCGTATTCAAAATATCCATTGATATAATTTTCAATTTAATCGATAAAAAATATTTAACTCAACCGAGTTAAAAAATATCAATAACTCGCCTGTAGCCTTGTAACTAGGTAATTTAAACACGGAATACAACGATAAATCATTGCGACGAAAGAGATTCTGAGCGGAACTATGCTGAAAATTTGTGTTTTACACAAACAATCGTCTGTCGCAAAATAATCCCTACACAATATTGAATACACGCGTCGAACCGAACTCGCTTCAGAGTCGTTTTCCGTTTGTTGCGTTGATTTATCGTTTCGCGCGCGTATGGACATAAATTCGTCGGCTTTTTAAAACCGTTCGCCACTAAGGGTTCGTCCCGATAATCGCCGATAATTCTGTAGCGCGCCCCACCAACCCACCACGGCCCTCTTTATTCGCCAGTCGCCTACAGGTATCCATTTTGTCGCGGCAAAAAATATTGGTAATCCATTGTCATGCCGCCGCGGCGCCGACGTTGTAGTTCCCGGTTTCGCAAAAAATCCGCAGAATTTATTATGAGCCGGGGTTCGCTCTTCGCAATCGTGACGTTGTCTCCCCGTCGCCGCCGCCGCCGTCCCAAAAAAGCCGCGAATAATAATTTTTATTCGACCGTTCAGGCGTACGCAAAAGGAAGTTAACGTCCAGGAAAAAAATAAACTAAAAAAAAAAATAAAAAAAGCGCCGCGTTTGTTAGAATGTAATTCAAAACGGTTACACACACCTCGCGGACCGAACACCAACAATATCGATGACAACGCTCACTCGACCGAACTCGGCTCTGAAAAAAATCCAATTAACAGAGGCTCTGTGTAAAAATTTTATTTTAATAACGGCCCGAATCGGTTCTTCAATCGATTTGTCGTCATTTCCACGTTCGTTATAGGGGTTTTTTTTTTCGTTTTTTTATACTGTCGTTCAAGTAGGTCGCAGCGAGTAATTATTATTGTAAGACTCGCCGCGCAGCGGATGTTTACGAGGGGAAAAAACCGACGTAGTTTTAGTTTTTTACGTCTCGGCGATTTTTTTTTTTTTTTTCAAAACAGTACACCCAAGTGTTTCCATAGGCTGTACGTTGCACGCTTCGTATACACGGTTATTTTTCAACGAAGATTTCGACATAAATATATATATTTTTTTTTTTTTTCGAATTTTCGAATATATTTGTCTGAAAATGTCGAATTTCGAATCGATGTTTGACGACATTGTACACAACGTATTATCATATTATCACGCTAAATAAAATATCGAAATTCTTGCCGAGACGAAAAGTGCACCTTATAATATTATTGGTACATCGCGTGGTCGGTGTTTTTATAAACGAACGGGTTTTTCGAAAAATAATACCTGATTAAAATATAATCACTTAATAAATGAATAATTTATTAATTAAACGAATTTAATTAATTTAATGGACTAACAGTACCGGTGCCCGAATCGGAGAACAGAATCCGCTTTCTAAATCAATCGATAAAATATGTGTACCGCAAAAACGGTACGTTAAAACCTGCACAGCTGTACTGCTGTATAATTTCCACGGCACAAGAGTCAATTATTGTTATTGTCATCCGAAATCGACGAAAAAAAAAGTCGAATAACTTCGTTACGTTCGTACCGGGTAAGTAGGTATATACTCATTGTCTCGGAAAGTATTATGTTTTTTCCGGAATTTTTTTGTAGGAAATTTAAGAAACAAGCTGCTTTACGATTTTATTTTCGTGTCACCTTTTGTCACCCTTATATTCGAGGACAAAACCCACTACCTACTTTTGATTTTCAAATAGCAACCAATATTCGTGATACCTTAAATAAAAAAGATTTAAGGCTAATATACTTGGCACCGATAAAACCAATTATTGCTTACGGAATAACAGGCTGGGGAGCATATTATAATAACGATCTCTATCGATTGCAAACTAGTCAAAATACTCAAATTAGGATCGCCTCAAAAACAGATAAAAAATACTATACGAAACAAATATATGAAGATTTTAACGTACTAAATATCAAAAATTTATATTCGAAATCAGCAGTCCTTTTTTTAAAAAAAAAAAATAATAATAATGTCCCATCACCCCTGTGTCATGGTATAGGTACCGGGTTCGCTAAAAATAACTTTACAATACACTGGCCTCATAAAACGGGCGCACGAAAACAATATGAATTTGTCGGTACAAAAATTCTAAACTTTATACCAAAACACCTACACACATCACCACTACATAGATTCAAAAAAGACATTACGTCTTATGGCTTCTTTATAAATTTCACACTGATTTATTATTATAAAAATACCTATACTGTTGTGTTGTGACCATTTGTATGTATATTTTTTTTTACTAACGATTTATATCTTTATAGACTTTGCCGTTTTTCAAATTTATACATAATGATTTTTTACGTTTAATTTAATGTTTCCGCTAGATACACAGTTTTCTTTATGTTATATAATTAATAATTCTCAAAGCGCTATGCGTATATTGCCGTTTTAATAATTAAACGCATGTTAATATAATAACACCTGGGCCTCCGCACGAGAATACTCAGTGAGGCCCAGCATTCTTTTTTTGAGAAATAAACGAACAATAATAATAATAATATGAAAATGTCCATAAAAAGAGTATCAGTTAAAATACATTTTAAGTATTGCAATTTTTGATTTCCGTTAACCCCCGTTGACAAGATATTCCACTTTTAAGTTTGGGTCGGAGGTTTACTGCTCTTGGACGCTCCGTCGGCGCGCAATTCAAACGGAGTCTTGGAGCTTTTCGAACACGCCCATTATGTTTTCATTGCCGAATAGTTTGACGTCCGTCCGTATTATGACACGGCAAACGACGGCAACGGGGAAGCGGGAGGTGCGCCCTTTTAGTCCCCCCCCCCCTCCGGATACGCCATTGGCCGGGGAAGCCGATCGCCAATTCGCGCGGTCATAATCAGAAGAATAAAAAAAACGAACGACATCGTATTATACTTTGACATTATTTTTCTCTTGAGTAATCTACTGACGCGATTTTGGATTTGATTCCGCAGAAAAAAAAAAAAAAAAAATTTTATTTTGCAAACTCCGTTTCCCATACCGTATCGTACCGTCCACCGCGTTTTTCGCTCGAACATTTCTTTCCTCTGCAAACACAAAACCGTTAGATCGTTACGTCGATACGGTACAATGCGAACAATGCCGTTCGGATTTAACACGCGACACGAGGTCTTCCGTTCCTTCGAGACACGAGCCTGAAAAAACATATCAGTTTCTGTTTCTGTGTCCCGTATCGCTATTGTATTTATTTTTCTTGAAACTTTGCAGCTGACATTCGAAGAGTTCCGAATGGGCACGCTGTACCTGGGCGAGTGCGTCGGCGGCGAGATGCAAATACTCGAGCTCGGCCGGCCGTACGTGGGCGGCTCGTGGTGCGGTTTCGGGCCGACGGAGGGCAGCGCGCCGGCCGTGTACTACAGCGAGGCGGGCACCGTCACGTTGACGCTGCGGGTGCCGTACAACGGGCTGTACACCACGCCGTTCACATTCGATCTGCGGTTCAAATTCCTGGACAACCGGCACGCGTCCGTCAGGCTCGGCACGGCCGCGGATCCCAAGGACCGCGGCGAGCTGGTGCCCGGCACCCACTGCAGCCGTAACTTCTACGAGTGCTACAGGAAGCGGTGTTCACTACAGTCGCCCAACTACCCGGGCATATACCCGAGGAACGTGACGTGCCGGTACACCGTACGGCAGCAGGTGGTGCCCAAGTGCAAATACGCGATGGTGTCGCTGAGCCAAAGGCGGGGCGCGCTGCTGCAGCAGTCCAGGTCCAGACCGGCGCCCAAGACAAACGGGACGGACATCATCCGTGTCAACGATATGTGCAGCGAGAACGAGGACAGGCTGGTATTTCACGACGGGTCGTCCGAGGACGCTCCGGTGCTGTTACGGTTCTGTGGCGGTCCCGTGCTGCCCCGGGTAGTGGCCAGCGGCCCGCAAATGTTGATCGTGTTCAAATCGTGGGAGCACAACTCGCCGGCCACGTTCTCGTCGCCGATGCCCGTGTCACGGCTCCGGAGTTTCGAGCTCAACCTGCAGATAGCGTTCGTCGACTCGGATTCGCTGGATTACGTCAAGGGGCCGGTGTGCGAGTTCATCATAAACTCGTCACTCTCTTCCAAGTCCAGGCGGGGCGTGCTGGTAAACCCGCAGCACTCGGTGCCGCCGAACAGCACGTGTACGTACAAGTTCCAAGGACAGCTGGACGACAGGGTGTGGATGTACTTCGAGAGCTACGGTCACCGGAGCACCAGTAACTTCTTAACGTTCAAACCGTGTCCGACCAGGCTTCGAATATGGGACGGCGCCGGCACACTATTGGGCGACCACTGCGACACGCCCAGGCTGTGCGAGCACATCACCACGCCGTCCAACATTACTGGCCAGAAGCGACCGTGCACACTGGACGAGAGCTACCTGTCCAAGACGCCTAGCGTCATATTGCAAGTACACTCCGTGCTGGGCACCGTTCTGGAGCCGTTCGGCTTCAAATTGCATTACGAGTTCGTGGACAGCAGCGTGTACGATCACGGCGAAAGCGACGACAGGACGTGCGTGATCGACTACAAGGTGAGCAAATCGATAGACATTACGGAACCGAGAAACGTTTTCCTGTACGGCCGGGGCGGAGCCAAGAGCCTGGACTGTCTGTACCGTTTGCAGGCCGAACCGGGGTACCGGATGCAAGTCGTGATGCGGAACGCGTCTTTCGGGTGGCGGGAATGCGGGACCATGACCAAGACGGCGACCGGTAAGTACTCGTGTCCGGACGACGACGGGCCTAAGCTGATCGTCCGGGAGGTGTACTGGCGCACTGTAAAAATCGAACGCGGGTGCTATTGCCAGAACTTCACAGAGTCTGCGCTGAGTACGCAGCACGTGACGTTCGACCTGTCTTCTGATATCGTGGAGATCCACTTCCGCATACCCGGTTTCGACGTGACCGAGGACTTTACGAACACGTTCTTCAACGCGCACGTGCGCGTAGTCCGGTCCCCACCGTGCCCTAGAAAGCAATGGGTCCGTGGTTCCGGTGGCGAGATCGAGCTCGTGTATCCGCTAGAATCGCGAGACGACCTGCACTGCCACGACAAGCCGTGGCTGCTGGAAGCGCACCCGGGCCACAGTATGTTCGTGCAGACCTGGGGCAACTTCCTGCCGGTCAACATGTCCGTGGCCCCGTGCAAGACCCGCAACCGGATCCTGCTGTACGCGCTCCAGCCGGTCCGGTTGATAAAACACGTCTGCCCGACGGGCACCCGGGACAACCGGCGCAACATATACATGTTCTCGGACGAGTGGTCCAACTTCGTGCCGGTCGACCGACAGGATCCAAGTTTCATGGTTGAGTTCTTGGCCCGGGAAACCGGTTCCATGGCGTTTAAGTGGCTGGAAGTGTCCAAGCCCGCAGTCAAGCACGCGTCCTCATCCACCTCACCGTCCAACAACAACCAGTCCGTCACCGGCAACCGGTTCGGTTGCACGTACGGGTGCCCCGAGCTCAACGCCTGTATCAGCGCCACCCTGTGGTGTGATGGCCACCGGAATTGTCCGTCCGGCGTGGACGAAGCCGACCTAAACTGCCAGACCAAATGGCCGTCGTTCAAAGTGCTCAGATCATACGGGCTGCCGGTGGTGGGCCTAGGCCTGGCCGGCGTGGTGTTCGCCTTGCTCGCGTGGATTTACTGCCGCAGGGAACCGGAATACAAGCACTACGACGAACCCGAACCGGCAACCGATAATACTCGGTCGTGTTCGACAATCGCTTCTTGACAACAATCCTCGGTCGATACAGTTGACGTTATCGACCGAGAGACTTGCGTTTAAAAAAAAAAAAAAAAACAGCCATCTTGCTCAAGTTATGAAACTGCGTTGTTTGTTTTCTATATTTTAAACGTGTATTTGTCTCACGACATTTCTGTCCAAACGTAGGTGCCTTATATAATATTATATGTTATAAAATTCTTGTTATTTAATGACGAGTAGATATATTGATTTATCGATTGATATGGTAAAAACACAGATTTTATACATAGATATTGTACTATATTGTATACCTTTACTTATGTAATGATTCTTTACTTTTCTGTAACAAACACTTGAACAGGAAGAAAATATGTCTAAATTATTCACTAAATCTATAAATATATTTGTATAAATTTACAACTCAAAATAATTTCCAAACAGGATTTGATACTGATATTTTCTTTCTATGTCCAACACATACTCAGCATAGAAATATTTAGACATATATTCCAGCGATCAGTTTGATCGACGCATTAAAGCAATAACTCTGAAAACAGATTTTAATTCAATTAGAAGTTTAAGTGAAATTGGTCAAATTATTACATTTTACTATTTACTATCTAGTTTTCAAAAATTTGATTTGAACATTTTAAAAAGTATAGAAAAAAAAAACAAAACTATAATTAAATTGAAAAAACTGGTTAAAATGATCTTCACGCTAAATAAATTGCTATGCTGAGTATGTATTGGTATGGTCTCGTTTGAAAAATAAAATTGTAATTTAAACTACAGTTATTATTACTAAAAACAATTAAATTTTAAACAATAAAGACCATTAACAATTTGTTAGAATTGTAAACTTATAAGGGTGATTAACTTAAACTTACGAGTAAACTAGATAATTAAATTTTCAAAAACGACAAACGATAATTAAAACCTAGTGGTGTAGATAAGTAAATTGTAGCAGTTATGAAATACAATTACACAATTTAAGTGTTGTTAAAACAAATTTAATAATATAAAAAAAAACAATAATATTTTTAGAAAATTTCAAACAATTTGTCCCTTTAAATCTAGATCAATTTTTAAATATTATGTATTATTATATCTTATGTATTTATGTGTAATGGTTTAAAGCAATTTCAATGTCCAAATAAGTGATTTCAACACACCATTTAGTTAATTAATAAAGAATTATTGAATTTGCGCAAATTAATGTGATACTGCCTTGACATTTTTTTTTTAATATAAATAATTAAAAATAAATATTTTACTGTAATCACTATTAAGTATTAATAAAATATAATATAGACTATTTATATAGTATAAATTTAATTTGTGTTATACAAGCAAAAAAAAAAAAACGAGAGGGTTTCAATAATAATTATTTGATAAAAACAAACAATCCCAAAATCTTATGTTATAATATTGTATAAGATAATATATTGTATATTGCACATATTTAAGTTTACTAATATTGTTGTTGAACAATGTTACTTACTAGTGTTACCATAGTTTTAAGAAAAAGCACAAGTGTAATAATTTATTCCTTTAGTTTATGACAATTTGCACTGTATTACAAATTTTAGTAATTGATATAACATTATTATATATTTCTATAAATATAAAGCAATAAATATATAAATAAATACATTAATTTATTTACATGTATATGTAATGAATATTATATACATACATTATATCCTAACAATTTACTACATGATCTATTTAAAACAAATTAACAAAAACAATAAAAATAAAACGATAAAAAACAATAAAATTGAATTAAAATTGAATTAAATTACATAATAATATGCTTAAATATATAAAAGATCATATTTTTAATAGTTGTACCAATTTATGGCTCACTTCAGATCATTTTAATAATTGTGCCAGTTTACATACTTTACTATGATTTTTCACCATATCAACTTTAGTTTCCCATAGGATTTGAACTAATTTTGCATCATCTTTTTCATCCATGGATATATCTTCTGATAACTGAGGACAAAACCTACAAAACACAAACAACTGAATATTGCTCAAGAAAAAAATACAAACGATTTAAGCTTATCAAAAATAATTACCTGAAGTATGCCGTCTTGGTTTTGTAACACCAAGATCTTGCTCTGTCCACAACACGGCCGTCTGACTGAGTGGCTTGATCTATAAGCAACAGACCTAATGCCGAGAATCCAAATACTAGACGTAAACTATCAGACACACTACTTGGTTTGAATATGTCCAAATTTTTCACCTAAAATGTGAATATCAAAAACTATAATAATAAATTAATAATATTGTATACACTTTATAAAAACAAATAAAATAATAAAGAAGTTTTTTTGATTATAATAACATAAAATACATAAAGTATTAGATAATAAACAAAATAAAAAAAAACCATGAGATAAACCTTTCTAGTGGTGGGCAGATTAAGTAAACAAGGATTTGGAATGTTTAGATGGAACAACAATATTCAACGACTCTAATGACCGTGACTAATCAAAGGATTTGATAGTAGTAACAAATAGCCTATATAGCCAGTAAAAACCAAAAGAATGATTAGAAACAAAGTAGTTATTGTTTCTTACACAATAATAAACTTGGTTTACCTCAGTAACTGGTATACATCCAGTTCCCACAGACACTACAACTGTTGGATCTTGAATTTCATTGGATCTATTTGTCATGGATAACGCTAAATTGTATTCCTCGATTTCAGTTAATGTGTCCAGAGTAGGGTTATTTGAGATTAATCCTCCATCCAAGAAACGCCCAAACATTCTAAAACATTTAAAATCTAATTACTCATACTATCAAAAAATAAATTAAAAAATAGTAAGATAATAAAATGTATTATAAACATAATTGAATGGTACTCAAATTATCAACCTTATTTAATTATTAAAAGTGAAATGTATGCACGAACTACCAACATATTATTAAATTATTTCTTAAATACTTAAGTTAGTAAAAATTGCACATTGACATTGAAACAACAAAAACATTGACATGTTTTTCACTGCAAAATTAATATTATATTTACAAGGAAAGTTGTCATATCTGCTATTATTACTCCTACAATGTTACTACTATGGATGTTAATGAAATTATTTAATTTACAATACTCAAAAAACATGAATTTATGACAGTATTCTCTAGATTTTCTCTACATATAATACTAAATTACTAAAATGTTTTCTAATTCAACTTAAATATGTTTAAGAGGTTGACAAATGTGCACTTGCTGTCTATTTAACGGGAAGTATGACAAAAAGTTTTTTGTTTGTACTTCCATCAGTACTCAAGCCTAGTTAACCATTTAAACTTGATTTTGATACCGAATAATCATAATAGGTTTTCCTAAATGTCTATGAAAATTTTTTTTTTGAAATGTTCATCTGCCAATTTCATATGATTTTTTTCAAAATTAAGTGTATATAAATTTATTTTAAAACAATTTCTAAAATAAACCTGTTTTATAGCATTTTTTACAACTTCTCATATTTATTTCGACACCAAAATCTAGCTCACACAACCAACAAGACTTTTAAATTTGTATAGACATAAACAGTATTCACGTTCAACATTCTTATAAGATAAAATACTATTTTAAACATAGGTTAAATAAAAAAATAAAATACAAATAATGAACTAATTAAAAAAATAACTCGAATAACTATAATAAATATTTATTTTTTTTTAATGATAAATATAAATTGAATAAACAATATGAAATCTAATAAAAATATAAACATATATTTGCACTAATTCCATAATATTTAAAACATAACATATTATTGAGTTTGTAGAATAAAATATTACATAATAATATGAATAATAAAAATAAAAATATTGAATTACCTAAAATAGGAAGGTGCAGCACCGCTTGCTCTTGCTGCTTTCCATGCCAACTGTTCGTGAGGTGGTGGTGGTGGAGGATAATCATATGGTTGATCTTGATTGATCATATCACTAGGTGATGTATAATTGCGAAAAATGTGCAAATCTACAGGCTTTCTGTCAGCTAACAAACCTGTGACTAGAATTCTAAACAATTTGTAAGATGTAATATTATTATTATGATTAAAATATAAAATAAATAAATAAATGTGTGTAAGTAATTTAATAATACTGTTAACTTAATAATAACACAATAACACCTACTTAGGGTGTTGTATATCACTCATATACGTATTTTCACCCAATGCCATTTTTAGCATATTTTCCAAAATATCACTCGGATAAGGTTTACTGCCTTGAAACACTTGATGTTTAAGTCGAAAGTATAAACATAAACACTCATGCAATGATTTACCTAAAATTGTATTTATGAATTAATAATAGATTTTACCTGTAATATGCATTATTTACCAAATTTAAATAATAATATATTATCACAAATAATGTAATAATGTTAATGTGCCTATATTGTCATTGTCGTCCTAAAATGTGACCAAGTTTAAATACCATATTTAAATGCTTTATTTCATTGTTATATACATATTACATATATAACAGAACTATTTACAAATGTTATAACTTTTTTTCTATTGAATATTATAGTTTTTTTTTTTTTTTTTTTAACGAGCTCTGCGCTGTGATTGTATTATATTTTATTTTATTACTTTACAAATAATTGTTAAAAAAATAGATGGTGTTAAAAACTATCAATTAGATTACGACATTAATTTTGAAACGAGTTTTAAAATTTGATAAATTCAAAATTATATCTTGCTAATTTTACTAACAATAAATAAGTATCACTCACAGATTAAATTAATATGAAAAGTAAACTTTGAAACTGTACACTATTTCTCAAGAGGACTAGAATTTTATTAGCACAGCAATAGTCAGAAAATGGATACGGATTTAACTTAGAAACAATTATTAAAATTTAATGTAACAATTTTTATGTAGATTAATTATATTATAACAAAATTTTGTTGTAATAATTTATATTAATTTATCCAATATATTCTTATCTAAAAATATATCATAAAGAATATTATTTTTTCCTTCTATTAATAACACAGTTTATTATTACATGTATTAATTGTATGCACAAATAGACATTAAATCAAAGATATTATGTTTTTTTTTTTCCCATAAATAAACAAAACAAATAAAAATAGTATAAGTATTTTTAAAAAACTTTTAATGTTTTCATTTTGATAAAATAAACTGGATTTTTTCTTTTGTAAATTAATTTTAATGGTGTAAGTATATTATGTTAATTTTATACATTCCGTTATTATTGTATTATTACAGTATTTTATCTACATTTAAATTTTATTACCGCATAATATACATTTTGCAATATATTTTTAAAATTATGATTTAGCGGATAAAATAATTGATAGTAGTTGGTATAGTTTCATTAGTTTATGGCTATGTTAATAAATCAAATTATTAAATAAATAATAATTTTAATAAAATTCTCCCGAATTGTCTATTTTTTTTTTTTTTTTTTATGATTAAATACCACTATCCTAAACTATAAATTAGGTTCATAAATATAACAAACAAAACATCATTATACAAGTATATTTAAACTAAACAATAACAATGCTGTTTAACTTTCAATAACCCTAACTAGTTAAGTAATTAAAAAAGATAAATATGATTCAACAGCTGAGTGCTCTTAAAAACTAAATACATGGATTTCTTTATTTAAAGTTTTAAAGATTTATTTTAACTTTATAAAGTTAATTTAGGATAATTTGTAAGAATAGTTTATAAACAATCAATTAAATTTAAGTGAAAATTTAACAAAAAGATTGACATACTTTACACGTGGGTGAATTGAAGCTGAGAAGTTAAGAAGGTAGTAAGAGAAAATTTAATGTATAACTGTACGCGACAATTAACCATTGCTAACGAAAAAAAATGATTCTGAGAGTTTGGTTGATAGTATTACTTTGTTAACAATATATATATATGTCATATATTATGGTAAAATAATTACATATGCATTAAACATTTTCTTTAATAATATTTGTTTAATATTCTACCTATTTCTTGTTTAACCTTAATTTTTTTTTTCATTTATTGGGAAAATCAAAAAATCTACCGAAGTACTTCCCCAGTCATATTTCTTCTCAGAAAAAGTACTATCATTAAAAATCAGAGCAAAATTGCTGGTAGAAGTTATTCACAGGGAAAAAAATAATAATAATCATTGTAAAACCAATACATTCCTCCCTCAACTCAGAATCTAAAACCAACAGATATATTTCACACAATGGGTAGGCCAATGTTGTGAGTAAGAAGTTGGAAAGGTAGAGGGGAAATTTAATGTATATCTGTATGCAAAGATTAATCTTACATGTTTTACTATGATGTATGTTTTTACTCTTTTATTTTTTATTTTTACTTCTTAAGTCATACCTTAATAAAATATGTGAATTTTTCACTTAATGGTATTTTGTTTGAGATAAAATGTTTAGAATTTTTACAATTCGTTCAACAATTTAAAAAAATAAATAAAAATCTAACAACAAATGACAATATATAAGTTTTATTTTTAATGATTTCTGAGTCGCTTTTGCTACGAGAATCAAACAGGACTAATGTTCTGTTCTCCACTTAGTTTTCTTTTCATTTGCAATGACTTATTGATGAACACAGTGTATAAACTAAATTACTCTGTACATCTTAACTTCCCAACAACCCAATGACAACAGTGCCCTACTCGTTAACAGTATAAACTTCATAAAGCCTATAGTAATTAAACAACAAATTTTAATTTTTAAATAATATTATATTTTTTATTTATGTTGTATATAATACATTACCACATGCAAGGCCCAAAGCTAAAATTCCACCAGTACTTGTGCCTGCTAACCAATCAAAACAATGAATAATGGGAACTTTAGTCGAATTTTCTATATAAAGTAATATGGATATCAACACTAGTCCTCTAATACCACCACCATCGAGACATAAAACTCTGCCTCCACGGTGATTCTGGTTGACATTTATTCTCTCGTCCATGAGTTTTTCCATTGCTGTTACAATACATCTTACCTATACAATTGAATATAATATAACTATTAGAAGTAAAGTATATAGTGTGTAAAAGAAATTTGGAAAGATTGGGTAGCAATAGAAAACAAGAATATAAAATGTTAAAACACTAATAATTAAAAAGAATTAAAATCTAGGTTATAATAAGAAATATACTATTTCATAATTGGACCCTTTTAGAAAACAGTTTTAAAAGAAAATAAATATCAGAAAATGAAATGTTTGGAAACTGATGTTATTAACTATCATAATTATTGAATGTGCAAAAATAAAAAAATCTAGGATTGAAATATTTTTAATATAATTTATTTCTAACATTTAAAAATTATAATAGATTGAAAATGAATTACTTTTTAACATTTTATTTTCTTTCAAAATTAATTTCCAAATATATCTAATTATGGAAAATGTAGTGTATATATTATATATTTAAATATTTATTTTTCCAAAATTAAAATTTAGGTTTGTCATTTAAAAATTAAAAATCCACAAAATGAAATAAAATAAAAGTATAATTATACAATAATTGTTTTTAAATGTATATATAAATATACATAATACATGATTGTTAGGAATACAAAAGACGGAATTCAAGCATAATAAATTTACCCACAGTAATTGAGTGTATCTATTTATTATGGACACCCTGCATATAGTATACATTTCTATGATTTCTCTTGCAATGGTTTAACATACATTATAAACTCTATAATATCGGGGTTTTATTTATGTTTTAATTGTACAAATAGGTTAATAATAATAGTATGATACATACTGGCATTGATATAGGTTTTACAGGAGGTAAACCATTGTATTCTAAATTCCAAGCACATCCGTTAGTGCATTCCTTTTCTAATAGAACATTAGAACACCGTTTTGCTCCAATTGCATGCAATATATAAACAATTTTTTCAGAAATTCTACCAGGTCCGTTATTAGTAGCTGCAATATGTCTTGGAGATACACCTTTATGGTTACTGAAAATTATTTAAAATAGTTTTAACTTTTAAAAGAAATAATTTAAATTACAAATTTTAAAATATTGCATACACATAATCTACATCAGCTTCAAACGCAATAAGTGCTTGAATAACCGATACCAAATTTTTTTCAACTGCCAAATGAAGAGGAGTATTGCCTTCTTCGTCAGCTATGTTTGCATTAGCTCCATTGCATAGCAATCCCATAACACAGTCAAATCTATTTCTCAAAACCTAAAATAAGAAAAAATATTGTTTTTTATTGATATAATTACATAAATTATATCAATAATCAGAAGCATAAGTTACAGTAAATAATATTTAATACTACCATGATGTGAAGAGCTGTGCGTTTATCAAAATTCAATGCATTTATATCACAATTATTGGCAATTAAGCTATCAATGACTTCACGAGAACTTGACCAATGCAAAGGGGTACCTCCAAATTTCATGTCCTAAAACAATACAATATTCTAATACTTGCCATAGATGTTAATATTCTGATTTTTTATCTATTTTTTCTTATTAATAAATTACTAGGTATCATGAATCATGGTTAATGTTAGATATATTGAACAAAAAAATGATTAGTAGATTAAATATATTGAAAAAATGTTTGCAAATTTTAACACATAGGGAAAATAATAATAACACTTAAAAAAAAAGATAATTATAGTAAAAAAAATACCCTAAACATATGAAAATAAAAACAAAATGAAAACTATATATCTGGTCAAATAAACATATTATCTATAGTCCCACAAGGTGACCACTTATCGCCACTACTTTTTTCTATCTTCATTAATAATATTCATAGAATCATACAAAATTCAAAAATTCAAAATCCAAAATGCCTTCTATTCGCGAATGATACTAAAATGTACAAAAAAAATTTAATGTCTTGAGAATACGATTAAATTTCATGATTTAAACAACTTATATCAATGGTGTATTAAAAATGTTATGTCACTAAATATTGACAAGTGTGCTGTAATCTCTTTTTCTATAAAAAAAAAAAAAACATGTTATTTTTGATTATACATCAATAATTTAAATCTATCACGCAAAGATGATATTAAGGACCTGGGTGTCTTATTTGATTCAAAACTCACATACAATCATTATATTGATTACATTAGAAATAAAGCTCTAATGAAACTAGGATTCTTAAAATGTGTGTTTAAGGATTTCAATGATAAGTCAATATTTAAGTGTTATATTACTTATTAGTTCAGTCTCATTTTAACTATGCTTCTTTAATTTGGCACACTAATTATATAAACCAAAATCAAATTCTATACTCAGTCCAAAACAACTTTCTAAGATATTTATGTTGTAAATGTCACATTGAAATAGTTCCTCACTCAAGGAATGATTCAATTTGTTGATTTAAAATAATATCTCTTGAATTTTTATACAAATTATTACATATTATGGTTAATTGTTCTGAAATCCTTGAACAATCGCTCAAATTAAAAAATAAAAATAAAATTATAAAATTAATAAATCACATTCAAAAAAAAAATCCCTATTTTACCATTCAACAAGCTACTCAAAATATATGTTATTCACTCCGCCAAATGCTTTTATGTCTGCAGGAAACTCAATACACATTGTATACTTATTTAATACTACCTTATTTAATTTACCAAATATTTTATTAAGCTAATTCTATTTGTATAATATTAATTCCTCTAAAATTTAACTTTTATTTAGTCATTAACTAATTATTGTTCATGTTCAATATTTATAACTTATGTACTATCAAATTATAAATATTTAAGTGGAAATTATTTTTTTCCATTAATAAAATATTATTATTATACTTCTTCTGATTAGTATCCAATACAACTTTTATAACAAACTACAATTTAACCAAGTTGTTTTATAATAAACATATATATATGCAATTTCAGACATTTCTCCCTGTATTTAAGCAGTTGACTGGACACCCCCATTTACAAAAATCAACAGACATATCCTTATCACCTTACCCCTGAATATATTTTAATGACAGGAAATGATAACTACGTATATTGAACTTTTACTAAATTAAATAATGTATATTATAATTAACCATGAAATAATGATGCAAAATGATTATAAAACAATGATATTGATCATCATAAAAAAGTTTTAAAATACTTGTAAATAATATGAATAACATACATTATAAGAAATATAATTTTCTATTATTTTATTGTCACTATTATTATTTTTATTTTTATTATTATAAGTTTTCTCTGTATTATAACATAATTTTTGGGTTTAATAGTTTTTAATAAAAGCTCTAATAAAAAATATATATATAATATTTTGTTAATCGGTTCCACTTTAGAATATGGTCTAGTTATTTAACACTCCTCAAGCAAGACTCAAGTGAATAATAAAAGGGTCCAAAATACATTTCTTTCTTATGTTGCCTATATTTTGGAGATTGAACATATCTTGCATAATTACCATCACTCGTTTCTTCTTACCCTACCAGAGATCCAGAGATCAAAAGCTGTTTAATGTACCTTTCCATTTCATTGTTTATAAGTAGTAATTATCCTCTTCACCGCATACTTTGTAATTATAATATGTAAGGCTATTAGTTCTAGCCATAATTTTCTTATATGTTCATGCTGTATCGATAATTCTTTATCCCTAAGTGTTTTACCTTATATTCATATGCCCAAATTTCTATTGTCGTAATTAATAATTATTATTAGCCTAAGCCCATATTTTTTGTTAAAAACAACTTTTCTGACAAAAAAATATAATATGTTTGGTGTAATATGATTATGACATTATATTATATAATTAAACCATCGACTATTACAGACACATACAAGTGTGTAGTGAGGTATCTACTATCTAAACTATAAAATATAAAATATTCTTTTTGTTATAGTTTTCTGATAAATATGGCTTAGCCCCGCCTCCAACGAAATCTCTAGAGTCGTCCCTGCTTGTAGATATACTATGGATGGAACTATTTGTGTTATACTGTTTACTTAATTGTGTCCAATATAAAACCCCACGTATGCCATGTGTAAGGTGATGTTATGTCTAGTGCGCAATACAAGCCGTGGCTACTGCTGCTGATAAAATTATACAAAATAAAAACAAAATTAAGCAAAATAATCTATTTTGTAAACAAAAATGAATGCAATGTAATCTTTCTGATTAGTTTACAAATTTTTGTAAGTGTACTATGCATGTATCACCCGAAATTATGACAGTAAATAGTAGGTTAATTTGGACACAAAAGTAGGAAACTGACAGAACTCTTACCCATAATATATGATCAAAGTATTTATCAAAAATTAATATTACAAAATTCAAGGATATCCTAGTATTATATTTCAAAGGGAAAACATTTTTATACATGAGAAAAGTTACGTAGATTCAAAGACTACATGTAATAAAACTACAAAATTGATCTTACATGTCTCAATATTTCCTTATTTAGAGTTGACGTCAAATTATTAATAAAATTGAAATACTAGCTAACAGCTGAAAACTCCTAATATTATTTTAAATTGCATATTATATAATATTGTCATACTTCTACAAATAATTTTTTATGATTATCTTGAAGATACTCTTTAACAATGCCTGGCAATTTGTTTTCAGAAATGTTTGTTACAGGAACTCCAGCAGGTATGTTTACATCTGCTCCACAAACCAACAATTCCTTTACGCATTCTGGTTTATCAGCTTGACATGCTAAATGAAGTGGTGTAAATCCATTGATGTTACAATAGCTCAAACACTTAGTGCTCACTTTAGATAAAACCTATAATAGTAATTCAATAATTAGTTATATACTTAAAATATTATACTTATCACTTTACCAAAATTATTTCACTGCTAGATTTAGCAGCATAATGAAAAACTGAATTAGCTTCATTATCCAAATGTTCCAAAGAAATGTCCAAACCAATTAAAGCTTTCACAATTGACAAATTGTTGTCATATATGGCCAATTGAAGTGGTGATATACCAGTTTCCACATCTGGTGTATTTAAGTACCTAAATAAAAATAAATTAGGTACCTACTTAGTGAAATCTAAGTGAAAGTCAACAGTAAACATACGGAACAATATTTGGGTCGGATAAAATATCCATCATTGACAGTCGTACAACTAAATGTGCCACATTCCATGTTGGATGTTCAACGAGTGTATCACACAAATTTTGTATCACAGACAAACAATAACCCTGCGTAATTTATGACTAGGTATCAGTATACAATTATATTTTATTTGCAAATTTAACTTACATCTTTTGAGATACTGAGTATTTTTGGTAAACTATCTTTGAGAATGATAAATCTATTTTCCGAATCTTCAATATTTAAGCCTCTGAATAAACTAATTCAACAATACTCATATTAATATACAATTCTAAATAATACAATAATTAACTTACCTGTATGAAGTTGTCAAACTCTCTGTACGTGATAAATGCAATACAATTTCACTAACATTATTGCTATCAACTGCATACAAAATAATTGGACCATCACGAAAGTGTACGTTACGATCAGAATATTTTTCAGATTTGACTTCAATAACTTTACTAGGATTTTTATCAGGAGTAAAAAATTCTTTCAACGAGTTTAGCCAAGACATTGTGGTTTCAATAATAACCTAGAGCTAATAATCGATATACCTATTGGACATAAGATGACTCTATATTCATATTCAAGAACTTAACAGCCTGCTGTTATATCGAAACTAAATCAAATAAAAGGCTTATAATTTGAGAAATTGTAATGGACTTTGTAGTTTGTGTAATGTAAATTACAATGAAAATATGATTATTCAATATTGTATAATGTAATCATAGACTTTAGACATATAATAGCCCCAAGTGATAAGTAAACGGTAGTAACCTAATAAAATATTACACTAGCATAAAACCATTGATTATAAAATAATTATTCTGTAATCAATATATATATAACTAAAACTAAATAAACAGGCAATAAGCATGTCAGATTGTCACCTAAAATCCCATTTTCGTTATTATTGTGCATATTCCCTGGTCATGGAAAAAACGATACCAGTTACATGCATCCTATATTCCCATACCGTCAGTGATATATAGTAAGTTTACTCTGATATGATGTAATTTTATTATCACATTCTTATCAATAATTACTATTGTTATCAATTGATAAAACAGATAGCAACAGAATGATAATATAATAAAACAATTTAATTAATAGTTCAATTTAAGTGTTCAAAATTATTTCAAATGATTTAATTAATATTGTATTTCAATAATGATTCGCTCTAAATTTATTCAATTAACATATTTCGCTAAATATGTTTGTAGTTCAGGAACTTATAAAAACGCCACGCTATGTTCACAATCTAAAATACCTTTTCAAACATTTCATACAATCAATAATTCTATTCGATGTTATACTAACCTACCAACTGTACAAAACAATGGCGAATCACAACCAGAAACTGAGACAAGCAAGAAAATGCAAATAATATTTACTTGCACAGTATGCAATACTAGAAACAGTCGAAAGTTTTCTAAGATTTCGTACGAAAAAGGAATTGTTATCATAGAATGTGATGGATGCAGTAATAATCATTTAATAGCTGACAATTTAGGATGGTTTCCGGACACAGGATACAAAAATATTGAAGAAATATTAACAGCAAAAGGCGAAAAGGTAAAAAGAATAAATGGATGTTGGGAAATTGTGTCAAAAAGTAAAGCATAACTTACTTATGTATAAAATAAAAATTAAATAAATTATATATTAAACTGTTATTTATTTATTGAAATATATAATTGTATTAATAATAAACCTAATACAATTCTACAATTAATGTATTATAATTTGCATAAAAATAAAAAATAGAATTTAAAAAAGTTACTTTATAGTATTATATTTATCCTAAGACCACTACTTTTTAGCCTTAGCTTTAGTTTTCCGCTTTTTAGGATTATCCTCAGTTTCTATATTTGTTCCTTCAGGTGAACTGATATCTGGCAAAACATCATCTTTATAACTATTAACTTTATTTTTACGACCTCTTGGCAATTTCATTACTTTTTTATCTTCAATTGGTTGCTTCAATTTTCTTACTCGTTTAGCTGGTTTTTTTTCTACAAAAATAGTGTCAACATCATCATCGAAATCAGAGTCAGTTAGCCCTGATGGTAATCCGACTTCTTCACTTTCTACATATATTGCTGCATCTTCTTCATCTTCTACATCTTCTACATCTTCTACATCTTTGGCTTTATCTTCATCTTTGGCTTTATCTTCATCTTTGGCTTTATCTTCATCTTTGGCTTCATCCTCTTCATTATTATCTACATATAATTCTACATCATTAAGTTCATCTAATTCTTTGTCATTCTCTACAACATCTTTTTCAATATCAGGTTGCTTTTTAAGAATGCTTTTCAAAGGTTTAACTATAACATCAGAATCAGAATTAGGATCGCTACAATCATCAGATGTTACCATGTCAATATCAGAATCTATATTGTTAGTATATTTGATAATCTCCTTTTTAACTAAACGTTTAGTTGGTTTATCTTTTTTTAATCTAGATATTTTTAGAGCTTCTGTTCCATTTTGAATCTCCAGAGTATCTTCTGTAAATTTCTAAAGAGTTAAACAAAATAAAATTAGTAGGTAATACAAATGACTGTAAATTATCATTAGTATTGTTATTAATTACTAGAATAATAGTATATATTATATACAAGGTGATCCATTTAATTGGGGATACTCATATCTCGAAAAGAATTAACTTTTTTCAGAATTTGTTTTATAGAACATTTAAGAACAAACAACTCTATAATTTTATATTTATGCTATTTTTTGGGATAAAACTACTATCTACTTTGATTTTCAAATGACAACCTACATTAAAAATTGCATAAATATAATAAGTATTAGTTAAAACACAATTCGGTGTGGACATTTTTGATTTAAGTCAACCAACTGACAAAACATTCTACTTTTAAGTTTGGGTCATGAGAAAGTAATGGTGCTTTATTAAAACACCGCAACACAAATGCTTTATTTATCTCCCTAGACTCAAACTTAAAAGTGGAATATCTCATCAACAGGTTGACGAAAATTAAAAATATTTACACTGAAATGCATTTTAATTAATACATAATCTGATGCAATTAATGATAGTAATTTTTAATAAAGGTTGCCATAAGAAATGCAAAAGTATATAGTAATTTATCCCAAAATATCACATAAATATAAAATTATAGAGCTGCTTTTAATGGGCGCTTGTTGTGAGGGAGGGGCAAGAGTGGGGAAATTTCCCCCTTTGAAAATAATAAAATATCAAAACAAAAATTATGAAATGAATTATTATTTCCTTAAGCAAACAATGTATACTAATGTACATTACATTACCACTTACAACTAGCACTGTAAAAAGGTCTTTTAGTACTTAGCACAGAATCAAGATATGGCTAAGGTCAGTAATAAGTAATGAAAGACTTGATGGGTTATACATGATGAGTGTTCTTAGGGAAAAATGGGGGGGGGGGAAATTAAAGATCGCATACACTAAAATAAGAATAGATAATTTTTGTTAATGATACAAATACAATCATTGATGGATTTTCAATATTTTTCCGAGAACTGTCCTGAAAAACCATACATATGTCAATAATATCTATTAATAAATTTTTACTTTTATGACATTTTATTCAAATTATATCGGTGTCTAGGGCATCCAGACTCTGTTATAAATAAATCCATCGGTAAGTACAAAAATAAAATTAGAAACAAATCAAATGAAAAAGAAATTAACTATTACCTACCTACCTACCCCTTTATTGAAATAAAACATATTCCAAATTTGTTTAAATAATATCTATAATTAATCAAAACCAAATATTTAATTTCACCAACTGAGAAGAAACAATTGTACAACATTAAATTTTAGTATCCATTTTGTGAAAAGAAATCCATTTAATACAATTTTTAAATATTTCACTAAATGGAAAAAAAGGTTTCCATTTTATGAAGTGAATTACTTTTCATGGAATACAGACATTTTTTTTTTTTTTAATTGGATATGATAATTTGGAAAAATAACAAAATGCAATTTAATTAACATAAAAAGAATTGACTTATTTTTTTAAAATGGATTTCAAAAATAAATATAAATGCAATTGTAAAGCTAAAGCTTTTTATTTTTTTTAGTTAGGTATATTAAAAACTGAACTTGTGAGATATGTTTTATACCTAATTTATTTTTTTATTTTCTAAATAAAAATAAATAATAACGCTACCTAAGTTATCTATTATTATTATTATTATTTAAGTTTATATACATTCCTTCATTTGAGTTCTAGGAAATTATTAGTGAAAAGAGGGTTTACCTATACCTAACCTATTACCTTACCTAAGTTCAATAATTTACCTAAAATAAATAAAAGTAGATAAATATGTCTACGATAATAATAATAAAATCTGTATTAAAAAAAAATTTAATAAGGGTGATGTATTTTAGAAAAAATATAAGTATAAGTTGTCCCAATTTTTTTTTCTTTTTCTTAAATGCATGACTACTAAAAGTGATTTTTGTTTAAGTAGTGCAACTAAGTTCCAAATCTGTTAGGGTTTTAAATTTATCTCTTGCACAAATTAACTTTAAAATTGAATATCTATTTTTAAAATAAAATAGGTGTGTACCGATAAAAAATAAATACAATTTGTTTTTCTTACTTTAAATGCTTGTTCTTTTTTTAAGCCTTTTTGTTTTACTATAGGCTTATCATCGGTATCTGGAATAATGTTATTTTCTTCAGAATCTAAATTTTTTTTCATAGTTCTTTTAAGTTTAGTCTTTTTTTCGTTGATAATAGGATCAGGAATAGATTCTGCCTTTTTTAAGACTCTTTTGGATTTTTTTTGTTTATCATCATCTTCATTGTTGCTTTTAGTAGTTTTTTGATTTTTTTTTTTTATATTTGTTACAACACTTGGAATCTCTGATGCCAATCTATCCACACTGTTAGCTCTTCGTGTTTTTTTTATTGGCTCAATTAAAGACAAAGTTTGACTTTCAACTTTTTCTTGTTTCTTTTTATTATTTTTTACTCCCAATTTTTCTCTTGTCTTTGTTGGGCGATCTTCACTAATTGCCCTCTTTCTTGTTTTTTTTTCTTTAGGGTCATTATCAGTTTTATCTATTTTTGATTTTGATTTTGATTTTTCTTTTGCAACTTCAGGCGATTTTACATCATCCGATTGGGTATTACTTTGGTTAACCATTCGATCTTCAAACATACGCAGTTTTTCATCAGTCTCTACAAGTGATTCCGTTGCTAAAAAATGAAAATAAACACTAATCATTAATACAATGATAGTTTTTCCACAATGTTTTTTTTTTTTAAAAAAACTAAATTTTAACAAAATTTAAATATTTAAAAAGTAAAGATATAACTTTTTGATACTTTTAAAGTGCCATAACACAGCTTATTATAAAACTTTTATCATATTTTAGAGCATTCCTATGAAAATAAAAAAAAATAAATATTATCCGAACTAAAAAAATATTCCTAAAATCTATTATATTAAGTATTGGGTAGAAATTGAAGGTCTACAAATTATATATATTTTAACTGAATTACAACAAAAAACCGAAATTGAAAATAAATAAACTGTTGTTGTGTAAAAATATTCCAGTTTTTTAAATTATTAAAAAAATGTTAAAGTAAATTCATAAAATGAAATTAACTAGACAAAATTTGCTACCAGTAACATTCCTTAAAATTGATGACTGAGTCAGTTTCTAGTAGAATACCATTAGTTATTAAAAAAATAAAGCACAGATCTCATAGCAAAACACAAATACATTCCTGACAACTCTGTATTAGTCTACTACTAAAATCGCATAATAAATAATAGTAAAATAGGAAACAGGTAAATTATTAATTTATTTAACAAATTAATATTGTCATTTCTAATCAATTTCATTTTTTTATACTATACCAAGCACTAAAACATCAAATCAATAAATACACAATAGTAAATTCAAGTAACTTTGTATTTCTCAGTAACTCCACAAAAAAAAACTGATATACTTTACACAATGGGTGGGCCACTGTTGTAGGTAAGAAGTTCAGAAGGTAAAATATTGAGAGAAATTTAATTTAAGTATACACACAACAATTAATCACTGCTAATGAATAACCTATTCTGAGCAAAATTTGGTTGAAAGCAATCTTGTAAAAGATTCTTATAAAAAGGATTCAAGTACAAATACAGATAGGTACTTTCATAAGGATTTAAAATACGTATTTGAATACTTGGAAAAAAGTATTTAAATACAAATACAAATATTTTTCAAATGTATTTATAAATACTAACAAGTCAGATTTTATTTTATATAAAAATGTGTTTTACCTTTTTACATTAACCTAATATCTTTTTTGATCTTTTATAAATACATTTAATCATTAGTAAACTAAATTAGTTATTTATTTTAGCGCTATTTAGTTTTATTTAAATAAATTAGAATAAGAAAATTATTGAACTCTGTATTTTTTGAGCTTTGGTGAATGTACTATCAAATGTAACAACTTTGAACTTGGACAACAATGTAATATATTTAACAGTCATTAGTAATTTTATAAACGGAGCAGTGAATTGTTGTAAAATTTAAATTATTTTATTTAGATTTGCATCCCAGTAAGAAAATATTTAGTTTTAAATACATATATTTTTAAAAAAGTATTCAAATAATGTGTCTAAGGAATTTTTTCAAGTTTATTTAAAATACGTATTTGAGTACTTAAAAAGTATCTGAATACTTTTACTCAAGTACTTTACAAGACTAGTTGATATTGTTGCTTTGTCAACAATATAATATAATATGTCATATTATGGTAAAATAATTAAATAGGCATTATATATTATTTTTATTAATATTTGTTTAATGTGCCAATTTTTTTTTTTTCGAGTTTTCACATTTGTTGAAAAAACTCCTAGGAAAATCAAAAAATGCATATGCATTATGTATTTTTTTTTTAATATTTTTTAAAATTGTACTTATTTTAACAAGTTATTTTCCCAGTTTTTCATATTTAATGTAAAAACTAGGAAAGTCAAAAAATGATCTTTCTAAAATATCTCCCTAGTCAGATTTCTTTTCAGGAAAAGTGCTATCATTGTAAATTGGAGCAAAATTGCTGGTGAAAAGTTGTTCACAGAAAACAAAATAATTTAAACATCATTATAAAACCAATCCATTCCTCGCTCTGCTCAAAACTTAAAAGCTTTTATAAGCATAAATCTTTATTTTAGCATAAATGTGGCATGGATATTAAATAATTTGAATGAATAATATTTGTTTTTATTTACAGTAAAATTTTCTTAAAACAAGACAATGATCAGTTGCAAAACTATCATTTTTTTTCATGAGAGAGGTCCAAAGACTTATATAAATTACCACAAAATCATTGCTTCACTGCATCAAATTCTAGATTAAATAGTGTGCATACTACAAGGATCGAGGAGGGGATCCAGATCCCCTTAGTTATGCCACTAACAAGGACTATCTCCCTCCCTTCCTATCCCAACTTCAATATAAATATTATTGGGTTAAACAATTCTCTTTCAAGTTTTAACATTTGCATTACATAAAACAATATTAAAATATTCTCAATAAGCCATCTGAACACAAATATCATTCTCAGTTCATATTGTGGTATGTAATGATGAACAATAAACTTTAGAACATTAATTTGAACTAATTGAATACAATCAATAGGTAAGTGAACGACACATATTTTTTTTATTTTTATATTTTATTTTCTTAAATAATACTGAATAAGTATAAGTGAAAGTACCTGGGTATATAAGTTTATAAACGCTATAAATAATAGCTACTTTTAATTAATGTTTAATTTTAGGTAGGTACGAACATTATAAATTATTAACCATTATGAATACCAACACAAAAAAAAAAAAAACACAAATTTAAAAAAACAAATTAAATATGTATAGGTTACCTTACACATATATCAGTATTGCTTCTACTTTTTTTAAGTGAATCAAAGTAAACTAAATTATTCCAAATTCTACCAAGAATAACATTTTTTATTAAATTATTTTGGGAGGACTTTTGATTTTCAATTAGCAACGTATATTACAAATTCTATAAATAGATGACATTTTAGTTTAAATAAACTAAAACTTCATCTAAATTAATTATTTTTAACAATAATCAATCATTTTCATCATTAATCTCAATTATAAATGTCTGCCAACCTGTTTACTACACATCCCATTTTTAAGTATAGCTAGCTAAGATGAAAGCAGTGAAGAGCTATTTTCAAAGGTTTTACACCGCGGAGTCACACAAATTATGCTCCACTACTCTACCACTACCCAAAATTAAAAATGGAATACCTTGTTAATAGGTGGATAAAAATTAAAAATGTCAACACCAAAATCAATGTACACTAAAACTTCACCTATTAATGGAATTTTTAATTTAGGTTAAAAACCAAAGGTGAATAGTGTTTCATCCCCAAAAATGAGGGTGGCAATAAATAACGTTAATATAGCATTTTAAAACTACCTATTTGTTTCTTAAATTGTCTGGAAAAAAAAAATCTAAACTAAGTTAAAATTTTCAGAGATAATAAGTGTAGAGGATTGATCACTGTGTACAATAGGTATATTAACTAACAAGATGAGCAATTATTTAAATTTGTACGCAGTATACTCAATAATCATTATTAGACCAGACAATTTAATGTAAAATCAGTTTCATTAATTAATAATTAATACTTAATTGATTTTAGATTAAAATTATTGTTTATACTAGAAACATTATTATTTGTTTAGAGAAAAACTTTAAAGAGTTATAAAACTACAAATTGTATCTATAATAAAGTAGATGACTTAACAATTGCAAATGTAATAGGTAACTACTCTTAAAAATTGCAAGTGTAAAAAAAAACAGTGTAATAAATAAAATGTACAAAAAAAATCTTTAACAATATAAAAATACAGCCGTTGTTAGGAAAATATGAATGAAAATTAATAACAATAAAAATATTAAATAATTGTAGTTATACAACATGTATAATTAAAACACAAATAGATTTTCTACATTTATAAAGTTTAAATTAAAATATAAAGGTTGATTCGTAATCACGTTGATTGTTTTCATCGACTATTATAATTATCATAAATTAAATTAACAGCTACACAGTAACATAATTTATTTATAACCTATTGTTGTAGGTGGGACTTTGGTAAGGTAGAGAGGAAATTTAATGTATATTTGTACACAAAGATTAATCATTGCTAACGAAAAATACTGGTGGTTATACATGTTTTGAAAAATTATAATATTAACGGTTTGAAAATAATATATTTTGTAAATTTTCCCTTTTTTTCACATTTACTATGAAAGCCCAGGATTGTAACGAATAATACAATAAAGTATAAAACATACAGTATAAAACTATTAGGTCCGTTTTCACAATGTCCAGTTAAGTTTCAGTTAGCGCTAACCGGAAGTTAAATTGAAATTTAACCGACAGTTGGTTCTTACATAGATAGGTTAGGGAAAAAGTCTCCGGTTACCAGAGGTTTTACAGTAGGATTTTTAACAAACGTAATTCTGCAGGTTATCCTCCAGTTAAGCTAAAATCTCTCGTTACCAATAGGTACTTATTAATACTTTTTATGATTACTGTTACTACTAATAATTTATTCTGTACTACTAATTTTGTGTTTTGAGTATATCTTGAGTTTATCCATAAAGTGTATACATTTCTGTTAGAATTATGACAAGAGCAATATGTCAGTATATAACTGCAATTTAATGGAAAGTGATTCTTAAGACTACAAAAATGAAATTTCAGAATTGAATATTGCAATTAGGAAACAGAAAATTTTAAGAGAACACAATAACTACCTAAAATTATTATTGGTTTTGCAGCCAACTCGACCAACATACTCCAATTGACCCCACTCCCATTTTTAAATTGTGATTTTAGTATTTTAATTTGGTTTTTAGATATTATTAAATTATTTATTTTTATGAATTACCTTAGTTACACGGATAGATATGAAAAAAAAAGTTTGGTCAAAATATATCTATGGTAATTATATAAATAAAAATAATTCTAAAGATCTATGTGCCATATTATTTTATGCAACAAAATGTAATGTTAGTATTGATGTTTTTTTTAAATTGTCATTGAAGATAAAAAAAATATGTAGGCCTTTTTTAAAAATTCAGTACATTAAATTAAAAAAATGAAAGGCTGGCATTTTTTTATTTTTATAGGCCATCATCATCTACAACGATTCATTCCTCTTTCAATCATAGATACCATCCCCACATACCTACAATAAGTTAGTTATTTTTAATACTACAATTCACTAGAAATACATAGCAAAACAACCTTCTATTTTTTTTTTTTTTTGCGATTTTGGTATTTTTGCTTATATATATACATACACCAAATAATTTAGCTAAAAAAAAAATAATAAAAAAATGGCACGGGGAATGCTGGGCAGGACAACTTTACAATCATTCTCAAGTTTTTCCTGATAATATATGGAAGTACAATTCTACCTTTCATAAAGAAATGTTATAACAAAAAACTAAACACAAGTCAATCAATCAATTTCATGGAAAATTCCTGGCAAAGTAAAAAATTAACTATAGAAGAAAAAATGTATAAGTATATCAATCATTGGGACAAACAATAATTTAATTTAACTAATACAATTTGGTTATAAATCTAGTTTAACACTCCCCCTCGAATTTTTTTTTTTCCGGAAACATGTATTTCAACATTTTATAACTTATGGTGCCAAAAGTGTTTAACTGAAATCATTAATTTTAGAGTTATTGTTGATTTTCGGTGTTTTACACATATTCAAAAGCAGACTATACTAAACGAACTACCTACAAGTCACCTGTTACCTACCAGATGTGGTTTTGCACAACAAATCGAGTTATCTTCGATTAAAATTATCCGAGTGAGTGCAGTGAGTACATTCGGTCTCTTAATCCGCCTATAATGCTATTTCACTTTTCCCTGTTATACTAAACTTAACCCGACTGGACGTGGTTTTGTAATTTCAAAAATACGATAATACCATATATTTTTCTACGTTCCAAAAAAAATCCGAAATTTCGAGGGAGTGCGAAACTAGACCTTGATTTTCAATAATTAATTTTACACGATCATAGTTACAACGTTGGTTCACTTTGATTTCAAAAACAAATATTGAAAACTTCGTTATAAGCACTGTAAACTATAGAGTTATGCACATGCGTTAACACCGAAAATCGTGAACTTCGTAAATAACTAAAGCAGTAACTTTAAAATCAATGGTTTCCTCAAAAAACTTTTGGCACCATAATTTTAATAACGTTGAAATACATGTTTCCGAAAAAAATTTAAAACTTCGAAGGGGTGCTTAAATAGATTTGTTCCAATAAATGTGCTATAGTTGAGGTTAGGTGTTTTATAGGAAATACATTATAGGCACAACAAAAGATTTCCTAAACCGATTGGCATGTCATTCTACTCACCCTTTTCAAATGGTCGCCTGGCAGTAAATTTCGGTTCAGACATGTCCTTCCCATCTACATCGTCATCCTTATCGACAATCTTTTCGTTTGGGTCGATATTTTCGACCGGCACTTCTTTGGACCGGATAACCTTCTTGGCTGCAACCTTTCGTTTAGGTGGCATAATGGTTATATGGTTATGATAAATACGATGAAAAATCAAAACGTGTACAATCCGGAATATAATCACTAGGTACCTGTAGGTAACAAAAAAAAAACAAAACTAAATTACAATGTTGAAATTATCTAGAAGCAGTTATTGTCATTGTTATTAATGTAGTGGCGTCGGTATAGCATACCTATGAGAACGTTAAAACGGGGAAACAAGTGATAGATCGATAGCAAAATGAACTGGAAAAGTTCAGAGGAAAACTGAAGCACACGAAAACGGGCACGCAGCAGCCATCAACGAGCTACGGGCACGTCAGTAGCCATTTTGAATCGCAAGTCAAACCAACGGTCAACGGAGGATTACGTAGGACGCGGGGGTCGGGAACGGTATGCGGAAAGCGAACTGGTACCAATACAGCGCTACCACCCCAAAAACCCGTGACGGTAGAAAAAATCGGTTGCGACAACTTTCGTGGGATATTTCAAATTATTTACTTACACAATAGTGTTAAAATTTCCCCGCGTTTAAAAATTCAATTGGAACATTAGTTGTCGAGAAATTCAATAATTCTAAAACTATTATTTTCGGTAGGTAAGTGATGTTCGTTTATTATCCAATGGAATAATTATTACCTCGTATCCGACGCACCTGATGTATTTGTTCAGTTTGTTATTCTCGACTATGTAAAATATAATTGGTAAAGCCGTATATACGGTTATAAATAGAATATCCGACCATTATTTATTTCGTATTTTATATTATAAAAAAAAAATATGATAAAATATAATATATTAAAACATATTATCGCTGTTATCGCATATTATCGGATTTATTTTGATACTTTTAAAAAATATTCATGGACAACGGTCCAAAAGGAATATATTATGTTAGAGAGTCTATAGGTCAGTAGGTATATTATATTTTTATATAGGCTCTCTAGTTATAGGTACTCGTATACAGTTTAGAACCTAGGATAATAATGCCGATACTATCATACTGGTACAGTGATACGTATACCTACGGTACAATAGTATTGCAAATTTACGTATTTTACTTTTTAAGGGGATTGGAAGCGACGAGTTTCTGTCTTTGTCTTACACACGTGAGATATAGGGATTTATATAGACAAGTTTTATTTCCAACATACCAATTAGTTTAGTGAAGCGATAAGAATTTTGGAAATAGATTTGAATTTATCGTGAAATCTTCTTGAGATCGACTTTCTCATTTTTTTAATTTATCTCCTTAAATTCTAAAAAAGCCATACTGATAAAAGAGTAATTAAAAAATGGAATATTTTAATTTTTTGAGAAAATAAAATCAAAAGTCAAAAAAGTGGGAAAGTCAATCTCTAATAGACTTCACGACAAATTATTCAAATCTGCTCTCAGAATTCTTATCGCTTCACTAGATCAATCGGTACGTTGGAAATAAAACACGTCTAAATCCTTATATTTCACGTTTATAAGACAAATACAGAAACTCGTCGCTTCCTAACCCCCGTTTGTTAATAATTTTACTCATCGTTTTGAATTACCCTCATTATTATATAAGGGCCAGATCCAGAACAAGATAATAAGGGAGGAGGGCGATTTGGAAAATTGCATATTATATATTAGACAAACGTTCGATTACATTAATTTATTAATATTTTTAATTTTTGATAGAGAAATGTCGTTTACAGACAGAGTAAAAAAAACCAACATGCTTATCGCTATTATCCCCCGAATCTAAGATTTGTATTATTTTGTAATATTACATATTTGTACATTGTTGAGCCAAGCCTATACTCATGTTATTGAATCGATATAAATATATAATTATGAATTTAAAAAACTTGTTTATATATACGCACACCTAATTTACCTATATTATGTTATATGGTCCGATTACTCCGATTTAATTTAATAATTTGAATGATTCGTATATTATTATACTAAAAGACAAATTTATCATTTATTTATAATATTATAAAACAAAAGCAAAATAAACAATTAAACGTTCTAATATAGATTTCTACGCCACTGCAAGTCTACAGTATACGTATTATTTATTACATAAGATATACTTTTTTATGTCGTTTAATATTGACTTTTAGTTGAAATACTTGAAACAAATACCTACTTAACATAGTTTTTACCTTAAAATATCAATAATAATTTATCATTTAATTATATTAAATAAATATTTACTATATACACGGGTGAATTTAATTTATTTTGGACTTTCAATCGTATTTTTCATCATTCATAATTCACGCATTGTGACTAGGTACCTGCCAAATTGATTGACTTGTGTCAAATTACTATTGAAATTTGACAACGTTGAACGTTTACAATATTTACTTGTATGTAGATCAATAATTCATGATAATATTATAATTTTCATATGCTGATAACAATAGATCTCGCGACGATAAAGTTGATGTTAAAGCTTGAAGAGGACAAAATAAACAAAACAAATATAATAATATTATAATTATACTGTTGACTGATTGGTCATCGACTCATTCATCAGTATATTTTTTTGCGTTTTATCATAAATGTTAATAGTAGATATTAATATTATAAACGAATTATTATTATTTCTATATTGCTTCTCGTCGGCTGTGTCCAATTTTACCTATTCCAAAATTGTTTTATATATACTTATAAAACATTTTATTCTATTAAATTAATTACTACTTATGTATACTATATTATGATTAAATAAAAGATAATCACAACAGATCTCATAATTTAATACTATTTTGTACCTACGTCTGATCCATGGCCGTCCTTAGGGAGTATATGGGAGGAGGCAGAGTATGTCAAGGCCCAAGGCCCAGGCGTCGTGTTCAGAAACAAAAAATACGAATTATAATATATTTTAAATTATATACATAATAAGAAAATTATATCATTTCATAGCATTTTAAATTTGAATAAAAATCATTTTAGGACAACAACGACTATTTGATTAGACTTATTGACTATGATTTCTAATAAAAGTGATTCATGTGAATGTTTAGGTCAGGGTGACATAATTTATAGGTATTTTGAAAGTTAAATCACAAAACTTACAAATATGTTTAATCGTGAACTTCTTTCTGAATCATTTTTCGTTAGCAATGAATAATGATGTGTCATTGCGCACAGATATAATATATTAAATTACCTACTCTGTACATGACGACAACTAAAATCATCAATATTTTAAGAAAACTAAAAACGATGAAATGAAACATTCTTGCTTTTATTTTAAAGTTGATCAAACTATACCTGGATTAAATGTTTGATTTAGTCCCGGTTTTACTATTCTATGTTTTATCTGAAGAATAGGTATTCTGAGTATAAAGTTATACTACAAATTATCTAGAGTATAGAATATTTTGGTTTTATAAAGTAATAAATTCTCTAGATAAAAATTCTCTGGATAGCTTTGTGATATGAATTATGTGTGAAATAAAGAAAAATTATTGTTTACATTTTTCAATCACCAACAAAAGGGTCACTTCAAAGTTTATAGTGAAAATGTCTATAATTTTTTTCTTGTGTGACCGTGATGGAGGGGAGAGTGGTCAGATTGTGGGGTAGTTAGCCATACCCAACTCAGAAGTCTGTGCACGCCTATGAATTAAGTATTTTATAATATTTACGATATTCAAATACTCTTTGGTAAATACTAGTAGATCAAATATACTAGTACCATATGTAGCTCCATGGCCGGTCATTGTGAAGTACTGTAGTTTGATCTAATTTGTTTTCATCACTGTCCACGACAAGTGTAATATAATAAAATACTATATTTAAATCATTTCTAAGTTTTCAAATTTCTATTTAAATAATCTTTATGTTTAATATTCTATACTATTGGAAATTGTTCGTGTAGTTTGAGAAATTTGAAAATATCAACATTGTTCCACTTTACTTTAAAATCATCATCGTGCATTTGTTTGTTATTATTATTATTAACAGAAACAATAAAATATAATAAATAATTAAAAACTTAATGTTATTATAATATAATTGAATATTCAGTGTCATTTATAACAATCCCACTGCCGGAGAAATACAAGTTTTATACCAGGTCAAAATGAACAACTATAGTTGTTGTCCATTTACAAGATACTATTTTTACTCCCATCTGTTAAAATAGCACGCCAGTGGGTCAAAACGTTGAAATATTTCAACTTTACTAGCACACTAGACGATGCTTTTTTACTGATAAGTTAGTGAAATAGCTCATTACTTGAACTATATGTATATCCACGATACCTATGTAATAAATTGTATTAATAAGAAATATAATATCATATAATAATAAATGTATATGATTGGAAATTCCTATGCTCTAAAAACCCAAAATAAATGAGGTTTTATATAAATGAGAACAGAATATAAAATATATTTTAACGGTTGTGTGCCTATGGAGTGTGGACGGCGTATAGTCGCCGAGCAGCACTATAATAATATTATTTTAGTCCACGGTCGAAAAGATATTTGGGAAAAATTGACGATAAGGCGATAGGTGATATGATATTATTTTGATTGTGAGTTCGTAAACTTTGACATACTGCACAGGAGACGAGACATAACTATAATTTAAGTTTTCGAATTCTTATAGTCATAAATAATAACGTTATCGTTGATCTCACAGCGAGTAGGTTTGTGCATTTATCAACCGATTTGGAAAATGAAAAATAAATACCAATGGCATACAATATTAATATCGTTTGATTTTACTTCTTGTCGAAAACTGCTAATAGTTTTTAGAGAGGGAAGCACTTAAAATTAAAAGACAATCCCTAACAACCCTAAAATTGTCTACCAAAACAAAACAAAATAGTACCTATGGATATTATTAGAATTAAGATTCTATCATTTATTCACGATTCTTATTTGCTACATACCCTCCCATTGAAATTTCCTGGGCACGCCACTGCCTGTTACTTAATTTTAATAAGTGTTATTGATTAATATTTTTAAAATTAAAACACATTTATAATAATTTATCATGTTCAAGAAGTTTTTGCTAATTATTAACATAGGTTATTTATAATAATAATAGTTCTTAATTCTCATAGTTATAACTTATAACATAAAATCTAAAGTAAAAGGTACTAATTTATTGATATCTATTGGTATTCATTAGTCTATTAAATGATAATAAAAATATAAATAAGTATATATAACTAAAAAAATAGAATATTATTACGAAGAAACAAAAATTAACATTGATAAGGTTAATACCCATATTTCTTACCTAACATATTTTGTGTAGATAAATAAGCTATAATAAATAATCGCCAATGATAATAAATCTAAAAGAAAATATAAAATATATGACTGTAATGTGAATAATTGTGCAACCTATACATAAATTCAAATTTCAAAATTATAGAAATATAAGATCGGTGGTAAATTGATTTTCTTTTAGGGAGGGAGTATAAGGTTGATTTTGTTAACATTTTCTAGTAACTATTATTATTTATGTATAAAATATGTATATATTTTTTTTTTATAAATAAATAGGTAATGTTATTTATATTATTATAAATATTAAAGGAAACAGCGTCGTGGAGAAATGTATTCCCTTACACTCCCCTCCATTTTACCACCCCTAAATTATTTTCATAGATAATTTATTATCTATGATTATATTATTCAAATTCTGGTGTGCCTGGGTAGGTACCTGCTTTTATTGTATCAATAAGTTAACCTTTCACCTACCTATTTATCATAATGTATTTTGTTATGCAATTTTTGTAAATCGGGCTCCACCCCGTTATCTTAATAAATAACTAAATAAATAATTTAATAAATAAATAAAAAATATACATAGGTATACAGTGTGTTATTCTATTTAGTCAATAATATTAAATCAATTAAAGTCAATTCAATGAAGTAGAAGTAGAAGTATACTAATAAATAGTTATATTATGAAATATAATAGGTACCTAATAATAATAACATTCAAGTTGAAAGTATAATATTATAGTTTGCAATTTAAATAAATAACAGTATACCTACTTAGGTAAATTAAAGTTTAGTTTTTAAGTAGATACCTAAATAGTATTTTTAGTTAAATATTTAAAAAATTATTAATATTATTGATATAATATATACCATAATATTCAATTTTAGCTGTGTAATTTCTGAATAATATACATTATATTATAATATTTTGGTTATAATTTACATACTTATAGTTTATTTTAATTTTTTTTGAAAACCTACTGAACACCGTATGACGTGAAGACACTTCGCTTTGCGATATTTTTTTTGTAATCTAAAATTCTAAATGACCTATTGCTTTCTAACGATTTCTTGATAATTATATTTTCTGGTAATATTCAAGTTTCTATATTATACCTATTTCGAATCGCGTACCTATTGTACTTAATACGGGTAACACATAAAGTCATAAACATTATTATTATATACCTCTAACGGAGTAAACATATATTTTTGTTTGAATTGTAATCAGCATACTGCAACATACTATTATTATAATAATTAATTATACAAACAAAGTAATAATAATATTATTATAATATTAAAATGTCTGCAGATAATAACGCCGTATCACTTCAGGTCCCCACTGCCACTATAATATTATACGGTAATATCGAGTCATCATAATAATAATAATTATTATTTATTACCTACACTCATTTATTTACTATATTAGTTAAGTACCTACCAAGTCAATGCATAACAAAAAAAATATAATATCGTCAATTCTGTTATAATAAGTAAAATCTATCGCTTCATTTGTAATATTGTAAACTTTTACGGGTATGTGATATTATATTATTATTATAAATATTATGTGTCCAAAAACGTATAAAAACATTATACACGTTATAGAAGTGAACAGAAAAAAGAAACCGAACCGTCAAACATGCAGAGGGCATCGGCTATTACGACACTGGTTTTGATTGCTAGCGTTGCGTTTACATATGCTGCAGGTAAATTTGAACAGAAGTTGATTATATAATTATCTATACACGCGAATCGCATGCAAATTTAAACATTTTGTTTTTCGTTTTCCTGTAGACCTTTCGCCCGCGGTGAACTGGTCTTCAGACGATGACGCGTTACCGGAAGTGTTACCGAAAAAAATGAGTGGCAAAACTGACGATGAAATTCAAAAAGCTCTTTTTCAAGCGTACGAAAACCAGCTGAAAGTGATTTCCGAGTACAGTGGACACGTGTTGGATCCAGAATTTCCTTACGGGCAATTCAAAGATGAGATGCCCGTAACGAATGCGAGGACTTCTAACTCACAGTCTGATATTACGTTTTACAATAACAACATTAGAGGGTTTGTCGGTTACAACAAGAACAGTATAAACATTAAATGGGTTCCAAATCAGGTACCCACCAATAATTGACTAATATTGTAATTGTCGGTTTATTTACGCATTTGTTTATATTAAGTAGGTACCAAATATAATAGTCTGTTGCTCAGTTGCACCAACATTATCGTTATTTATTGATAAATTTAGCAGAGCTCGGGTAAGAGTATTGCTCAGGGGCGTCTTCAGATCAATTCCATGGAGAGAGCGAACAACTTTTACTCTTGAATACCACCGTTTTGGTCAACAAAAATTTAAAACTTTTTCGTCTGATGTCATTTCAACTTATATAAGCTTAGACGACTGTAGATGTATTGTACAAATGCAGTAAAACAGTATAATTTAAGATAAATTATTTTTTTTCATATTATTTAAATAATAATTAAAATAACATGAATATGAATAACAACAATTTGAACAATTTGAACAATTTGAAAATTGGTTTTGAACAATTTAATTAAAAACGTAACCCTTTTTCTTCATAATTTCTTATCCAATTTAGACAATATGGTCCATAAACATAAAAAGATCACCTACTGACCTGCATCTATTTAACAAAAAACAAAAAAAAAAAAAACTAAATATCTTATATATAAATAATATGATGATGAAATCCTAAATTTAAATTTATAAATTGTATATTTGTATGCCTATTGTTTTTTAAGGTGGTTACGGAAATAGGATGGAAAGAATGGAACATTAGAGGAAGGTACACGTTTATGAACTCTTCGTTTTTCGATCAAGGAAAATACCTCATTAAATTGCAAGATATAAAGTATCTCGCTGGAACTACACTTTCGGAAAATACCGAGGCTTACCCGTCAACAGTACCGAAATCTAGTATTTCGTATAAAAATATTATATCGTCGTTTATCACTAGTGGTTCATTGGAAATCTTGAAGAATAGTGATTTCCCAAATATCAAGTAAATATTTTGTATAATTAAATAAAATAATCTTCTTTTTCTTTTTTTGACCTTTACAACACCGGAAATGTTTTCTCCATAACTCTCCATCCATCCACTCTCATCACCCTAAAGGATCTAAGGTCCTCTTCAACTACATCGATCTATAATTCCCTAGGTCTAATTACCACGAGACTAATTTCTCTGACATATTTTAATTCTAGCACTGTTCTTATGGTACACCTGTTGCTTTTCTTAATACAAACAGTGATTTTTTTTTTCATGAACCAACAATTATCTCAGAGAAAGTGAATTTGATTTTTTTTTTTTATCATTGTGGATGGAATCAATTATTTTTAATTATTACCCCTACTCCATATACCTTAAATAAGTAAGCACATACTTCTATTTTTCAAATAGGAACCTCCCTTTTTGGACACAGATTCGAATAAAGAAAAAAAGAAAGATTAAATTTGTTTTTTTTTCTTTTAATCGTTGTGAAATCGTTTATTTTAAAACATTTTCACCCCTACTTCATGCATATTAAATAAATACATACTTTTGTTTTTCAAATTTTAAATTTAAATATTTTGCTTTGACCGTAGGTTTATCTACTATATTTAGATAATATATGAAAATATAGGTTATAATACCTGCCTAATATTATTTGTAAATTAAAAAACAAAAAAATAAAAAATATCGTTTGGTAAAAAAGCGAATACAATGGTTACGCAATCCATATTATATCTATACGCGTATACGTATTAAATATCAATTCTATTTCGTTGACAAGTTATTATATTGTAGACCATAATATTTTGGTCCGACGTGATATTATACCAACCGATTACAACACTAGCGTAAAAATTTAAATTTAATTACACAATAACGTATAGGTATTAAAATACGGAAAATGTAATGTGTAATGATTACCTATATTGTTTTCAATAATTTGTTGGTAGCCACTAGCTACAGGTATTTATGAAATTGGCGAACGGGCAGAATATCGCCACGAAACGTTTAATTTACAAATTCACCATGGTTAATATTAATTAATCGATTTTTTTCCCATTGTATTTAACATATTTTAAAACCTGTACAATGATAATGTACACACCTTAATTATTATTATCAACACCTCCGGTGATACCTATAATAATATTTTGATAGCGTAACTACAATCTATTAAACAATAATTAATGATAATGTTTATACAAATAGATATAATGAGTACCTATTATTATAGGTTTAATTCGTCCATACATACCTATTTAATTAAATTTATTAGGTGAATATTTTATTTTAATTAGTTATGTGTAACAGGTATTTTAAATAATTATAGACTGCAGGTTGAATGTACGATATAGGTATAGTCCAATGATAAAAATGTTTTAACGATCATATTATTGTTAATATCGATAACGTTTAAAATTAAACGCTAAAATGCAATTGAGAACGCTCGGTTGATTTTTTTTCCAACATTGGCATATTTAATAATTTTTATCGAACTACTGAGCACGATATTTGGTCTAGTTTTTTATTCAAATATATCAGATGGTCATATTTTTTGTATAAAATATATTCAGGCTATACCTAACAAAAATACTTGACACCTGAAATAACTAGGTATTGTTCTGTTTAATATTTTCTATTTTTTTTTTTTTTATATATATATAAGTATATAATTAATTAAAACGTATGCTAGGATTCCATTTTTTTTAAATTGTTAAATCCGTACTATTTCAAAGACCACTAATTTTTAAATATATTTTTGAAATAAAATGTTGGTGTTGTAAATATTTATTTTCGATAAATCTTTAACTTTCTATAGTTCGTTGAAATGTACAAAAATCATTAGTACAATTATTATTTTTCATAGGCAATTGGTGAATCGATTGATATTACTTAGTAGTGGCAATGAAAACAATTTAAATTGTTATAAACTTCAACAAATTTTAGAAAATTAACGATTCATCATTATTAAATATTTGTAACACCAAAATCGTGTTTCAAAATATAGTTAAAAATTGTATCTTGGATTTCGTAAAAGTAAATTATAATTTTTAGTTGAAAAAAATATAAAATAAAAGAATCATAGAACTCTAAGAACTATTGAAAAAAAAAAAAAAAAATTAAATATATTGAACAGAACAGTTAATGCATTAGTCAGATCTTCGGGGTATACGTTGTACGTACCTATATAATAATTATAATTTATGGCTATAAGTAAACATTTGTATTGCACATTAATTTTAGTTATATATTATAGTTATACATTTATTGATTTATTTACAATTTTCTAAAATTGTATTATTAATTCTGTTGTTATTTTCTATTACAATTATATTTTCAGATTAAAAAATAATAAATAAAAACGTTATTTTTTTAAACCGAGAAGTGCTGACTTGTAACTGTGTCTATTAGTTGGCCAAAAGTAATCGTTTAACCAAAAAAATGTAACGTTCTATTTCATTGGATAACTAAATAAATGATAGGTATATAATAACGTTGCACGTGAATTCGTTCTCAATTACTTTAGGTTTTTGGGCCATCGGTAAGTTCTTTGTCAATTTTAAGTGTTCTCAATTGTTGGCCATTAGGTATAATCTTTCGAAAATTAAAACTACCTACCTATAAAACATTTTTTTAAAAAAACTATAAAAAAAATAGTAGGTAAAAATAATTTTTATTTATTACATTATAGGTAATATTATAAATGGGTAATTTAAAATCGACAAAAACAAACAATTTTTATAAACATCATCATAACAATATTATAATAGTGAATAATACCATAATATATAATATATGAATATATTTGGTAATTTAGTCCACCAACTTATAACCATTATAAGCTCAAATGCGTTTAAGATTTTAGGGAGTAGAAGTCGTGATCGTGTCTTCCCACGTCGGCGACTCCCATTTTGCCGACAAAGAAACCAGTTTTATAAGGTATTAAAAATCTTCCCATTTCTCCGACACATAAATATATTATCATTTTGAATTTAAATATTATTGTTGCAATAAAATTATTATTGCTAAAGAAATTCCAGCGCCACGATCGCAGCATGAGCTAAAGTAAATATATAAATTCAGTATTATCGGAAATATAAGAGCTATTGACAATAACAATGTAGGTAATCAGCGATCATATAGATGTTCAAAAGAATTTTTCTCCGGTTTCGTCCGGTTTCGAATATTGCTCTTTTACAATAAACTGTAATACTAACAATACAACTAAATAATAAAACTTCTTACATATTTTTACGAATTTACTAGTATAATCTATGTAATAGGTATGCTCAAATACATGGCGCATATTACACGCACTTAAATATTTCTGTATTTTTATTTATGTCTTTAGAAATACTCAATTTAATGAATATAAAAAAAAATAATAGAACAAGTTTGGATCTTTGGGGGGATATATTGATATTTTTAGGGGAGCTAAACTCTCAAATCCACCGCCCTTCTATTTACGTTTATGTTGATAATGTAAAATTCAAACGACTTTATTGAAAATATTTGTCCATTTTATGTTTTATATAGGCACTTTGTAGAAGATATCGTTTTCCAGCAAGTGGCTGACCGTATCGTTAAAGACACGCACAATAACATTACCGTGGCCATACGCCAAGCCGTCAAACCGTATATCATCTTTAAGAACGATACGGACCCAAACTTCCCTGGTGTAACCGGAAAACTGATCGTCGGCGGTGTGGGGTACAGCATCACCAACACGGTCATTAGCGGTCTGTCGAATATCGAACAAAAGTTGAAAAAGATCGCCGTTAAAATGGCCACCAACACGGCAATGGCCGATTTACGTATGACGGTCCACAAATTAGACGGCAAATTCGACTTCAAGCTCGAAGAGAGTAAACCCGTCGTCGGCAAAGGGACTTTCGCAATTACCCGAATCGATGTGAACGTGTCGTTCAACATGCTCAAGCCCGCCGAATGCAAGGCCGAAACCGCGGTAAACCAACCGGTTGTTAAATACGGCACGAAAATCTCGGCGGACAGTGAAAAAACATTAACTAATGCGTTTGTTGAGAATGTTAAAAGTCAATTGAACACCATTGTTTGCAAAACGCTGAGCCAAATGATCAAATCTGTAAAATAGACGATCGCGCATAGTATTTTTATTTTTTATTCAATTATTATTGTATACCCGTATAATTTGATTTATATATATACATTAAAATATATTGATTTATATGAATTAACGAACAAATGATAATTATAATAATAATCATACGGTATTCGAAAACATAGTATTGTATTTTATTATAACATTTTCAAAAGACTATTATAAACAAGTAGGTACAGAATATCAATAATAATAATTATTGACTTTATATAAAAGAAATATATATATATTTTTTGATACGGACAGTATCTTAGACGATAATAATTTTGGAAAACTCTATAGTAGATATTACTATGTAAAAAAAACTTGCAAACATAAAATGGCTATAAATCAAATATAAAATATGCGTGTAAATACGCATAATCAAATATAAATATAATAAAAATCACTCAAATGTTTTGAAAATTTTACCACGTAAAGAAAATTCAAATATTAGTTTTCTGTCGATATTTGCAAGTTTCTACAAATATGTTTTACTGAATTACAAAACAAAAATAAAATTTAAAGTAATTAGAATATTATTTTCGTAAACTTTCCTATTCTTTCTACGTTTTTTTCGGGTTCGTTTAATTAATAAAAAATGACTTTCTTACACACCAACTAGATTAAAAATGCAATGAAAAAGGTTTGTCTCTTGGTATTTTTATACAAACAATACTTCTAGTAGAAAACATTACGTAAATATTAACATCAATGGAATTTTTAAAGTATCCACTAGATAAAATTCCCTTTCAGAAAAAAAGCCATACTTGATACATTAGAATAAGATTTCTGGTAGAATTTTTGTACACAGTATAAAAAAAATAAAATAAACATCATTGTAAAACTAATACATTCTTCGCTTTGCTTAGAATCTAAAACACATATCATAGTAAAACCAATAAATCCCTCACTACATTCCGAATTTAAAATATAAATATGTATTTGAAATTTAGCAAATGGTAATGGGTGAATTTTTCTTCAGCTTATTCCCCTTAAACCAGATATTTTACAGATGTGCTAATGTTTAATTTGTATTTGATTTGTAAATGTATTGAAATGCCATCATTTTTACGAAAATCGTTATTAAAAAACACGATTACATTACCCTTATTTTTTATTAACAAAGATATACCAGTCGTCATTTATATTATAATCTCTGTATCAAATGAGTACATATAATACATATAATACAATATAATTACACTAATGTTAAGTACGAAAATTGACGTTAAATCAAACGAGCTAAATTTGTATATAATATAGACAAAAGGAGCCAGATCACATAATCGAGAATGTGATCTTAATTTTTCCGACAGTTATTCACCGTTTATTGAGATCTTTACAACGAAAATCACAACATTTCTTTCTTAAAGCACCAATTTCACAAAGGATGATGGAAATCAAAAATGTCAACACCAACATGTATTCAAACTAATATTCCATCTATTTATGAAATGTTTAGTAGAAGTTGATATTTGTAAATCAAAAGTAGTAGTTTCAAAAATAAAGGTGACATAAATAATGGTAATACAACATTTTAGAGCTGTTTGTTTCTTAAAAAATAAAAAAAAGTTTTCACTCTCCGATGTATCGAAATAAGAATATTTTCGTAAGATTTATTGCATGCAGCCAAAATCAGCAATTTCTCAGATATTAAACTTTATTTCGATTATAATGCCACAAATTAATTTTGTATGAATATATTTTTTTAAAATATAGATTAAAATAATAAAAAAAAACCGTTGAAATAAGATTAAGTCGATTAACATATTAAATCTTATCGCTACTCGTTAGTATAGGTACTATTTTTAAATGCAATTGGTTTTATTAGAAATAAACAATTTATACAAAATTGCACAATAAGTTTATAGTTTAAGAGTATAGAGAAACACGAAAGAGTTAAATAAGCAGCCACCTATTAATGGTTATCAACTGGATTAAAATATTAATTTTTTTTTTAGTATTAATAGGTTAATGGTGTAATCAAATTTTATTAGTAGATATTTAGTTTTGCAGGTCGCGACATCAGCTTCTTTTTAGCCTACTTTGTAGTAAAAAAAAAATATATTAATTTTTTTTTATAAGAATTTTAAAATCAAATTTAATGAAAGTCGTAGGTAAATATTTTGGTCTTTCAAATAACGTAGAACTTCGCTTCGAAAAGGTGCTTCCCTGAGAGGGCTATTGCCTTGCCCCACCACCATAAGCCACGTGATGTTCTTTTTTGTTATACAAAATATCCAAAGTATCCATAATTCTTAAGTTTACATCAGTACAAATGCAACTGGTTCCAAATGCCATAAAGATGATTCCGGATGTTGGAAATACTTTGATTGAAACAAGAATGAATGAAACACTTAAATTTACTTAGGTACAGATATATACTAAATTTTCCTCAATACCCTATCTTCCCAATTTCTCATCTATAACAGAGGTCCACCCGTCTTGTGAAATTTGTCCGTCTTTTTTTTTACCAATCATGAATATTAAATTTAATTATTCCCCCCCTCCTCTCCCATAGTCTGGAGACGCCCTTGACTTTAAGTCATTTTTTGTTAGCAATAGTTTATTGTTGTTTACAGATATAAATTAAATAAGTTAATGTACCCTATCTTCTTAACTTCCTACCTGCAATATGTAATATATTTATATTCAGTTTTATTTTCGTTTCGTATATATTAATCTTAAATAGGTACCTGGCGTAATGCAATTATTCCTTATTCGATACGTTATCGTCATTAAAAAAAAAAATTTGGTTTATTTAACACGTGTGTATAAATAATTAAGCTAATAATATTTAAAATAAAATATTAAAATTAATGTTATTGAGCTTGAGCTTGTATTGTACCGATAATACAGAAAAATGATAACACTTTTTATTATGAGTAATTAGTTTGTTACAAAATTTGTAAATAGATACATATTTTCAACGAATTAATATTAAACCCAAATAAACATGTTTTATACCTAAACAATTATATAGTTATGTATTATAATATATAATACTAATAATATATAATATTTTTAATTTACCTAATAAATATAAGTAACTCTTTAATGATGATTAGGGATTTATGATTATAAATTAACTACCGATAACCCGTTATAAAAATTAGTATATAAATAAGACTTGGTTTAGACTAAACCGACATAGTTGAATCCGCTTGCAAGCAATCAAGATGAAGTCGTTATCAATTTTAATTTTGACTATATGCGTTTCGCTCTGTGTTACAGGTATGTTATTTAAATTGTAAATTTTGGCAATTATTATAACTTGTTATGAAAAAAAATTATAAATTAACAAAATGTGTTTTATTTTTACTGTAATTTATAACTATAGGTGATTCATTAATGCTCATCTTATGCTAATCGGTCTAAGTTAAATTTAATGTATGTAGAATGTGATCTTTCTATCCTATATAAGTACCAGTTGTTTTTTCGGTTAATTTTGAGTTTAGATAAAAAAAGTGGGCAACGATAAATTATTACTTACCATTTTTAACTTTCTTACCCCAATTATAATATAACGCTCTTCAAAACTTACAAAAATGCATAACGCACACTGTACATGTAATTACATAACTATCATTAGAAAAAAAAAATAATATGTAAATCAATAATTGAAATAAATATAAAAGGTTAAGTTTGTTGGTTTCATTTTTTGAACAAATATAATTATTAACTATATTATATATTTATTATAGTACTTAGAAATATAAATATTAAAACCTACGTGAAAAATATAAAAATTGAGTAGGATTTGAACAATGTGTTATCCAATTTCATTCGAACCTATTTAAACCTTAATATAAATTAATTTTTATTATTTAATTTAAAAAAAAAAAAAACATGTATTCGAAATTGACTGCATAAATGAAAAATGTAATATTGTGTAATGAATTGTTAACTTATAGATGCGTACAAGTTGGTTAATTGGGAATTTGACAATGATACGTTACCTGAGATGTTACCGAAAATGATGCTCGGAAAAAGTGATGAAGAGATCCAAAAAGCTGTTTTCTTTGCAAGCGATAATCAAATGAAAATTGTCGCAGAATACAATGGGCGGGTGTATGAACCCGATTTTCCATATGGTTATTTCGAAAATGAAATATCATTACCATACACAGAAACATTTCAATCGGAAACAGAATTAGCATTTGCCAACAACGTAGCCAAAGGATTCAGGAATTATAAAACAAACATAATTATCTTTAAATGGGATTCTGATAATGTAATTTCAATATTTATATATCTGCATTTACTATAAATTAATATTCTAATTTTAGACACCACACTAACGTGGACAATCAGACAAGGGGTAGATTATAAGTAAACATTTGCCTAAACCAGTTATAGTATAAGTGGTTTATGCAGAAAAGTGTTTTGCATAGTATAGTCTTGAGTGGAGGTCAAATTATTTTATCATGGGAGGGGGTATAAGGGTAATTTTTAAGAAATGTTATTATTCGCATAATTTTTTATTAGTTTAAAAATGTAACATAATAATATGTATTATTATACATATTTAAGAGAGCGGTAATGGGAGGATAAATCCCTCTCAACCCTCCTTGTTTAACCGAATCTGTAAGTCTTATATAATATAGGATATTATACACATTTCTGAGTTTATTAAAATTCATTACCAATAATAATAATAATTGAACGAACGTTACCCTAAACTAACCCGGCATTATACGATTAAATCTTTTTCTCAGCACATTTGTTGTATATATTAATAGAGTTTTCTGTATCTACGTATCTCTTGTATATATTACACCGTTACACGTGATTCCAATGTATACAAAATATTTATACAATTGTAAATTACTGTTTACAGTTAATAACCGAAGTCGGTTGGCAAGACATCCAAATTAAAGGAACTTATGTCTATTCAAACGCCTCGTTCTACGAAGAAGGCAAATATTCCATTCAAGTGAACAATTTAAAATACCAAACAAATACATCTATTTCCGGCAATACCATGAAATATCCCGCCTCAGTGCCCAAATCGAGTATTTCTTATGAAAGTGGTAAAGTTTCATTCTCCGAAAAAATATCAGAAGTTATTGACATTAACTCGCCGAATGTAAAGTGAGTAGATTATTTTCAGTATATATATATTATTTATTTTTTAGAGCATATTTTAACAATTTCGTACATTTTTAACTTTACGAGTAATTAATAAATAATTACTGCTTATAAACAATAAAAATTAATAATTTTAGTACTTCCAAATTTTTTAAAAATTGTATAGAGCTTATTTTGATAGATATTTGTATACTGAATATCCATTATATACATTATAGATACCTTTAACTCACGTATAAATAACCTACATAGATATCATTTTAATATACTGTATATTTTTATTAAATAGGTATATCATATAAGAAAATAATAATGAACGTATCTTTACGAATTTTAAGTACCTACTAATAAACATTCGTATGAGACAACATAATATTATACTATACCTCAGGACAAATATTAATAATACATCATAATTTTTTAACAGATACTTTTTGGAAGACATTTCTTTCCAGCACATCGCGGACAATGTTGCCAAGACCATGTACAAAAACGTCACTATTGCAGTCAGACAAGGAATCAGGCCCTATGTTATTTTCAGGAATGTAACTAACACTCACATCAAAGACTTTACTGGCGAATTTCCCTCGGGGGTGCAATACAGAGGAGGCAATGTTGTCCTCGAAGGATTGGGCCAAACCTATACCAAAGTTAAAAGCGTGAAAGTTAACATGGCTACGAAGGCCGTGTTGTCGAACACTGAATTCGTGCTGCACAAATTGCACGGCCAATACACATTGCACGTTAACGAAGGCAAACCTTCTGCTCAGTCAGCCAGTTGTCAGTACACCATCCACCGTATCACGATGTATTCGACCATTAACATGTTGAACAGTACAGATTGCGTTACTCACATCAACATTTATGATCTTGAAACTGTAATCAACCCAGCGTTGGGTTTGGCACTCGAATTAACCAAGATCTTAAAGGACAAATTAGTCGACCACTATATAGAAAAATTTAATTCAAATATTTGTTCGTATCTGGCGTTGACGCTCAATCCTGAAGCCGGGGAATTTTAATTGATAAATTCGCAAGCTTTTTACAAAATATGTGATATTTATTGTACTGTTACACATATTACAATAATGTTTTACTAGGAGTAGTTAAAAATTTATTACATTTGTATAATTTCCACTTGATATAATAATTATATTGTTTTGCACGATGACTGGTGTTTTTTTTTCCAAACAAATTTAAATTTGTTTGATGGAAAAAGGCATAAATAAATATTTAATATTGTTACAAATTATGGCAATTTGTTAGGTAGATAATGCATTTACTTTAAACATTTCCAGAAACATTAAAACTTTTTTTTTTAAAGTGAGTACCTTAAAGTATCTCCTATATATTATAATGTAGGTATATTATATAGGTATCCAAGTTAATTAAAATAAGCATAAATAAATTCAAATTGTTAATTAGCATTATGTAGGTACATGAAATTATAGGTAAATTGAAAAGAATTTATTTCTTAATGATTTTAATAGTTGAGTAACACCTTAGATAGTGATACACTTTTATCATGAACCAGCTATTTTCTCGAAAGACCTTAAGTGAACTTGATTTCTGCTATTTTAATAAAGCTCAAATTTTATTTTAACACTAATTGCAATTTATCATCCTTAATCCGTAAACTTGAAGCGTGTAAAAGAAACAAAATAATTATAAATTGGCATGCGTTACATCACACATGAACACGTATATGAGTAATTTATTTTATAAAGGTTATGATACTAATTAATTTATAAAAATATTGAACTTAACAACAGTTCAATAAGAGGTTATATTTTTATAGATGTGTTGACAGACATTTTTGGAAAACATTATGGTTTATTATCTGTTTAGTGAATTTATTAATACATAATATTATTATTATTATTATTTACTATGTATAGACATATAATATTAAAACTAGAAGATCAAAAAAAAATCAACATTTAACCTTTAATTATATAGTACGTTTCGATAACGGTAAATTCGAGCTCCTATATAGGTTATATGATTATACAGTTATATAATTGACGTATAATAACAAGGTTAGTAATATTGTTAAATTTAATTAACACTCCCCAACAGTATTTAAAGGTTTAAACTTTAAATTATATAAATAAATATATATAGATATTGTGCAACGCAAACATTTAATTTAAATTTATTAGTGTTCTTTTTTTTTCTTTTTTTTTTTTTTAAATTTGGCAAATGCTTGCGTAGGTATACTTAAAAATAATTTTAGATTCTGATTGGAACGAAGAAGCTTATGGTTTTACAAAGATGTTTATTTTTTTTTTATCTGTGCACAACTTTTTTACCAAAAGTTTTGCTCAGACTTTTAAGTGTAGCACTTTTCTGAAAGAAATTCTGTATGGGTTGGTATTTTAAAAAGATCATTTTTCGGTTCTCTCAAGAGTTTTCTCATCAAATTTGAAAAATTGAAAAACAACGGAGGAAAAACGAGAAAATGTACAAAATATATTACGTCCATGAAATTGGCCCATCCACTAAATCCAATTTCTTTGAAACCGGTGTTAAAATTTTGCAAGTTATTTGCGAAAATTTGTGAGTAACATTGACGCCCTTCACAAGCAAATGGGTCAACTTCAGGTAGCTCACTCACTTCGTCCGATTTTATCGAAATCCGTATAAAAATAATCGTATTATTTCGCAATAATTTGCGAGTAGTCGCAAGATCAGATGTGAGCTTTCAAAGTTCTAAAGTTGGCCAACAACTTTATTCGATTTCATCAAAAACCGTAGTTTTCCTGATGGTTTGTTATAATAATGTAATAATTTATATGTTTTCTCAAGAATATAAAATTCATTTTTCCACTGTGTCTCCATTATTTTCTTATGTGTTATTGAAATTTATTTCAGTGCCTTAGGTGGGATGTCACTAGTTCTAAAATTACTAAGACGGTGCTGGTGTTTATTGATATAATTTAAAAACAACGGACATTTTTCGCACGTGGGTCAACCCATTGTAATTGGGAAGTTAGGAAGGTATGATATCACGGGGAATAAATGTATATCTTTATAATTCTTTATTATTAAAATTTGCTCCACTTCTGATTTTTTTTTTTAAATTATTAAAAATTATTGTTTAATGAATTGAAAGGTAAAGTTTAATATGTATATTTTTAAAGTTAAATTAAATATGATAACATTTTCGGGTTTCATTGTCTGTTTTACTTATCTTGCAGTGTGCTTAATATTTTTAGTAATATTATCAATTACTTAAATCCTGATGGGTTTTTTCAATAAACACCAGCGCTGTCTTAGTAATTTTAGAACTAGTGACATGCCTCCTAAAGCACTAAAAAAAATTTCAAGAACACATAAGAAAATAATGGAGACACAGTAAAAAAGGATTTTTATATTTTTGAGCAAATTTATAAATTATTAAATTATAATAATCCATCAGGAAAATCGCGAGTTTCGATAAAATTGGACGAAGTGGGTAGACTACTTGAAGTTCACCCACACGCTTGTGAAAAGCGTTAATGCTACTCGTAAATTCTAGGAGTGGACTCGCAAATTCTCGCAAATAACTTGCAAAATTTGGACACCGGTTTACACAAAGTAATCGGATGAAGTGGTAGAACCCGATTGCGTACGATTTACCTTTTCGGGAACACGATTGCGTTTGTTTGCTGTATAACAATGAAACCCATAAAAAAAAAACCATAAAACATGATAGCGTATGCTACGTTACCAAATTTATAAAATTAATTTTTCGTTCAAGTATTCGCTATCGGTTTGATTGTTAAATATTTTAAACGTATATAATATCGATCTCTAGATGGCCTACAGGTTAATAGATTATCGACCTATATATATAAATATTACGAAATCACATAAACATTATCACAAAAATATTAAAACGGTAAATCGAGCCAATTTTAGATAAATACATCATAATATTTTTGGCAATTTCATACTGATAATACATTTGAATAGAAGCTTTAATCCGTTTTAAATCAGTTACAGCCATATTTTTACTATTTCCTTTTGAAATTGAACATATTTTTGTCATCGTTTCGACTTGGATTTCTGTTAATACTGATATAACCACATATGTTGGTGGATGGGTACAATGAAATTGCCCATTGTACATCTTGTGGAAGCTCTCTGAACCATTTGTTGTTCTATTAATTTAATTAATTTTTTTAGCTGTTAAAATTATAAAATAATGTCATTAATCAAACTTAACATGTCCTGTATGCGCACAACCATTTAATCTGTCCGTCTTTTCGTTGACATATAAAACGATATTTGTTTGTGCCAACTAATGCTAAATTTTTTCCGCGTTCCGACGTAATTATTCTAACTGTTTCCTTCTCCATATTAAAACTACACTTTGTCACTTTTACAAAAACTACACAATTCAATGCAAACTACACTCGATCTGAACGGTCGTCGGTCAACTAATCTACAGTTTATATCTCCTTTAATCTACTTGATAAAAAGTAATGTGAACTTTTATTTTAAATTTAATATCGTTTCCAGTTTCGTCTATAATTTTCCAGCTTGACAACGTTGCATAAAAATAACGTACGCAATCGTGTTAGGAAAAAGGTACCTCCGATAAGCAGCGTACGTAATCGTACTCTACCCGAATGAAGTGGGTGGGCTAACTTCATGGATGTAAATATATTACGATTTTTTTTTTCTGTGCACAACTTTTCAACCAGCAATTTTGCTCCAATTTATAATGATATCAATATTCTAAAATGAAATTTCACTAAAAAAGTACTTTAGAAAAGTCATTTTTCGATTTTCCAAAGAGTTTTCACAGCAAATGTGAAAAGCAAGAATAAAACACGAAAAAACCGGGAAAAACGTAGGAAAACTGGGAAAATCGGTAAAAAATTAAACAAATATTATTAAGGAAAATAAAGGCAATTTAATTATTTTACTATAAAATAATATATATATATATACATTGTTAATAATGCATTACTAACAACTAAACTCCGCTCTGAATCATTTTTTCTTAAGCAATGGTTTATCGTTGGTTACAGATATACATTAAATTATTTATAACAGTGGCTGCACCCGTCCCTATTATCCTAGGACGTCTTATTTTTTGATTCTAAAGTAATTATTGTAAGAATTTTATAAATCTACCTATTTTATGTTTTTATTTTAATACGCAGACGTTATTATATAAAGATATAGGTTTTATAGTATACAACTGTAGTTTTAACAACATAGGTAATTAACATTTGTTTTTTTTTTGTGTTAAATCATTATAAATTCTATAATAAGAATACATAATTTACTTGATTATCTATCTCTTTAATCTATAGCTTGTGCTAAAATATTTATCATTTATATAATTGGTATTAATCAATTAAATCAATCCGTAAAGTTTTATTACTTTTAGAATTGATAAAATATGCTATTATCAATATTGTAAATAGATATTTAAATAAATGTTTTTTTTTTTTTTTTACCGTTAGTTTAATCTAAAATTTTAAATAATAAATTTTGATGTCAAACCAACTATAGATAGCCTGTTGCATATTCACGTATAAATAAGACCTACTTATTTGAAACGAACTCAGTTGAACGTACCTACCGTAAGTTTGATCAAGATGGAGAAGTCGCTGAGAATTTTAATTTTGGCTATTTGTGTTTCTTTCACTGTTGCAGCTGAAGAAGGTACATGTTAATTAATTCTATAACATAAAAATCTATTCGTTTATAATACTAGTATATTTGCGATAATAAATTCGTATAATTATATATAGCTACATATTATATTTTGTATTATACATAAGTTTTATAATTTTGAAACAAAATCGTTTACAATTTATTCTAATTAAACATTATGACTTTTTTGGAATTTTCACTATTCTCTCTAATAAAAACGCAATCTCTAATTTAATTTCACCGTGTTAAGCCAGACGATTTTCCCGAAAATACTTAACTGTACATATTAAACGTGGAGCTAAAAATTTTCAATTTAATATTTATAAACATTAAACTCTATAAACTTTTTTAAACAAACTTTTAATGGAAAGATTATGAAAATAATACTATTACTATATATTAGGTACAAAAGTGGATTAAACGATTTACCACCAATACAAAGAAATTCACTACCCCTTCATACACTTTGTATTTTTTTAAAACAAAAAAAAATCATAAAAAATATATTATTATTAATTAAATAATATTTTATATTTAAAAATATATACAAGTAAGTGGGCATATAATATGTTTATGTTTAGTATGAATGTTAAATAAAAATTAATACTCGTATAAAAATGAAGAGGAAAAACGTAAACAATTTAAATTATAATTTATTAATATTATTGTCTTAAAAAAGTAACATACACGAAGTAAATAATTTTTATAATTATGTTATTTATTACTATATGTATAGTCGATCAAACAAACTGTTAATAATTTAAAGTAAAGTGGCTAGGTGTAATATTTTCAGTAGTCTTTAGGAGAGGGTTGATACCGAGTTTAGATCGAGATTAAAACAAGTAAAAAAAAAATATATTTTTGAGAAACTTTAAAAATTAAAATATTTGAGGATGTGGCGATTGATTCTCGGTTAGGTTAGCCCTGGGTGAGGTGCGACGTAAAGATGCGTAAGAATGACTGGTTTTCGTCGAGACCCTATACCGTTCTTTCGTGAAAAATGGTATAGATATATTATAATGTGTAACTTTTATAATAATTTTATTTTAAATGTAACTTATAAAAATGTTTGTATACTATGATTCAAAAACCTACCTCCGACCGCAACTCAGATTTGTTTTAACTTGTTTTGTGTTTTGATACCGGCCACAATTCGGATTTTTTTTACCTGTCTTAATCCCGATATCACAATTCGTCTATCATAACTACAGTTCAGACACTCCCTAGCAGAGTAACTTTTTATAATTTACCCCTTGTGGTTGTCAACTATTAAATAAATAAATAATAAATATTCGATACACCTGTACGTAAGTACCGATTTTTATGATTCAGAATAATAATAGTATAATATAAAGTATAGTTATAATAAGAATTAAAAAATTGAAGTCCTTAAGATTAAAATTTGATTTAACATAGAAATATATTAATATAATATTTAATTAAATACTGGTAATAGTTTAACTTTTTAAAAATAATATTCTAGACCCTAAATTGGTTAACTGGATAAGTGACAATGATACGTTACCTGAAATGTTACCAAAACACATGCTTGGAAAAAGTAATGAGGAAATTCAAAAAGCTGTTCTTAGTGCCTACACAAGTCAAATGCAAATCGTTTCTGAATACAGTGGACACGTTTACGATCCTGATTTCCCGTACGACTATTTAAAAAACGAATATTCCATACCGAATACAGAAGCATTTCAATCAAATATTGAATTAACATTTACTAACAATATATTCAAGGGATTGGCGAGCTATAATGAAAACACCATTGTTTTAAAATGGGCGCCTGATCAGGTAAATAAAATTTATAATATGTTTTGCTTACTATGTAATATAATTATATTTTACTATAATTTTTGTATTTTGGTCATAAAGTAAGACTAATTTTAATTTTTATTTCTATATGTTTAAGTGTAATAAGTAACCAATGTTAGAATAATGTTATACATACCTAATATTAACATAGACGTGTGCTGTGCGCAGGGGGTAGACAACAAGTGGTCAGTGGAGAGGGAGGCTATTAGCAACTATTTAAAACTGTTTCGTATTGTATGTAATTATTAATTTGTATGGTAGATATTTATATACAATAACTTATTTAAAAATACTTGCATCAAAGATTTAAAAGTTCATTTTAACATAAATTGCAATAACCTAAATTGCTTAATAATTGAAATTTATGTAATATCTATATTTTTAATTCAGCTCATAGGGAAAATAATGCCCTCCCCCCACCTTCCTTCGTCACACCTAAGCAAATTAATGCACAAACACACAAACACTCCGAGGTTTAAAATTACAAGCATAATTCAATTTATATATAGATAGAGACTGAAATCAAATGGAAAGATGCAGGAATCAGAGGAAACTATGTTTATTCAAACGCCACGAACTATGAACAAGGAAAATATCACATTCAATTTGAAAACTTAAAATACCTCGCATACACTACTCTTTCTGGTAACACCATGCTTTATCCGGCCTCAGTGCCCAAATCAAGCATTTCATATGAAAGCGTTAAAGCTTCGTTTTCGAAAACTGTACCAGAAGTGAACAATGTGAATGATTCACCGAACTTAAAGTGAGTTGATTTTAAGTACCTAAAATAGATACGAGTAGATCAATAATAATTAATCTCTATAAATTGTACTCGAATACAAAATAAAATTTTACAAACATCGCGTAAATAAGTATATTATTGATAATTTGTGCAACGACTATTCGCGTTCTTTTTTTTGTATTTTTTTATCTATATTATCGAGCTTTAAACCTAGATAATTTATTCCAATTAGTTTTCAATTTTTTTAAAATAGTGTATTTTCTTTAGATAGCTAATTACTTCGAATTTATATATTTATTATTTATTGATTAACACTAAACTATACTAAAATTACTTTTCATATTTTAGCATGACCACGTGCATAAAGATGCACGTAACGTACATGATAAATATGAAATACCTATATAATTGGTGCCCTATTTTTTTTTTGTTTTTAGAACATGATAATTTTCAAATTGAATACTGAACATTTATTAAAAGTCGATTGTACCTTAACAAGTTGTCCTGCAATGTTATCCTAATGCTATAACTTTGTCAATATTCATTTTTTTTAATCGGATTTTGTGTTATGAGGACAAAAATGTAAAGGAAAATTAAATTTTTATTTTTCGTCACTTAATTACTGAAAAAAAAATAACTTTATTTTAACAAATTAATTAATTTATAAAATATATTATTCTCAACAATTTTAATGTATTATATATTCATATTTGATTAATAGTTTCTCAGTTATTGCCGTTTTAATATTTAGAGAAAGATGTGAAAAATAAGACTTCTACATTATGTCATAGTGAATCAAAGTCGTGATAAAACTGTCAATAAAATAATAATTTTTACATTAAGCGAGTTTTCATAAGAAATTAAATCGGCTATTTCTAAGAATAAACTATTAATCAGATATGAATGTAGATATGATACATTCAAATTTTTTAGGATAATATATTTTACAAAATGATAATTTTGAAAATTTTAAAAAGTGAAAAAATAAAAATCATTTTTTTTTTTTTAGTGTCTGTAAGAGATGAAAATACAAATTTAATTTTTCCCTTCATTTGTGCCTCCTCGATACAAAATCTGATTGAAAAAAAACAATAGAAAATAAATGAATATTGACAGAGTTATTAGCATTCGGATAACATTGTAGGACACCCTGTTGTCACTGTATAACAACCCAAATATTAGTACCACCTTTTATATTATACTTATTTTTATATTAAGGCCAGACATTAAAAAAAAAGTGTAAATAAGGTTCTATAAGCATTAATAGTACGCATATATATATATTACATATTAAATTTTGTATTTTATATTTTTTCAAAAGATACTTTATAGAAGACGTTGCTTTCCAGCACATCGCTGACAATGTTGCTAAGTCCGTGCATAATAACATTACTATTGGTATCAGACAAGGTATCAAAAAGTACATCATCTTCAAGAACGTGTCTGACCCACACTTCAAGGGTTTCAACGACATTTTCCCCAACGGTGCACAATATTGGGTCGACGGAATTTTCACCAACGGATTGGACCAAACGTTCTTAAATGTGAAAGACGTGTTCGTCGATATAGCCAACAAAAACGTCTCTGCGGCAACTGAATTCGTATTGCACAAATTAAGTGGTGATTTTACAGTGACAGTCTCAGACGGGAGCAAATCGTCCAATCGGTCAGCCAATGCCGAATTCACCATCGGCCGTATCGACATGAATTCAGTCAGTAACATGCTCGACCCTAAAGATTGTTTTACGATCACCGATGTAGTCGACACCGTAGTAAACATTTCTCCATCTTTATCCTTGGCGCCGGAGTACAACGAAATTGTTGCGAAAAAATACGCCGAAACTCTTACCAACAAATTTAATACTGCCCTCTGTACTGCGTTAGGTAAGATGATCCACCCTGATTCTGGAAAATTTTAATTGCTCACTGTATATTATAATAATCCACCGATAATATAATTAAAATTGGACAATGTTTAAATTTGATAATATATATTTTACGTGCATATGTATAATAATACTAATATATAAAGTATTATACGTGTTCTTTTGATTGTAACCAAGTCTAGGAAAACAAAATATATTAGAAGTCTGTAAAATACAGTTGTTAAAATGCTAATTAGTCATACCATCGTAAAGTAGATATTACTATCAATATAATATTAATTAAATACAAACATGTTTTAATTTGAATTACTGTATTACCTATTTATTAATCCGGGAAAATGTAAAAAAGTTTATTACAATAATTTTAGATTCGGAGCGTAGCGATAAATCTAATGGTTTTGCTATGATGTGTGTGTTTTTTTTTTCAGTCTGTATACAATTTTACGAAAAGAAATCTTGCTCCGATGTATAGAGTGTAGTATCTTTTCTGAGAGGAGATTTTCTCCGTTTGGTGTATTACAGAGGTCATTTTTTGATTTTTGAAATAATTGGGAAAAATTCAAAAGAAAATTATAGATAAAATTCAAATTTCATCAAATATTTAAGACGCGTTTGCCATTACCGATTTCATTGTTTTTAATTTTTGCAACTTCTTTTCTACCAGAAATATTGCTCGAATCGAAAAATAACAAGATAATGATTTTATTCCTTTTAACATATAGCCACTGAAAAAAAAAGTTATGCTTTGATATTTAGAGTAGTTTTCATAATCATTGAGAAACCTCAAAAAAGATTTTTTTCATAATTCGATTAAAAAAATTAAATTAGAGGCCAGAAATATTCACAAAATACATACATTAGTAATTTTTAGATGTGATAAAACATTTAAACATTCTGGAAATGTTTGAACTATATTTATAAACATTATTGTCATTTTTGGATATTTTTTAGTTTTATGTAGTTTTAAAGAAATAAAATTGTTTTGTCCGAACAGAAATGCTTGAACATTTTACACGAGATTCATCATAAATTTTACTCAGTGGAAAATAAAATAATCGAGCGCATTGTAGTGAGTTTTAGATTCTGAGTGGAGCGAAGAAACTTATGGTTTTCCAAAGATGTTTATTTTTTTTTCACCTTTTATGAAAGAAAATAGATATGGAGAGGTATTTTAAAGAGGTAATTTTTCGATTTTCTCAGGAGTTTTCTCATCAAAATTGAAAAACCCAAAAAACGAGAAAATATAAGAAATATAATAAATATCATTTACAATATTTTTCTGTGGATAACTTTTCTACCAGCAATTTTGCTCCAACTTTTAATGATAGCAATGGTTTTAAAAAGCAATTTCACTTGGGAGAAACTTTAAAGTAATCATTTTCGATTTTCCAAGAGTTTTCCAGGCAAATATGAAAAATCGGGATAAAACATGGGAAAACCAAGAAAAACGTAAGAAACTGGGAAAATCGGTACAACATTAAACAATTTTTGTTAATGAAAATATATAAAGCTAATTTAATTGTTTTACTATAAAATGACATAGATATTGTTGACAAAGCATCACTATCAACTGAACTTCGTTCAGAATTGTGTTTTTGTAAGCGATGGTTTATCGTTGTTTATAGATATTCATTAAATTCCCGTCTATATCCTTCCTTCTTAACTTACCACCTACACCAGTGGCTGCACCCGTCTCCATAATCTTACCTTTTTTTTTTATACGCTCTTAAAGTAAACATTTCAACTAAAATCGTAAGTCAAATTAAACCATCCGTTTAACCAAATTTCGTTCTGAATGATAATTCGTTAGCAATGATTTATCCTAGTTTCATATTAATAATATACGTTATACATCAGACGTCGATGTTGATATACAAATCAAACTGTGCTTATATTAATAAAATGATGATGGATATACGAGAGTATATTCGTCAACCGCAGTTAACTACAATATTATAAATTAATAATGCCAAATGCAAAAATGGCAAACATGTTCAAAATTTAAAATTTTTCGAGAAATATAAAAATACTTTATCTATCGGTTTCTACTGTAATTTTATGAAATGTATTATAAATATGCATAGGGAGATTTTAGTGTGTTAAAAAAAAAATGACCCTTTCTGCATTTAGTGATTCTTATAATACGGTGTAATTATTTACGAGGTAAATATTAAACGGGTAGCTAGGTAGGTATACGCAATAAACGGGAACGGATTCTGTGGATGGTGTGGTATGGTACGGGCCAGTTGCTCGATCGGTCGCAGTAAAAAACGAACCGTCAACGTGAACTAGTGTTAGATAGGTACTTCGAGTGTAAAACGCACATTTACTATAATAATAATATTATTATCGTTATTGTGTATGCGATGCTTTCACGCGCGTAACCGTTATTACTGTTAAAAAAAAAAGTAACACGAATGAAATTAATTCGAAACTTTTAAAATGATTTGTCGAAACGTTTTTTCTCTGATAATTGTGTATTTGTTCGCATTGGCGAGTTTATCGTTGGCGGCCACGAGAATCATAACAGGTAAGGTATTATACCGAATTATTGATTATAAATAGGTACCTATTTATATCTATATCGATCACGGATACCTATATTATCATTACAGATGAGTGTCTGTGATATGTGATTATAACCTTTTTTTGATACGTTGGTTACTGTAATATTAAAAAAATAAGTCACTTCTGCCTATTGGAAATTATTCAAATGTCAGTTTTATAATTTAAACATTCCAAATATAACTTTTTTTTTTTAATCAAACGATATATATTGAATAATATTTTACAACACAAAATAATTAATATTGTCAGAAACTTGACATATATATTATATAATTACCTTTATCCTATAATTGCTTAAAAATATTAATATAAGACGTTTATTAATGAAAAAAAAAAATATACATTAATTCAGCAGCGATTCGTTACCATAAGTTTTTGTTTCATTTCTAGCTAGTTGGTGGGTATTTTATTTTTTATTTTCCATGCAGTTTATTATTATTTTTATAAATCTATGTCGCCAAGATAACCAACAAGTCAAATTTAATTTTGATTCCTAAAAACCAAAACTTTGTGTAAAACTTTTTAGGGTTGAAATTTTCAAAAATCCCTTCTTTTTGTACATCTTGATCATTAGAAGAATCACTGTTCTAGATTGCAAGTTTAAATGTTTTGTAGTGTTTAAGAAATAGCGATGAATGAGTGAGTCGTATATACATATATACGATGTATACCTATATAATTTCTTAGTGCGTATTTTAAAATTGTACTACAAAAATAAAAATGCATATACATTGCTGAAAACATTGAAATTATCGTATAAATTTTCTATATAAATATATAACTACCCGTGTTAAGTGTTAATTTACTACAAATTTATAACTCTACAGTTTTTGCTTTATACATTATATATATTTAGGTATCGTAGGTTGAATTTATTTGTAGATTTCAAAATTATCGAAATATCGCGAATCACACTAAAGGAAACAAAAACGCGCGGGAAAGTGGGAAAATACTATGGTTTAACTATATAAAATATATAAAGATTAATATATTCGGATGTTGGAGCTTTTTTTTTTTTTTGCTCGTTGTGTTTATTGAGTCTTGTCGATGTTGTGAATTCGAGCTTTCTGCGAGAAGCACACCAGTACCTATACGCCAAACTATATATTATATTATTATATTTCGCTCCGGTAAACTTTCTAATATTAACGCTTTTTTGATGGTACACGGATCGTCGAAAAAACAAGAAAAAAAAGCCTACAATAATGAAAAAAACAATAAACAATGCGGCGGCGGTGATGCGATCGGCTCATATTATGAGAACTATCGCAGTGTTATTATACCGGCCCGGAACAAATAATCGATTGTATAATAAAATATATTATCCTTATTGTTTGGCATATTATAACCGCCGCAGTGAGTCACGACCTCCGTCCCGTGCGTATTGAACGGCAAAAACGATATTTTCCGCGACGGACGATCGCCGAATAATCGCGATTGAACTTGACAGCCGACCATTGTTTATTATTATAATATTATTGTGCGACGTTCATATACACGGTATTATATTGTTACATTAGGTATATATTATAATATTATTGCATTCGAGTAGACGCCCGAAACGGCTCAGGGATACGGATCGGAGGTTTCCGGTATACCTATACACCGGGTGCGTTACGCAAGCGACCGGTCGACGACGGTGAAAGCTGGGCACATCTGCTTCGGCCCGTATTATACGAGCATACAGTATGTATTATAATACTCATGTAACTTGTCGAACTGTTTGTTTCTGAGCGAAAAATATGCAATAATAATAAATACCGAACGCGTAGGAAGAGAAAGCTTGAGAACATTTCCGAGATACGACACTGCACTGTGAAAATAATAATAATAATAATATTATATTATATATAGATATAGTTGATGGAAAAAAAAAACGCACGTATATACTTACATTCGATATATTCGGTACGCGTGCAGTGTGTACCTCTTGACTATACGGTGAAAGTTGAGAGTTAATCAAGGTTACGATAGATATGATAATTTATTATACTCGTACTTCCGTTCGAAACATCTCCGCGCGGTCAAAGGTGCCCCGGTCGGTAGATAATTGACATCATCGCGGGCATTAAAATATTATGAATACGTATACACGTGCACTTCCGATTTGTCGATACGGTGAAAACAGAAATGATCAATACGTATAATATAGTTACTAATATGTGGAAGGTGCCGTTTATACGTATTTAGCATGGCCATTATAGTATTCAATGCATGCAAGCAAACAAAAGTTTTCATATTTTACGGTACGTAAAAATTACAAAATCGTATAGGAACAGAAATAATTCTATATACTTTGTGTTTTGTTTGTTTGTTTTATTTTATTTTTATTTTTTTTTTTTTTTTGGTACCTATTTCGAAGCGTTTCGAATAATATTAACCGTGTTAATAATGTTTTTTTTTTTCCGAACAATACACACTAATACGTATTATTATCTTTTGGGCAGCCATCACACGAATAGCCGAATTACCTTGTGCTATTTATATTATAATTCTTTAAATATCACACCATCTTCATTCTTCCGGCGATATTTTATAATAATATTATATTTTAACAATTGCCAGCGTGTCCTTCGCTCTTGCGCTCGTCTTATGGAGATTTTTGTTTTTTAATACGATTGAAACACTGGGCCGGGTATAGGAAATCTTTTGAACTACAGCAGAAGATATATGACCTAGCTTCTATAATACACGAATTACCTATATAGGTAGGTTGTATATACACGGACACAGCACAATATACAATGGATCTAGTTCAAATCAGTTTTCATTCAAAAAGTTGCATTGTTTTCCGTTTCGCGGTCATTTAACGTTACAGCTATTTTTTATTTCTACTTATTTAATTTTGACTCGAGCGTCTACATTTTTGTACGAGAGAAACGGTCTAGGTGTGTTCGAAAATGTTTAGAACAAAATATCATAGAAAAAGTGTACAAAAAGACTTTTCATGAATAACAGTGGGCCCAAGAGATCCGCAATAATTTGTCCGCTTATTCTACGACTAATAATTCGAGTTTCAGTTGTTTATATACTCTGACAGCGTTAATTATCATATAGGTGCATTTCAAATTTCGAAAATAAAAAAATTAACGCCCTTCACAATTTATGAAGGCTTCATCATATTATAGTAATATGTATTTAATAATGTTACAACCCACGAAATTTGTGTTAAACACATACTATTAAGTTAAATTGCTATACATGAATTTGATCGTAGAATAAACGACATTGAACATTATCATAATAATAATAATTTCGTACAGATAACATTTAGAAATGTATTTCATTAATCTGTAGGATGTATTACAGGTATTACTTACCTATCCTATAATATTATATAGGTACCTCTATAATACCAAACACTTTCCATTTATTATAACATTATTATGTACCTATGTTTACAAATCAAAACCGGTTAATTCACTTTCGTTGAATAATTATTTTATTTTATAATTGGGATTACTTGTTTGATTATATTTTGTTGTTTATACGCAGGTGCCTTCTTCATACAACCGTTTGGATATTACGATTACGCAATTGATTACAATGTTTAATACGAAAAATTCTGTTTAATTAACAATTAAAATTGTATATATTATATTATTGCACTATGTATAATTGGTAAACAACGGCGGTCGTCCGCGATATTTTTATTATTACAATAATGTTTATACTGGTGTTTATAACCGCTACTGCGTCATGTAAGGTACGCCGGGTAGGTAGTTTTACCAAGGTGTATATAGTTATTGTAACAAGTGTAAAATGTCACGGATATTAAACATCGACCGACACAATTATTCCACAATATTCAACAACCTAGGTTATTGGGGCAATTGTCACAGTTTGTTAACACGTATCTACCTATATACCCGTGCCTGCCTACCTACATTCTATTATTATTTTTTATTTTTTCTGAACCATCGTTTTTATAATAGACGATTGTGTAACCGTCAAGATTGTTTTATTATGACCTGTACGGCGCTGAATCGTCGACCGGATTTATTTAAATGCCTATACCTAATAAAAATTATGCTTAGACACCACACAAATCGCGACCGGCTAAAACCGCCGTAAAATTATTCAAATGACAAACAAATACGCGGGTTCCCGTGGTATAGACGGTAATAATAATATTATTATACAATATAATTTTATGGCGTGAAAAACCGGAAACGGTCGTGTATAAAACAAACATTTTAATAGGGCCGAAATTAAATTTCATACTATTGCAAAACGTAATCCGCTGCGGAGTGCAAAGTCCCTGGGGATGAGTTCCGATTTAGTCAATTTTTCATTGGCGAGTGTTTACGAATTCGGGGGTCACTTGTCTGCGTGACGAACAAATACCCTGCAACTGTGTTTGACGCATTGAAACAAAGAAATAAAACAAACGAATGGACCTTTCAGATATTCAGATCGTATCAGTACTCGAAGTGAATAAATAGATACATGGGTTAGATACATAAATACATAATATACCTAACTCACTTAAATTAAAATAATAATGGATTTGGATAAATAAAAAATGTACGTTTACCAAATACGGACAGTAATCGCCTGATCACTGAAAAAATTTCTAATAGATGACGGTTGAACGTTAAAGTTTACTTCGAGTTTTTCACTCAAAGTCGATTATTAATGAGCAAATAAATGTATATTTTCCAGGTGGTATTTGATATTAGCCAACATTTTCAAAAAAAAAAATAAAAATATTCCATTTTTTATTATTTTTTTTTTTTCATGAAACTTCTATAGATATGTACTACAATAGATTTCCCACTCATAGATAAGGCGTTTTAATTTTTAAAATTGGAACCTATAGATAATTTTATTTTGAAACTGTACCACGTAGTAGATAGTATACAAGTACCTATTATACGAAAATAGCGAATTTGACACGTTTCGTAATAATTTTAACAAATTGTATCACGATACCAATATGGTAAAAAAGGATTAATATGATTTTACATTTTTCGAGAGAAAAAAAAATCCATATTTACAACATTTTTAATGTTGTTTAGTGAACAAATTTACCATGATGCAATACGTCCGGAAACTTTTTAAGTAAACGATAGTAAGGCATAACGACCGTGTGTAACGTACCGTATGTAATAACTGAGTAGGTAATTATTATTTTGACATATACCTAGTTTTTGAACGTTTTTTTTTTTATTATTATTATTATTATTATTATACATATGTATATATAATATATATTGACTGCATGCCACAACGACCGCAATTACATAAATAAACTTAAACTAAGCATGTACAAACACGTTGTAACGTTAACAGTCGTGTAATGTAGTAAAAAAAAAAAAAAAAACAAAACCCGTGAACAGCAGATTTTCGTTATTATATTGTATAGTCGAATTTTTTCGCCAGCTATTTAGCATTATAGAAATATTTTTTTTAAAATAACAAATGAACGAATATTATACTACAACACTGTAATACTAGAATAAAAAAAAAAAAAAAGGTCAAATTTGAAGATTCACATTGATAGGGGCGGTGAAAGTTGCAAGTAAACGTTATGCATGTATACATTAAATCTGACTTCATTTGGGAAATCTCTAGGAAAAGTCCTAAAATCACACCCATTCCGCAACAACAAATGTATATTGAAATTCAACCCGAATTTATATCATTTTAATCCGCCTAGCCATATGAATAAACAAAAATAAAATCCACTTATAAAACAATAATTACCTACTCTAATTCCTGAGTTTAAACTAATTTAGTTCAAATGGAGCTGTTACATAGAAGTATTCAAAAGTAGCACAGAAATATGAAAACACTATAATGCAGTGACGTAATCAAGATTTTTCAATGGCAAGGAGGGTTAAACTAAAAAAAAAAAAAATTTTTTGTAAAATAAATAATTATGTGTTATACATAAACATAATATGTAGATTGTAGGTACTTTAACAGAACAATAGTATTTATTTTTATAGTTTAATAAGTAGTGTAAATATGCAATGATTATTATTTTAGTAGTAATACGTGTTCAATGCGGAACATTGTAGTATTTTTTTCTATTTAACACGCCCACTGGAGGGGGGGGTGCTGAAATTTCCTTAGTCCTCCTCTGGATCGTCACTGATAGTTTCTATTTTCGGAGAACATACAACAATATAAATACTTGTATTATGTTAACACTTGATTTTTTAGCATCGGCCTATAACTGAAGACTATAAGTCCACATTATTTTGATTAAAGAGTTGTATATGAGGAGTTTTGTGTGATTGTTGTTAGAGATTAAAGTTCAGCATATGCAGACGCGTATTCAAGCGCGATAAATTACTAGACCTAGATATTTTACAGATTCATATGGTGGAATTTAAATATTGATGTCTATGAATACTCCAGAACAGGACGGTAAATATAGAGTGACAGTGATGCATAGTGCATGTTGATTCGGAGCAATTAACTTTGCTCATGACTTTGGTTAGACATAAGCTCTAGATAGTTTTGGAGATTTGAGGATTCTGTAATCGAATCATTATGAATATTTCCTTATCGTCTGCAAACTCGACTACAGTTGTACTTGGAGAGATGGTTGATCGGAAGCATAGATATTATATAAAACTGGCAAAAGAATTTCACCCTGTGGGATACCAGCGTTTATAATAGCTATATCCGAAAGAAAGAGCCAAATCTAACTTGGAATTTATGGTTAGAAAGGTATGATTTGATTGGTAAGTAGTAAGTTATAGGTAGAAATTGTTTATTTTTTCCCGTGATCTAAAATAGTAATTAAAATATAAATACCAAAAAAAAGTGGAACCAACTGGACGGTTTTCTTCCATCAAAAATGTTATCTGCTTTAAATTCATTTATCACATATTCTTATTGTGTCGAAAAAGTACGGATTATATATTTCGTTTATAAAAAGAAAAAATATGTATATTTATATGTCAAACAGGTAATACAAATAATATTACCATAACGCGATCTACGGTGACACTACCATAACAATAACTTAAAAATTAACAAATATAAAACGAGTGGTGTTCAAGTTTATAATATAAATAGGACTAGGTGTCTAGGTCAACAATAGTCAACCAACTTGTATTATATTGGTATATACCTAGTATGTATAATAAATAATAAAAACAAAAATTAAATTGAAAAATAAAATCGATTTTATCAATTTGTCAAGCTAAACACTGCAACTCTAGGTATTATAATAGTGTTGCGAATTAACATATTATTATTGTTATTCCCGTTGAACGTAATTTAACAAAATATACAATATAATGTTATTATTATATTTTTTTTTATTGTATAGGTAACCCGTATAAAATATGGTATTAAAAACATATTATCATGTTCAACATTACAAGTATATAATGTATAGGCAAGGTTTCACGATCTTTGGGTCACTCAAATACACTTAAAAAGTTGAAAAAAAAAAAATGTTTCAAATTAAAAAAAAAAGCTAAATCAAGAGAAAAAACGAAAAGCCTATGAAAAAAAAAAAAAAAAACATACCTCAGTTAAAGGGATGTAATATATCACTGCGTCGTGATTTCGCATACGATAACGTAGCCCCCTCGCCTAACTTTGTTTTAAAAAAGAGAAAAAAGAAAAAGATCTCGTGAAAAATTGCATAAACATCTTGAGTCGCGTAGGTACACACAAAAGTGCAAGAGGACCGTCGACTTATTCTCTCGCAACTGTCCGCGTACATATTTTACTAAATATTTTTTACCTAAGTACCCAACATTTTTGGTTTTTCGATTTTTCCGAGCAATCATTACAGTATTGACACCTTTTATTTTGTGTGTGCAGGCCGACCTTCGGGTGTTTGAACTGTAATATTCATAGTACAATTGATACGATCCGCGTTTAGCAACGTCATTATATCGGTACTCAAACGAAACCGCTTATATTTCAAAACGTTCGAGCGGAATTTTTAAACGCTCGTAGCGCGCGCGCGCGCGTATCGTTCAATTCGGCGTGCGTTGCGACATTATCGATATCGGTTGCATTATTGTTATGATATTCACCGGATCAAAACCCGCGACAGTTTCCCAATATCACGAGAGTCGCCGTCGTCGTCGTCGCCGTCGTCGTTGTCGTACCCATTTATTATGTTATTATACGGTGTAGATACCGATACAATGCGATAGGAAATTATCGTGTTTGATAACACAATATAACGCGTACCTACTCGCCTCTCTCTATATATATCTATATAGGTATAAACCGCGTTTATAAACGATAATATTATATTGTGAAAACGTTTCGTTTGTCATAAAAATTACACCGGCGACAGTCTAGACTCTAGGCCGACCGGTATTATATTATAGGTATACGTACACACACATGCACACACACGCGCACACAATATTATAATAAAAACAATACACGATTAAACTCACAGTAATACTGCCGACATATTTAATTTTTAACTGTTGGATACCGAATTATTATAATCGCGTTCGTAATAATACGTTTTAAATTCTGAGCAATGATATTGACTTTAAACTGTTTTTTTTAATGTATATATTTTTTTTGTGTGTCTGTGAACGGCTTTTCTACTTAGAAATATTCTTCCGATTTTCATTTGTAGCGTATTTTCTAAAAGTGAAATTAATCCAGTTATTATTGGGGTGGTCTTTTTTTATTTTCCTTACAGTTTCCTCAACTATATAGGGAGAGACGGGAAAGTTTACGGCAATATCGATTTAAATACTATTTACAATTCAGTTTTAAATAATCTTGGAGAACTACACTTTTCAGAGAACAGATATTTTAAGCCTTTTTCTGACGCGATACAATTTTCAAAGTATATTCTGGCGAATTTTTTTTATTTTGATATTCATCGTATAATTAAATATAATAGGAATAAGAAAATTTTCGATTTTTTTTTTTTTAGTTTTTATTTGTTTTTTGTGAATACAACTGTTTTGGCCTAGTAGAAATGTTTGAAAATTATGTTCCAAATTTAGTTTTTTATCATAAGCATTTTAAATTCAAATTTTGATGAAAATCGTACAAAAATCATGGCAATTCAAATCAAGTATTTAATTAAACGTCGCTCAGAATTGTTTTTAATCAACAATAATTTATAATTTCGTACAAATATAAAATAAATAACTTGATATTATATTCTACGTTCCCAAATTTTATTTTAAATTTTATATTAAACTATATTATTAAACAAAACATTCCGATAGTCTGTTTTAATCATGATAAACACAATAATTATTCTTTAATAAAACTCTATAAAAAAAAAAAAAATCGATTAAAACTATTTGGCAATATCGTTTTCTATCCTGGATAAAGTGCGAACATATAATATGTATCTACCCATTATATAGTCGCGCAGAAATCGGAACGTTCAGCTCTAATGATGATGACTGCAATGCGTTTATGGCCGAATCTATTTACTTTTTTTGATTGTGTACGATTTTCGTGGATAGATAAATGTAAATGTTGCTTCATATTATATATTGTTATCTAAAAAAAAGGTGTTTTATACTACTACTCGTACCGGACGACCTTGCAAAACGCTAACCGTTCAATCACAATCAAATATCGGCCGATACACCATATACTATTTTATTATATTGTATTATGTTTATCTTTGTACGGGTGAAAGTTTAGTGAATATTCTGCTTCTGTTTCAATATATAACGACGGCTAACCAGCGATCCGCCGTAAGCTGATTTATACAAATTATTGTACAAAACTGCCGTCGAGAAAACTACACGGAAAATAGAAAAATGACCGTTTCAATGAAATTTACCAACAAGATCGAAAATGCTACAAGAAACTTCGATCGGAGCCATATTGCTGGCAGAAAATACACGGAACGCAATACCGCGACTCTTTCGTATTACAATAATATTATTATGTGCGAAGACTCGATTCCCGAACGCGCTGTAACCTTTTACGTCTTGATGATTTTCGACATTACCGTTTCTATATAAATTGCACAAACGGCCGCGTACATCAGCAACCATTGTTCGAGCGCATTGCATAACTGTATAACATAAACGTACACATAATAATATATATATATATATATAAGTATAGCATAATTATTATTACTGATCACAACCAAATCAATGTAACTAGGTGCCTAATTACAATTATCGCATTAAATGATAAACATCAAGAAATGTCATCAGGGCCATTAAATTATACGTCATATATATAAATAGATATGTATACGTTATATACGAGAAAGTAATAATAAATTATAAAAATGGTAGATGAACGGCGAAGAAAAAAACCGTTATAGCAGCTGTATAGTGACGCTAGAGTTGTCCTTTAAGTGATTTAGGCGTATGGGCAAGTCTGCAATTTATAACCATCACGTCATAATATTGATACCGGTACCAAGGTATTCGTAATAATATTATGAAATCAAATTGTCGAAATCCTATTTTCAAATATAAATTATTGTATTAAAACAAATACAAAACACTTCGAAAACGCGTGTAAATGGCGGGGGTGACGAATTTATAGGTATTTTTTAATAAAAAAAACACGTATATAGGCGTACATATTTTATGTATATTTTTTTTTTTTGTATAGGTTAATTTAATATTAAAGACTTGACACTTGACACTTGACAATTTATATAATAGGTAAACCATGTGTCATTTATTTATAGCTATATTAAAAAATTACGCAAATATTATATTATAATATCGTTATACAAGATCATAATTTCTTTTTGTGGACGTAATACTAAAAAAAAAAAAAAAAAAAATGGTTCATATTTTGTAGTTGATTAAAAATATAATTTATTACAGTACATCTTTTAAATTATCACATTAAGTCGCTTTATTGTTAATTTTACCCAGGAGTGGTTCAAGGAATTAGATAAATGGGGTCACTAAACAAAATTTCACTTTTCATATGCGTTAAAAATGTATTCCTAATATAAATTATAATTTATATAATTCTTTATGAGTTCTATTTTTAAAGCACCTGCACGCTAAGAGAGGGTTTCAGTTCCCATAGCCGTATTCACCCCTGAGTATACCTATTTGATAATATATAATAAGTATATCATTTATTAAATATACCTATTTTACTATTGAGTAAATTTTAATTATATTACAAAAATTAAATTAAAGAATACAATTATTATATACCTGTTTATTTTTTAACGGTAAAAAATAGGTCTAAATGACGTCAAATGAGAAAAAAAAAATCAAATCATTAATTCTATTTACTAATATTTGATAATTTATAAATTACAGAATCTCAAAGTATTCCTCGTCAAAAGAGAATAAACCCAAACAACATTATCGTAAGTATGATTTGTATTTATTTTTTTTTAATTATAATTATTATTTGTATTATTATAAAGAAGAAATTGATTTAATTTGAATACGTATTTCAATTCAAAAAGTATTCAATTTAAATTGCATAGTATTAAAGGGCATTATATATTTTGTAATGAAGTATTTTATTCATTCGGTTTGGTAATCAAACTTTGATCCAAAATGAAGCGGCCATATTTATTTTATTATTTTTTTAAATAAGTTGAGACAGGGCCTTAACATAGGGTTCGGTGCCACTGCATAAACCTTATTCATGTTGCAATTTAATCAATTTTGTTATACATTTGTCAAAAATCATAATAATTGCTGCAAAATAAAATAGGTACATACCTACATAAAAATATATTAAATAATATCAAACACAATATTATTATGGTGCCTACTTTAAAAAAATCTGTGATATCTCACGGATACATTAAATGGAAATGATAATATTGTTGCATCTTGTGTCTACGGCAAACATTATAGCCGTAAAATGTATAGCAAATAATACACTTTTGTTTTCATTTGTGACTTCGTGTTGCGTATCCTGTGCTTTTTATCGTATTCTGATTGACCGTTGTAATTCGGGTAACATTCAGTAGCCAAGACGTACCGGAAAATGTCCAGAGATGGGCTGGTTTCAATTTTTCTCTCATTTAGGTTGAATGGTCAGTTTATTTTTAGATGTTATCAGTATAACGTATTATAATATATTTGCGATACGACACACGTCGTCGCTGAATTAACGCCTAAACAAACGCGAATATAAATTTAAAAATTGTTTCTGTTGTTAAATAATTAACATGTATTACATTACCCACCCTTTGTACGACTATTCTCCGGTTCTCCGTCAACTAGGTCTATCGACTCTAGCTGTTATAAGAATAGACAATAACATAAAGTTCCTCCAGAATCTTATTGGCGGTTTTGCTTATGCTTCTTTCCGTTATCAATTTCTCAACAGTTATTAACAGTCTCGCCTCTCGTTCAGCCCGGTCTATCGCACTATTTACCATTGCTAACCGTTCCGCTGTTGTTACAGTTGGAATAATCTAATCGACCGTCTGGCACGTCTATAGCTAACGCTCGTCCTTCTTTCCTGTTTTCAACCGGATACTTAGTTCCGTCTCGTTACCACTGCCAGTGCTTTTTGTTGTATACAATATAATATTATGTAAATCTGCCCACAATTACTACATACTTTGAGCCGAGCCCCCGCGCGTATTTCATAAATAAATAATAATAGTAATTTATATGATAATAATTTAAATTTAAATTTAATCATAATTTTAAGTGAAATATTATCAAAATCTATGGTATTTATGTACCGTTTAAATAACATATTATAATATTGTTGCCAAAATAATGGACTTAAATTAATTTTTAAAATAATACAAATTGTGCAGAGTACAAACAAAATATGAAAATCGATTAAAATTTGTTCGAGGTTTTGGAACAATAATACCTATAATAGAACAACATTTAATTCTTGTATTATAATATGGTTAATGGTGTTATTACATTCGATTTACAGTACCGACGGGATTCGACGGCGGACAGCCAACAGTTTTTGCCGGCGTTCGGGCCGCTGTTCAGCCAGCTCGGTAACGTCCGTCCGGCCAGGCTGTACGAGGAAGCCGACTATCTGCCCGAACTGACGCCGTACCTGTCAGCCGCCTCGTCCAACCGGGAGAGCGCCATGTTGGGTTCCGGCAACTTTGGCGTCATACCGGGCGGCACGTACTACTCGGCCGGCGAGTCCGCTTCCATATCCGACCCGTACCTGTACGACGGCAACGGCCACAGAGGCCGACCGCACCGGTAAGCGTTTGGTGGCCCGGTCTGTTATAATATTATGGGGCGATCGGGAATCGGGCCGCATTTCATCAACCCGCTTCGTATAAACAATATTTGTTTACGTAACGTTACCCGGCATGTTTGGCCACGAAATGTATAACACAGTTTCAAATATATTCTGATATTTTTTTTTTCGTTTTTTAATAAATTTAAAATCAGTTTAATTAGTCAGTCGAACGTGCTCAATTCCTTTTTGAATTCCTTGTTCAAAGTCGACAACACAACTAATTGCGTTGTGTTGGCTCAAATTCCAAACCACGATCAGAAAAATAGAGGATATTTAATTTTAATGGTTTTTTATAAGAATATTTTTGTTTGTCTATGAAGTAAACAAAATACTTAAGGAACCTGTGAATTATTTTTATAACCACGGATAAAAAATAATTGATAAAAAAGCACAGTAAATTCAAAATACCGAACATAATCAACATTTTTGTATACGGTATCATGCCGTCAACATAAATCGGTTCTAACGAACATAAGAAAGATAAATTTGCAATCGTAAAACAAATAATGATATGCTCAATTAATTTATTTATTTATTAATACAAAATATAGTTGTTTCTTGTAAAAATATCAGTTGTTTCTAAATAGTGATGTATTTCATTAATATTTTTCGGCAATATAGGTAAAATGTACATATCTATATCATATAAAGTTTATGTATTTTGATAAAAGTAAATTAGTATATCTACTGATGCACAGTTCCCAAATTCTGATAAAACTATTTTGGACGGTCTTACCGAAGTATCTTATTAAGTATCTATTATAAATATTATATTCATATATTATTTTAATTAAAATCTACTAAAATATATTAAAATATAGTGACCCAATCACTGGGTCTACCTGTTAGATATGTAAAATTTAAGTGGCCCAATTACTTTTTTTAAAAAAAATGTTTATTGTGGCCCAATTCCAGGACGAACATATTGTAATGTTAGTACCTACACCTACAAAATATACCTACCGCGGCACCAGTGGCGTGGTCCGGAATATTCTATGCCTTCTATGTCAACCCTCATCTAGTCTCCACTCTACCATCAAGTGGCATATGTATAAAATATTTTCAGGGTGGCCTATAATGGACAGTGGTTGATAATTATTCCAACTTAAAATTATATACTTATAATACCTATTTAAATTTTAAAATGTAGAATGTATACAATATAGATATGGCATAGTAAGGTTATACATTATTTATAACTAAACTTAAACTTTAAAGAACAAAACTGTTATCGGTGTGTCGGACGCTGAAAACCATTATTATATATTCATGCCATGTTATTTCATCAATGGGGTGGGAGAAAAATATTATAACCCAGTGGCGTCATCTGGATCGCGCAAGATATTACATTTGAACATTTTAAATCCAATATTCGAATAATTCGATCCATTATAAATTGTTTTCCTGGATACAGTGCAACTATTTCTGGTTTACATATTTCATTTTTAAATTAATATTCTCTTCTTTTTTAGATTTGAAACACAAAAAAAAAACGATTAGGACATTATGTAGATATTTAAATTCCTGATGTTTCGTGTATGAAAGTTTATTAGCTAATTTTGTAATGTTTTATTATAAATAAAGTTAAATAAATGTATTAGAAAATATGTGGATTATTTTATTTCCGTTTTGTTGGAAATTCTAAACAGCATTTGTGGTCTGTATAAACGTATATATATTAAAAAAATTAATTGAAATGACGTCACTGGTCTAACCCCAAATCTCTACGCCAATATACGCGTTACCCAGATACAGGGATTGTTTTGGGAGTTCAAACCCCCCCAAAAATTAATAGTTGTGTAATTTATTTATACAAATTTTATATTTTTTATAAATATTAATAATATTGATTATTGTAAATTTGTTATGAACCCCTCCCGATTTTTTTTTTATGTACGTGCCCGGCGATACCTATATATAATATTATAAGCTACATGTAACCGGAACCGATTTTGTGTCCGCATTAGTTTTATAGTTAAATTCGATATTATTGTACAACATTTATCGGTTTAATATTGTGTAACATCATTTGTTTATCTATGTATAGGTTTTCTGGAAATCCAAGACCATCACCGTTCCGCGACCCGGAGGACTTCTTCGCGGGATTCCGAGATTTCGCCGACATAACGGCGCCTACTAAGTCGTCGTTCTCGCAATATCACATGGTGTACGCCCCGATGGAAGATTTGCCGACTAGCGAAGAAAAGTTCAAGTCGAAACAGAAGAGGAAGTTAAGCAAACATTTAGAAAACGAAAAAGACAAAACGATCAAGGCTAAAAGAAAAATGCACGCAGGTGAAAAAGAACTGTACGAACCTATGATCGCACTTAGTTAGTTGACGCGGTAAAACATACCTGAGGAATTATTATGATAGAGATAATAATGTTTTTCTTATTTTTTTTCTCAAAGTACAAAATACGGACGACTTTCTTTCTGTTGATCGCGTAGATGAAACTATATATGGAAGTACGATCCATATACATACGAAAGTTTAAAGACTCTATAGATATATGAAAGTTTAATAGCTCGAGTATAATAAATGTCCGCAATATCGTTTTCACTTTTATACGTGTAAAATGATTTATTTAATAACATAATATATTATTTAGAATACAGATATATACCAAAAAAAAACACGTTTTTCCAACGTATTATAATTAATATATTGCTATGCGAGTATACCTTTCAGTCATACAAGGTTATGTTCAATTATTATACATATACTAATTTGCTGGAATTATTACAACTATTATTTTATGTTATTGTATAGACTATTATAATTAATTATAACGAATATGTACGTAGGAAATTATATAATGTATACCTATACCTATTACCTATTATATAGTTTTATACTGTTTTGTATGTGTACTAATATAATATAACATTAATAATTAATAATAATAATGATTTGTAAATATATTATATTTTAAATAAATGTTAATATTGTTTAATAAATATTATCAAGTTGGTTTTTTTTCGGATCCGAGACATGTGAAGAAAATTTGATACAGCGATAGATTCATTATTATATTCAATGTTTTCAACGAATCCGTATCGATATATATATATATATACCGTTTTTGTTAGATACCGGAAAAAATCGATGGGACTAATTATTAGATCTGACAAATCGAACAATTAATATCAGCGTTCAAATCACGGATTTAGATACTATAGCAACGTCTATAGATAATATTTTAGATATTTATTCTGTGCTATGGTTGTACAATGATCAACGATATAAGTATAACGGCACCAAAGATTTTCATCAATAATTTAAAAAAGTTGCGCTATAAAATCCACAGTTATCTATGTAGTTAATAGATAACCGTGATGAAATCATAAACACGATTTAATAAATACAATTATCTATGCATAAAACTCCCAACCCGTCTCTGATGCAAAAAAGTATTAACTTTTCTCGGAATATTTTTTTTAAAAATGATAATTAAATATTTTAAAACTATTTATTTCTTCATCTACTTGTTTAAAAATTCTAAAAAAGTTAATACTTCCCGAGATAATGGATAACGACCAATGTTAGAAATGATAAAAATTAAAATATCCTAAGGCAGAACCTAAAATACATCCCGAATTCCCGACAAAGAACCAAATACCAATGGGCAAAATGGCTCTATTTACCACCTATGAGTATACTTATAGGTGAATGTAAGATAATAGATAAATCGCTTATAGCAGATTTTGTGTTGCCTTTCAACGGTCAATCAGTAAATCGGTCAACTGGCACCCCCTAAGAAAACCGGCTGTATCTCGGAAAGTTTAAAAGCACAAAAATCGGGATTAACAGCACAAATCAGCACAAAAAAAGGCCATTGGTTTCATTTCATAATTCATTGACGAGGGTGCGAGGATAAAAGTCGTAATATTTTACTAATATATTTCATACATTATCTTGTTAATCATCGGTTTTTTTTCAATTTTTCAAATTTGATGAGAAAACTCCTGAGCAAATCAAAAAATTACTTTCCTAAATTACCACCCCAAGAAAATTAACTTTCAGAAAAGAGTCTACATCGTATACATAGGAGTAAGCTTTCTGGTAGAAAAATTATTCACATAAAAAAAAAAAAACAAAAATATTTGTAAAACCAATACATTCTTCTCTCCACTCAGAATCTAAAATAAATAAAAATTCGATCGGATACCGAAAAAAATAAAAAATAAAAATACATTACGTAATACATTTACGGCACGATTTATTTTACATTTTTAAGGTTTATGTTTTCTACCAGAATAACTACACACAAAAATATTATTTACGTATGTGAGTACCAATGGGAAATTTTAATTCTCTTGAATATCAATTGAACAGTCCAAATTTCAAATGTGACGGCACCAAATCAATGGATTCGAGAATTCGCCCGATATTACACAGGTTTATAGTATAATTAGGTAACTGACTACGAGAGCGATCTGTAGTTGTTCGCACGAAACCCCGGGGCTAAATAAAGAACGGTTATAATCAATTCTCGTGTGTATTTACTTTCTCTGACTGTCGTGTATAAAGTATATTAAGTATTCATAATATCTTTAATAAATGTAGTTGACCCTGAATTGACGCGTGGCCATCATAAAATTCAGATTTCGATTTCCGATGTAACGTTATTCATTTACTCGTTTCAAATAACCAATAAAAAACAAACACGAGAAATAAATATAACTATGATCGCGTTCGTTTTTCTATTATTTATTTCAATATATTATATTATTATAATATTCAAATAAGATATTCGTTTTATATTGAATCAATCGGATTGTTTTTTTTTTCAAATTTTCTCCAATAATAGAGACTATTGGACTTTATCAGACCTGTAGTATTTAGAAATTGTATAAAATATTAATTTTAATATATTATGGCGTTATGATTGCTTTATTTTAAATTTGTACGGTATATGTTTGCTACCAGAAATACTTGTCTAATAAGTTGGTGAATAAGAAAGTCATTATTGATTTCTCAGGAGTTTTCTCAACAAATGTGAAAAACCGAAAAAAAAACTGAAAAAATTGGAAAATGTATGAAATGTACGTATTAGCATCTATGGTATTTGTTAAAAAAAACTGTATTTTTTCCAGTGAACAACTTTTCTACCAGCAATTTTGCATATGATGTAAATCTGAAAGGAAATATGACTGGGAAGGTACTTTAGGGAGGTAGTTATTTGATTTTCTCAGGAAATGTGAAAAATCGAAAAAAACGGGAAAATTGGATCAATATTAAACAAATATTAAAGAAAATACATAATGCCTATTTAATTATTTTACCATAATATGACAGATACCATATTGTTGACAAAGCATCATTTTCAACTGAACTTCGCTCAGAATCGTTTTTTTGTTTGCAATGGTTTATCGTTACTTCCAGATATACATTGAATTTCCTTTTGTATCCTACCTTCCCAATTTTTTTTATACTTTTCCGGTTTTTCCGATTATTAAAAAAATATAAGGAAAATCTAAGTTCAAATTTCTTATTCAACAACTAGATTAAAAATATAACAAAAAAGATCTCTAGACGTTTTTTTATTGAAGCAATATTTCTGATAGGAAACATAAGTTGCAAAAATCATGAATTTGTTGCGCCATAAATATTTGATTTGTACAATTTTCCTACAAAATAATTGCCATGTAAATTATAATATCTTTGCTTTATTATCTTCCTTGATAATGTGATAACAGGCTGATAGATAACTGCAATCAGTAATTAGTTTTCAAGAATCAAAACGTGTATTTTGTTTATATCTATGTGCTTTTCTGTTCTGTTTGTAAGCACGTGATAGTTTCATAACATCTGTACTTAATACGGTAATTTTAACATTGTAGTTTTTTCTATTCTGAATAACTTGTGGTATTTTTAATTAAATTTTAAATATATTTATTCCGTAATAAACTAATTTGTTAATTTATTTTTGTTCTGTTAAATTTGTCCATGTAAGTACCTATTTATATGAAAAAATAATATATCCGATATCCATATTAATGAATCGTCCAAATAATTAATATTTTCTACTGATACATAATATTAGTAAATTATTTGTTTTATTATAGATTACCTCAACCAAATGGTTGTGTTCACCTGTAATAACTGTGGTGATTCAGTTAATAAACCTAAGGTAGAGAAACACATACAATATGAATGCAAACGCAAACATTTTGCTGTTAGCTTCTGTTGTGTCGACTGTTTAAAGGATTTCAAGTGAGTTATCATCAAATTTTTTGTATAGTACAATAGGCACATCAGATAGGTAGATAAAAATATTTGAGTATAAAATATGTTATTTTAATTTATATAGCTTAGTAACTTTTTACAAAAGAAGTTTTTAGTATCGTTGTTCTTTATAACAGATAGGTTCTTATATAAAACAAATACCTAATTTCGATACAAATATCATTAGATTATAACTTTTGAAATATTTAGCTTGTTAAATGATTTTTATTTATTTTATTACTTGTCTTCTATACCAATTATGTATACGAACTTAATTCAACATTTTAGAGTTTAGAATACTTTTATTGTCTTGAAATTAATTTGATACGTTTGAGTACCTAGTTGTAAAACCAATTATATTTTTCAAATAATTCAATATTGCCTTCTTCATCTCAACTATTTGGAGTCAGCCACCCGCTTTCTAAATTTTCACTTAACCTGAACTCCTAACTTACATAGTACACCAGTTGACCTTGTAAATTTCAATTGTATCCAACGACCTCTTTTCCAGTTTTCCTCTCTACCTATATCCACCTACTTTTATTTTCATTACAATTACAGATTGCTTCAGATTCCTCTCCCTGTACCATGCTTAAATTATCTCAGTCATTTATGCAACTTGGCATTAGTCTTATCAGTATTTTCTTGTCATATAAAACACTCGACATTTCTCTCTACTTTATCCAACTACACTTAATCCTGTGTTCACATCCTCATGAAAACCACCATTCTTTTATTCAAAAAATCCTAGGTACTTAAAATTCTCAACTTTGCTTATTACAATACCACTTAGTTATCATCGTTAGCTATCTTGCCCTGTTATTCCAAATTCATACTTTTTTCTTTCTTTTTTTTTTACTTCCACTTATTCTTAGTCCCTTTCTTTCAAGTCTTATCCTTCATTATTCAAGTATATTGTTAACTTATTCCAGATTTTCTTCTATCAAAGCTATAGCATCTGCAAACAGAATGCTTCATAACACCTCCTTTCTACCTGTTATCCCAACACACATCTGAGATAGGACAATCACCCAAAGGTCTTATATAGTACCACTCATATTGGTTGACAGAATTTTTTACCTTTTTGCTCTAATGAAACCCTATTTGTCCTCTCTTATGACAAGTGTAGGTACTACGAGAGTATTCTTTAAATTCAATTTAACAAAGATGTATCAGATAAAATTATAAAAGTTTAAAAAATAAGAAACCCTTAAACTCGGGTATTGTCAAGTTAATAATAGCAAGTCATAGATATATAGTCGGATACTTAAATTAATATAATATAATAACTTCAACAAATAGTGATTTTTTAATTTTAAATTTAAGTTAACAAAATAAAAAAACAATGGTAATATTTTAGTATTTGTATACAATAAAATGTAACTATTTTTGTTGAAATTGAAATATTTAAAATAGCTTATAATAATATTTAACTAGGTATATTATATTAATATAGTTTTTTGTGAAAACTAGTAAAATTTGTATTATTCATCAAATATTGTTTAAAAATGTATAATTATTAATTTGTTATTTGTATTTCAGTTTTGAGACCGTTAAAAGTCATTGTCAATGTGTGACAGAAGAAGAGAGGTACTCTGCCAAAGGATTTGTTCCTAAAGCATCATCAGAAAAAGGAAAACGCAAACAAGCTGGTTGGGTGGATATTGTACAGTCTGTAATTAATAGAAAGGATTTACCTAATGACGAAAGACAATTTTTGAATATTATAGCCAAGTTTGATAATGTACCAAGAAAAAAAAACAAATTTCAGGTAAAAATTAAAATTAAATAATTTGCTTATAATAACTGATTTTTAATTTCGATTATTTGGTTCTAGAACTTTTGTTTTTCTACTGCACCTGCATATAGAAAAAAAGGGTATTTGGTGGATAAAGTATTTGATATGATAGAAGCAGAATATAAAGCACAGCAAGTCCAAAATTCAACTGAAAAACCAGCTGATTCTAGCAAAATTCAAAATAAAAGTGATACAGATAGTTTAGAGATAAATAATACAGTTCAAGCCGAAACTTCGGAAAAACCAAAAAAAAAGAAGAAAAGTGTTGCTAATGACAAAATTGAAAATATTCACAACGAAAATGAAGAAACGTCTAAGAAAGAAAAGAAAAAACGGAAACAATCTGTTGTTGAAGTAAAGAATGATGAACTTGAGTCAAAATCTGACGATATTAAAAATGCTGATAAAAAAACCCAAGAAACGCCAAAAAAAGAAAAGAAAAAAAGAAAACGGTCTCTTGATGAAGTTGAAAATGAAATAAAAACAAAATCTGAAGAAAATATCAAACCAGTGTCAGAAAAAAAAAAGAAAAAAGGTAAAAATAACTCTGTGGCTGAAGAAAATTTGGATATAAATGAAACAAATAATATTCAAACACCTTCTAAAAATAAAAAAATTACTGATGCAGGAACCAATGAGGAAAATGGAATTGTTAACAGAAATGAGGAATTACAAATCAATAAAAAAGAAAAAAAAACATTAAAAAAAAAAATGAAGTACCAACAAGAATTGGCAATTGTTTCTAGTGGTATTGTAGAAGTAGATAAGGAACCAGTATCAAAAAGTAAAAAAAGAAAGCTAATTGGTAATGAAGAAAATGAAGAACCACAACAAAAAGCATTAAAACTTGATAATGGTTTGTTAAATTAAGTTTTATTTTATTGTTAGTTGTAGTTTTAAATGTTGAATGATTAATTTAATACTTTTTTGTATGTTTTTATAATTATAGAAGAGACACAAAAAATCTCGGGAGTACAGTCTCGACGTAAATTTGATTGGAACGAAGTTATAACACAAGTATTGCAAAGTAAAAAAAGCAAAAAAACATCAATAACTAAAGTAATGAAAAGAGTTATGAATGAATATCATCATTTAAATGAAACAACTAAAAAATCCGAAAATGAATTAGAAAAAATATTTTTGAAAAAATTGAGGAAAATGAAAAATGTTACGATTGATAATGATAAAGTACAATTAGTAGGATGTTGATTTTAGTACTTTATAATATTGTATTTTTTTAATTTTACAATAAAATAATATCTAAAATTTTAGTATGTTAATTATAAAACCATAGACAGAACATTTGACCCGAAGACTGGGAGGTGTGGTCGGTCCGAACAGATTGAGAGATAGGCTGATCTATTCAAAGCCTAGTGTAAAAGAACAAATTTGCACTCCGAGGACAGCCAATTAAAAAACTCTTATTATATCACGTTTTCCTGTCCTTGAAATGAAACTCCACCAGAATGTTTTTTGTGCTGAATGTTCTATTTATATTGATGTATAAATGTAAGGATAAAACAAGCATTAAATTTTAAATGAGATTAATTATGGTAAATGATAATATCATATCACTATATATAGTGGTGGAGCCAGGATTTTTTTTTTTTTTTTAGGTTGGGTCAATAGGAGGTCAACAATTATAAATAGGGCCACAAAAAAAATGAAATTTCTGAAAGAAAAAAACAATTCTGATAGCCCCAATAGGTAATAATACTTCTTTTTAATAAACTAGGTATTAAATATAGATCATACATAAAACACATTCAATATAAGTTCGTGTATTGATGTGTATTACAAACAAAATTATCTCAACAACCAAATATAGAAACATTTTGAACATGTATAATAACTATATAATAATGAATTCCATCATCCCCAATTTAAGTGAACTTTTGTGTTTTATTCTGAGATAGGAACATTTAAGTATTAAAAATTTGGCATAATATACTTTTAGAAATTCAAAGAAATTAAAATATTTAAATGCACAAAAAAAGTTTTATATTAAAATTCAGACTTTGTTGATTAAAATCATATTTTAATAAGAATTAGTTATAATAATTGAAACAAACCTATTTTATATTAATTAAAGATTTAAACAAATTTATATAGGTAGGTAATATAATAGTCTACATTATCATCAAAATGGTATGAAATACATTATCATTTAGGCTGTATTCACTAAAAAATATTAAATGTCAAATTTATTTATAGGTACCTATCTAAAAGACTAAAAACAAATGTTATACAAATTTTAAATTTTAGTGAAAGATAAGTAATTCTATAGTTAAAAATTATAAAAATCTTTGTTATTAGTGTATGAAGGTGTACAACCTTAACCCCCCCCTCCCCATCCAAAGTATTTATTAACGCACCCGCATAAATATGCAATATTATAGGTACCCATACAGTGTAATAACAATAAATTGTAAATACAAGTAGGTTCTGGTGTTATCAATTATTATATAATGTATTATATGATATTATATGTATATATGTAGTAGTATATTAATCTAAATTACATATGGTAAACAAATACTATTATTTTCTATTTATGTAAAACAATTATATTATGTTAATGGTCAGGCCTGTGGTAGGTCCAGGTATTTTCATGTATTGCTATGGCCTTATCTGACCTGTTCCTGGCACCACCACTGACTCAAAGATTACACATTGTATACTCTTACTATGGAATTATAGACATATAATTATATATTTATGTATCTATGCATGGAATACAGCTTCTGCCATGAAAAAATCTCTTCAGAGCCATCTGTCTCTTACACATAATTTTAGATTTTGAGTGTAACGAAGAATATATTGGTTATATATATAGAGTGATTTTTTTTTTTTTATCATGAACTAGCAATTATTTTAGGATTTTATTTTAAAACCATTTTTAATTTTTTACTCCTACTCCATGGTACATGGAGTACCTTAAATAAATGCTTACTTTTGATTTTTAAATATAAACCCCCCCCCCCGTTTTAAACGCGGATCTGAATAGAAAATATTTTGATATGCATAACACTAATATCAGATTTACCATTTATGAGTTAAAATCACTCTATATACTGTGTACAAAAATTTTACCAGAAATCTTAATCTGTTATGTACGTGTAGCACCATTTCTAAAAGAAAATAATGTCTAGATACTTTTAGGAGGTCACTTTTTGATCTTTCAAGTGATTTTCATAATATTAGGAAGGAAGGTTAGGTTACACAAGGAATAAAATGTAAGAAAAACATAAAATTTACAAAAATAATATTTTTTATTACTTTCAATTTTGTTATTTGTTGTTATTGAGTTAAAAATATTTATAGAGACTTGAAATTTTCACAGAAAACTTATATTTTCCTTTTGTAGACATGGTAAAATTGTTAACCATTTTTGAGTTATTTATAGACATTTACATTTTGCAAGTTTTATACATTTTATATTTGGTAGGTAGATACCACAGAGTATTCTGTGGTAAAGTTCTTTGACTAAACAGAAATACTTTAAAATTTAACAGGAGGTTCATTAACAAAAAAAAATTGAACTTTTAGTGTAAAGTATTTTATTTTATTTTAATATCAAATTTTGACGAAAAATGTTTAAGTAAAATAATTGGAACAATTTACTGATTTAAGAATGATTGTGAACAAAGAATTCAGCTGACTTATTTCAGAAATTATAGTTTTTCTAAGTTTTGATATGTGGATATTAAATAACTATAATATATTAAATTATCATATTTGTCGAAGTTTAATGGTAACACATACTATTGTTATCTTAGGGATCACGAGTTCAAACTCAAGTTTCAAAAAAATTTGTTCGCATTTGTTTTTTCCCTTTTACCTAAACAGGGAAAAAAGAAATGCATTTTGGGTACACCTAGAGCCCCAAGCCATCGCTCGCTCGGACTATTTTTTCGAAAAATACCTCTCGATTTGTTGTACTAGTAGCTTAATTTTATGATACTTAAGGAAGGCAATTTTTTGATTTTCCAAGCGGTTTTCATATTATTTGGGAAAATAGGTAAAATATTATTAAAGAAAATATATAATGCATATGCAAATATTTCACCATAAAATGACATATATACATTGTTGACAATGCAACACTATCAATCGAACTCCGCTCAGAATCGTTTTTTTCGTTAGCAATGGTTAATCGTTGAGTACAGATATACACTGAATTTCCCTTCTACTACCTTCCCAATTGTTCGCTCCTATAACAGTGGCTGCAACTGTCCCCATTATCCCAGCACAGCTTTTTATGTTCGCTTTTATAAAAATGTATCCATGTAATAAATAATATGCAAATATTATATGTTATTCGCAGTTTATTGTATCACGCTATGTCTATGGTGCATCGATTTTAGCACGTTTCAATTTTTGTTAGTTATCATTTGACATTTTTATTACACAGTTCAAACCTAAATACCTTAAAATAATTACTCTAAGGTTCACACGTACGAAAAACATAAAGATTGTATGGTAAAATAAATATGGTATTAATTTGTATTTCAATTGTAGCATTATTCATTTTTGTATATTGCATACCTAGATACACATTTTAATATTTTAAAATATTGTTTTTATTTTTACTTGCCTATCGTGACTCAATCTTCGATTATTTATGAATAATTGTAATTATGAATGCTAGTGCTACACAAACAGGAGCAGCCAATTCTTCGTCGCTATCCATTTCATTTCAAAAATAAATTCACCTACGTAAGTAGGTACTACAAACATAAGCAAATAATTTAGGTATTGCTATCATAGAGTAATACTATAATTGTTAAGTATATTTTTATCAATAATAATAAAACAGTGATGCCATGAGCTTAAAAATGCAATTCACGTCGTGAAACGAATAAAAATCGTTAAAAATGTTCAGTACTGTCCCGACCCACGAGCTTTGAACCGAAAAACGGGAAAAAACTATTCCCAAATACTATAGATAGGAATGAGGTAAGTTCTATAGAAATAACGATGTTGTAGCGACGGATCCAGGGGCGGGCAACGGTGTCATTTGCCTGTGCCAAAAAAAAAAAAAATGAACTTTGAATCAGCCCCTGCGACATGATGCTTTAAAATCTTGATGGTCGTCTGTACAATCTCTTAAATCTTACCATGAGAAATAAATACATCGTTTTAAGGGGTAAGTATAGGCAACCAGTAGCGAAATTGACAATAGTGTTCCCGCAAAATACGAGCTTCCCGTACATAAATTATAATCATTTATAGATAGTAGTATTTGCTATTCAATATTATATTATATTATAACTGTGATTGAGTGTTTACTAATTTCAGTATGCTACTAGATAACAGAAAACCTTTTTTTAGAAAACCACGGCTGGAGACGGCTGTCAAAAATATAAATAGGAAATCTGCGATCAAAAACGTCAATCGCATAACGACATAATGTCATGGCAACTAACGATGCCGATCTAGTATGCTAAAGCTTAAGCGGCCCTATTTAATTGTTCAGTGTCCGAAATTCGTCTGTAAAGACCAATTTGTATTACCAGAATAAACCAATGTGGTTTTCAGAAATTCGTTGGATCAAATAAATTCAGATTTGAAGCTGTGGTTCAGCTCTTGTTTTTAACTGTCGTGACAAGGTGATCCAAAGTTTCCGTTTATAAAGTTTATATAGTTACTCTGTACATTCTCTTTAATTTATCAGCTATGGTATCTTTCCTATTAATTTTATCAATTTTTGTGAGAATCAATAAAATATTTGACAAGTTATGTGTTGTAAAATAAGGGGGGTCGGTTTAAACTATTAGTGACTCGAAATTCTAGATAAACCGGTGTTAATTAAAAACGAATCAAGAATGTCAATAGTGATTTCGTATTATTGTTCAACAAACGTATTTATACAAATTTTGAACTATCGAATTTTTTGCTTATCTTCTAAGACTGAACAAAATACATAAACACAATAACAATAATAATCTCCGTTGTTTTTGTTTTCGTTGTGACGGCCGCCGCGGTGGTTCAGTTGGTAGCACTGTCTATCGGCTGTGTTCGTTCCACCACTTCGTGTACGCGCGCGCTACTAGTGAGTTGGTGAACGGAACGTCGGAACGCGTTACGAAGAGCATTTTTATTTTTTCTTCCTCGTACGATATACATATATATTTTTTTTCATATTCAAAATGGCCGTGTGTCCACTATTTGTTTAGTTCGGTGTCCGCGAAATGTTGTCTTATTTCGTCGCTGATAAAATTGATTCCCGTACGTTTGTTCAGCGTGCCCCGTTTGCTTTTGAGCGTATTATTATTATTCGCGCTTATCCTGTTCATTCCACAGAACACTAGGTCGTATTGCCGTGCCACCACCGCTGCCGTCACTGGATTTTGGTAAATTGATTGAATTGTTTTTGTTTCGATATTCTACTTTTGACTGGGTGCGTCCAGGCCGTTGGCGTAGTATTTTTCAAATAAATACTACTCAATAAACCTTTGAGTAAATCGTTTGACTAACATAGAATTTCGGCTATAGCCAACTAGGTACCATTTGACATCCATCCGCAGCCAATGGTCATCTAGGTGTCTTAAAATTCGTTTATTCAATTAAACATACTTTCAAAATGACTGTTGACCCATGTTTGACGCAATGACTGATACCAAACGACGAGTGAAGTTGTACGCCCTGAACGCTGATCGTCAGTGGGACGATCGTGGTACGGGGCATGTGTCGTGCACTTACGCTGAACGACTCAAAGGTGTTTCTCTTTTAGTTCGAGCTGAAGCTGATGGTGAGTACTGTAATACCTATTTTATTACTTAATAGCAATGATATTGGCCAACATTTATTTAATATAATTTATTGTGTCTACAACTATATTGGGTACAAATTACTATCTAATTTATTGAATAATATTATGTTCTTATGTGTATTAGGTATCTATGCAAACCATAATTTTCTGGACAATTGTTATTACCTACATACAAATAATCAGTGAATATTGAAATAAATAGATAGATAACTAAATTTACATATAGAATGTATTACCTTGGGTATGTAAGTTGTTGAGCTAATAATTTTCTGGGGAAAAATATCTACCAATATTTATGTTTATTAAAATACAAATTGTTTTTTTTTATTAAGAAATGTAGAGTATTTTTGATAATTTGAATTTAGTATTGTGGTTATAATTATTAGGTTCTTATATAAGTACTTAAACTTATTAAAACTCTTATTTGATGATGATTTCTACTTTTATTTATTTATTTCGTATGGCTGGAATACAAATCAACACAGTTAAGGCCACAATATATATCGAATTTAAATCATGATTTATATTATGATTTCTACTAAAATGTGGAGACATGCTACTTTAAAATTATGCTTTTTAATTGGATTCTGGTTACACTGTTGAATTAAAAATAAAAAACACATGTAGGTAAAAGTCCAATATTTGACAGAAAAAAAAAATTGGAAATCAATTAAGAAAAATGTCTTGGGTTTTTATTACCATGACTTAAAAAGTAAATATACGTGTACATTTTTAACCAGCATTGAAAAACATTTTTAAAAATAAAAATTGTTTGGTTTGCAAACTAGGAATATTCCACATTTAATTAAAGAAACCAGTTAAAAAAAAATTACCTATTGAATATTCACTTATATTTGACTACTTTAAAATATTTTTATTTTTTTTAAATATCAGAATTTGCTTAAGGAGTTAGTTTAGTAATAAAGTTACAGCTATTTGAAGTTTATCGTTTTTAAATGTTTCCTTAAACAGCCAATACATCTATATTTTCTTGTATTTCACTGTGGCGCAATAGATACTATATTCCAATTTAGTATGTATGGTGAATGTTTGATATTCACAAGTCTACAAAAGATGTACACCCTTTTTTTCAGGTTAATCTTCATTTAGGTCTATATGTGTTAAACATTTTGTTTTTACCCTGAGACTTACTAAACTAATTTTCTAGTTTTATTATTTTTTCCTCCATTGCTTCTCTGGCATTGTTTTACACAGGGATATTTTGGCTTAAAATGGTCTGAGTGAAAAAGTGTCTCTAGGACCCAGAATGCATTTGTCTTTTACTGTTACCTTTCGGTCGTGGTTTTGTATAACAAATCAAGCGATATTCTTATTTAAAATATGACAAATTGTCTTAGATTTGTAGATTTTGAACCTTATACCAAAATTTCTATGTATAACACATTATCCATTACACTTCAGTCAAATGCAGAAGGATTGTACGAAAATAGCTATTTAATCAAAACTGTATTAACAATAAACATAAAATGACTATAATTTTTAATCAAACATTTTGATGAAATTCCAATTACATTATTGTTCTCAACATACAAAATTGTATTTGTTTTGCAAAAAAAAAATTTTAAAACTAGGAGCTGGTAAAGTAGTTTTGAAGTGTGGCTCTTTGAGTAAAAAACCCTAAGAATATAGAGAAATGCTATAGGTGATTATTATTCTTATTCATTAGAATAGTGCTCTAATAAACCTTTAAACAGTCAGAATTTTGATATTTTGATTTTTTAACCTTTTTCAACGACATGGCTTTTGGGTTGGTAACAAATAAAAGTGTTAAAATTTCGTATATTTTTGTGGAAAATTGAAATGTTAATTCTAACTGAAGAATTTTGATAAGTAATGAAGAGGAATCGAAAATAATGTATGATTTTTTGTTAAGTAATTTGACTCCCAGAGGCAGACTTTCTGAAAAGATCAAATTTCTCCAAGATCGCAAACGTACACTTTTAAACCTGTCATATCTTTGCGGGAAATGAGAAAATTCATTCACCAAATATTGGCAATATCATAAATACATTTTGATGTTCTATATCAAATAGGTCATCTAAAGAGTTAAAAAATTCAAGTCTCTTAAGTCTAAAGTTTTTGATGATTTTATTTATATTTTTTCCATACATTATAAAACTTATTAGGTTTTAATTTACATTTATAAAAGGTCTTTTAAAAGGAATTTTTGCTTTTTTATAAGAATATTACAATATATACTTCGATAATTAATTATGCCCTTTTATAATAAGCAAGTTTAACAACAGGCATATTGTTAAACAAACACAGAATTAAACACCATTTGATGTTAACTTACTGTCTTATTCAATATTTTAAATGTCTTACAAGATAGATATTTTGATGAAACAATAACATTTTAATCAAATTAAAACAATTATACAATATAGATTACAAATGTGATAACCACAGGCTGCTAGTTGATATACATTTTAGTTTGATTAATTCACGATTGGGTTATTTTGTTATTATCATACTATTACAACAATAATCTTAATTTGAATCAAAAACCTAAGAAAGCTAATCAACTTATCATTTATTTTGATTATTTTATTATATGTATTTTAGATTACCTACATGTTTATAATTTAACATGAATGCTAATTAGAATTTCACAAAAAATGGTTTTACTTTTATTTACAAAAAATTATAATTATAATTTTTTTTAGGAAATACATATTAACTTTATTTTTAACTGTAGAATTTTAGTAGATAATCACGAAGAACTAATTATCCAGCAATTTTTCAATAATTTATGAGAATGGTATAATAGTCTTGCTTTAGCATGGAAGGATAACTTGTGGAAAAAGTATAAAGAGATCATTTCACATCAGAGACACATTTCTGGCTGACACTCTTTAAAATTTAATAAACTATATTTTTTTTCATAATAATTTTTTAAAATAATGGGCACCCTAATACATAGGTACCTTACTTATATAGAACCAAAAAAATGATTGTGATAAATTTTAAAAAATGAAAAGATAAACAAATACACCTAAATAGTAATTATTTTATAGGCCATTTTGTACTTAAATAAAATTACAAATAAGCCTCGGTACTCTATAATTTAACATAACCTTACATAAGACATGAACTATTATAATATTGTAATTTTTTGCAAAAGTAAATAAATAAGTGCAATCAGTAAATTTTAAAATTTAAAAATATTTTTTTTTTAGGTGTACTTTTATTAGAGTCAAAAATTCAAAATGATACAGTCTACCAAAAACAACAAGTTAGTTAATTTTAAATATTAGTTTAAAACAATTAATTTTACATCTTTATAAATATAATCTATAAATATCTTTTAATTATAGGATACATTAATTGTTTGGTCTGAAGCTGATAATTTTGACTTGGCATTAAGTTTTCAAGAAAAAGCAGGTTGTGAAGAAATATGGGAGAAAATTTGTAGCGTTCAAGGTAAAGATCCAACAATTGAGACTACTCAAGATATTGTTGAAGAGTCTGAAGATGAACGGTTTGATGATTTGTCAGATTCTGCTCCTCCTGTAGAATTACCACCATGTGAAATTGGCAGACTTAAAGAAATTAAAGATGTAATTTAAACATTAAATTATAAGAAAATTTTTAAAAATTAACTATTAACGTAAATCTTATTGTTTATAGATTTTTATCACTTGTATGGCTACACCTTTAAATAAAGATAGGTTAGCTGAAGCTATTGAAAATGATGGCTATGTACGCAAGTTGGTAAAATTATTCAATTTATGTGAGGATCTAAATAATTTGGAAGGTCTTCATTCTTTATATGATATTGTCAAAAACATTTTTCTCATTAATAAAAATGCCTTGTTTGAAATGCTTTTTGCTGGTAATTTTGTTAAATTGAATAAAATTGTAATACTTATAGTTTTATACTGATACTACAATTTTTGTTTTAGATGATATTATATTTGATGTCATTGGCTGTTTAGAATATGATCCAACTCAACCTATTCGTAAATACCATAGACACCATTTAAAAAATGTTTCTAAGTAATTTTTTTTTTTTTTAACAAGATATGTTTTGAAATAAAGTTCATTTTTTCGTTTTTTTTAATTTTAGATTTAAAGAAGTCATTTTGATAACTAATCCTGAGTTATTGAACAAAATACATCAAACTCATAGAGTGCAGTACATACAAGATGTAGTTCTTCCAACACCATCTGTATTTGAAGATAATATGTTATCTGCATTAAGTAGTTTTATATTTTTTAACAAAGTGGAAATTGTCACTTTAATTCAAGTAAGTTAATTATTTAAATGTTTTAAATTAATAACAGTTCTATACCTTTTTTATTATATAAATTTTCAAATAATTATAGGAAGACGAAAAATTTTTGCCTGATTTATTAAGTCAACTGCAAGATGAAAACACACCAGACTCCAGGAAACTAGAACTAGTACAGTTCCTTAAGGAATTCTGTAACTTTTCACAAAATTTACAGCCCCCACAGAAAGAAGGGTTCTTTAGGGTAGATAATAATATGTTTAATTATTACTATTTTGTATAACTATATCTATTTTACTTTGTAGACTCTAACATCTCTAGGTATATTACCTATGCTTGAGATGACTTTAATGTCAGAAGATGTGAATATAAAACAGGCTGCCATTGATATATTAACTATTCTTGTCGAATTCTCACCTTCTGTTATACGAGAATACATTCTTCAGCAATCTACTGATACCGGTAATATATGAAATAAAATTATTGATTTTTTAGCTCAAGGTTGATAAATATTACTGTCAAACTAAATTGCAAAGAATATTTCATTATAATTAAGTACACCTTGCAGTTCTTTGTATATTTATATTTACTTAAATATTGGTATATGAATAAGCCTACTAATTATCATATTAATCTAATTCCTGTTCCTCAGAAATTCAGACAATTTATTATCTTTTGTAATTTGTTTTGAAAAAATAAAAAAAATAAATAGATTATATTAATAAATTCAACTTCGATATTTTATATAATAACAAAAGTATTGTTTTCCTAATAAATAAGAAAATGAAAAAACAAAATCTGAATATAAATTATTAAAGATCACAGGGTAATTGGCCATTCCAAAATTCTTGAAACATTATACAGCTTTGATTTATATGGAATTATAGTAACCTAAATTTAATATATATATACAATTTTTTTTATGGGTTGCTTTAAACAGATAATGAAAAATTACATTATGTGTATAAATTTAAAAAAAGGGTAATTTGATAAAAGATAAAATATTGTGTGTAAATAATTTGAATTTTATAGATATTTGTGATATCTTAAATATCGGGGTTTAGAATAGAAAATAATCAAAAAACATTAATTAATTAAATTATTAACATAAAATACATAAATATGAAATATTAAAAAGATATCTAAAAGGATAATGGGGACAGGTGCAGCTACTGTTATAGATAATTTAATGTATACCTGTAAGCAACAATAAACCATTGCTAACTAAAAAAAGATTTCAGTTGATAATGATGCTTTGTCAAAAATATGTAGTCATTTCATAGTAAAATAATTAAGTAGGCGTTATATATTTTCTTTAATAATATTTATTTAATGTAGTATAGATTTTCCCAGTTTTTTATACTATGATGTATGAATGGTTAAACATATTATAATAAAAAATTAATCCTTATCATTTTCATCTTCCTAAACAATGGATGAAACATTTTTATTGCCCTAAATTTTTCATTTTTTCAAATTGACTGAATACAAGTATTGCTGTCACTATAGATACCAGCTCCTGATATAATCTTTTCATTATATACTATATGATTATATTTTGAATGTTGCTAATTAAATATATACATTTTTTTGTTAAGTGACCCAAGCAAATGGAAGTGAAGTAGAATTGATGCTTATGAATGTGATCATCGAACAGATGATATGCGATACTGATCCTGATCTCGGACGTGCTGTCCAGTTAATGGGGGTTATACGGGTATTAATTGATCCTGAAAATATGTTGCCTTCATTAAGCAAAGTAGAAAAAATTGACTTTCTCAATTATTTTTACAAACACAATGTTCATATACTTATAGGTATGTTCAAATTGATAAACTATAAGAATATTAACTTATTTATAAATTACAATTTTTCTTATATTTAGCACCTCTAATGTCAAACACAGAGGACGGTGAACCAGCTCGAGATGATTACCAAAGTGCACAGTTATTAGCACATATTTTAGAGTTGCTTACTTTTTGTGTAGAACATCACTCATATCATATAAAGACATGCATACTGAACAAAGATTTATTAAAACGTGTATTGATACTAATGAAGTCCGCTCATAAGTTTTTAGTTTTGGGAGCATTGCGATTCATGAGAAAGATTGTTGCACTTAAAGACGAGTTTTATAATCGTTATATTATGAAGGGATGTTTATTTGGTCCTGTTATTGATTGTTTACTTGATAATAATGGCCGGTACAATTTACTTGATTCAGCAATTATTGAATTGTTTGAATTTATTAAACTGGAAGATATAAAGATTTTGATAGCACATGTTGTTGAAAACTATGGTAAAAAAATTGAACATATTGATTACGTACAAACATTCAAAGCCCTTAGATTACGGCATAATCAACAAGCAGATAAAATAAAAGATAAACCAATCACCAAGTATATTTAAATACATTTTTATTTCAGAACATAATGAAATTAAATTTTTGTTATATTTCTTAGTTGTAGTGTGACTGTATCCACTGGGCGCTTTAGGCGGGATCCGAGACAAATTGAAGATGAAGAAGAAATATGGTTCAACAATGAAGATGATGAATTTGATGATAGTGAAGCAGTAGTCCCTCATACAGGGATGACAGGTTCTACAGAAATTACAGCCTCTGAACAATTAGACTCTATAGGTAATTTTTGAGAAAAATACATATTTGGTTATTTGAAGTTAAATTTATAATTGGATGATATGTTTTTAAAATAGGTAAAAGTATTGATAAGAAATGTGAAAGTAGCAGCACAAAAATTTTTGGTACAACTGTTAAAATCTCTACCCCAGTGACAAATAATAATTTGACAGTTGCTCCAACGTTAAGTTCACTGCCAGAAGAGTCTAAAAATAGTTCTCTTTTGAAAAAAGTAAGTAATTTTAAGTTTGTATAAATTATGTGAATTCTCAATCCTAAATAATGGATTATATATTTCATTAGGATTATTCTGATTTATTAATATTATATTTATTCATATTCATTTTTAGCAACCTTTACAATGTATTACAATTAAAAATATTTGTCTAGGCTTTAGTTGATTATGAAGGTGATTCAGATGAAGAAGAAGATGAAAATGGAGATTTGAAATCGCCAACCAAGAGGCCACGTTATACATAAGATGTTTGTACATTTTCTAATAACTAAGTTTTGTTTAATAATTTACTAGTTTTGTTATACAAAACAAGCGTCTACACATACATAATTTTAAGTTTTAGATTAAATGACATCACCCTTATGTAAATAATAATCATGCTAAGTATGAATATGCCTTATAGTTGTTTTCTTGAATAATGTGTAAAGCTAGGTAAATGTTGCTTTTGAACATTTTTATTTTCATTTTTTACCCAATACTAAAAATCTTGTATATTTGACTATCCTTTGGACTGTTTTGTCAGTACTTAATGATAATTATTGTAATATTATAATAACAAAAAAAAATTATAACAAAACATGTACCTGGTTTGTATTTCTCAAAAGAAATAATTGAACATCAGTTCACTATTTAATCTGTGCAAGTAAGACCAATTGGATACTTTAATTTAATTTTTTATTTTTGCAAATTTAAAGTGGTCTTTTAAGTTGATTCAAATTTTGTTGTGATATTATAATTTGAACTTTTTTTTTTATGTATACATGTTACAGACTACAACTGTAATTTGATTTCATACAAACCTTAGAGCTTTGTGTAGATATTTTCAAGTTAATGGTGTATATTTAAAAGGAACATTATACAATATTAATTTTTACCTAGAGTTTACCTATTTTTTTATTATAATATTCAACAATTAAAATATAATTATTTTTTCAAAATGTATAAAATTAATAGATAGAAGATATTATAATTTGAAGTTAAGTGTTGTTTCATAGTGTTTTTCCCCCTAAACCAAAAAATATAAATAAGGATAACATTTTGTGTTTTAGTTTAACTGTTTGTACTATTTTGAAAGACTGAAAAATGTCCTGAAACTTAAATATGGGGGAAATATTGGAGATATTTCTTAACATTGAAATTTAAGAATCAATATTTAAAACCAATTTTTGTTTAGTAAATTTGGATCCTATTATACATTTTTTCTAGTTTATAAAAAGATCAATTATTTATTGTATGCCAGTTAAATATTGTGAGTTTTAAAGTTCATCAGGAAATACAATACAAATATTTGCTAGTTTTTCTTAATTATTTTCATTTGTTTCTTATATAAAATAAAGAATTATTTTTGTTTAGAATTAAACATATTTTTATTCCCATGGGTTATTGGAAAGTAAATGATAAACGAGTAAACGGATATGGTATTTTCAGTATTTTGTTTTTTGAATCTACTTTTGAAAAGTCTTATCACTTAATTATGTGGTAGCTTAGCAAACTTTGATTTTTATTTGACTGAAGAATATCTACTTAAAATATAATATAATTTGTTTAATAAAAACCAAACTTTCTTGAAAATATATGTAATGAAATCATTTGACAATTTATGTTACTTGTATGTTATTTGATTTAATTTGTAGTACCCTAATGGTATGAAGTAAATCATTTGCGTATGACATAATATTATATTACTAAAATGTTTTTTATTTTTATGTACCTATTACATAATAATTTAATTTATACATTCCGTTTTATTTTTGCCATTAAATTTTTTTTTTATTTAAACCACAAATGAATTCTTTCTAAATAATTATACAACCACTATATATTTATAATTTGTTGAAATTTTTTTATTCATGCAATATCGGTGTGTTCAAAATACAATTTCAACTTAGGTAAGTGTTGTGATTTTTGAGAAATAATATTTTGATACTGGCTCACTGTTGCGATTATACTTGTGCTTTTATTATACAACTTCTTTTTTACTTTGTACTCTTTTAGGTGTTAAGTACATTTTTTGCACTTAAAACCATATAGTTGTCATTCAGTTCTATATTTAAACATTTGTCATGAGAGAGAATACACTCTAACTGCCATATTCTCAATACAGTCATACTATAGTAGAAATTCAACAGTTTTTGAAGTTCATAATTATAGTGATAGATTTAACTGCTGATTATAAATACTAGTATGTATTTAAAATCTGTTGTAGAACTTATACCCACTGTATAACTTAAAATTTTATTTTATTTTCTTTAAACTTAGCTTGTTGACGACTTCGTCTGATGATATTTTCATATTTCGATGACAGGACATTAAAGGAAAATAGTACAAAAATTCAATCTACATGGTCTACAATCTACCTATCTACTTATTAGTTACCACATATATAAATAACACTATACCATGTGAATTGTACAATTTATAATATAATTTTGTTGTCAAATTTAGCTATAGTATAATAATTCATAATAGTACACATTATTTTAAACTAATGTATTTTATTTGCTTCTATTAGCGATCCGAGTTAAATGAAGCGAAATTTAGGGGCTTGACAGTAATTGTTCATCTTTTTTTTTGGAACTGATATTTTTTGATTCCTCATTTATATGAAATTGTTAATCATAATAATATCAACAACTAACAATGTATATTAATATTAACAATTCATTAAATTTAAAAAGTTTTTGATTCTAGTTGCACTATTTGGCTTAATATAAAAAGCAATAAGATTAAACAAAATATAGTTAGGAATGTAGAATATATGTGATTTAATTTATATTTGAATGCAACAATAAACTATTGCTCACTAAATATGATTCTAAGCTAAGCCTGTAGTGTATTAGATAAATACAGCTGTATATCCGATATCTATTACCACCATACAGCACCAATATGGAATAAACGATAGGTAACTTAATATAATAATTATAAAAACAGTAATATAATGAATAATTACATATTATAATTCAGTATTAACTATACAGAGGTGGTTAAATGATTTTTGTAATATAAGATGAGTGATAAGGAAGATTTTAGATTCTGAGCATACTCAGGAATTGGTATTTTTTATTTTTTTTAATGTGTGAACAATTTTTCCACAAGAAAACTTGCTCCCCTGTATCAAGTATAGCCCACTTTCTGAGAAAATTTGATCCACTTGGTACTTTAAGGAGGTCGTTTTTTTTATTTTCTTAGCAGTTTTCATAATAATTTAGAAAATGTACGCACTTGTATAAAATAAACTTCACTCTGAATCGTTTTTCGTTAGCAATTTTTGATAGAATTAAATAAAACCCCTATATATCCTACCTTCCCAACTTATCTACAACAGTGGCTCACCCATGGTGCGATACATGTCCGTATCTTATTAAGAATATTATTTACATGAGATGCCTATAATATACCCCCTTAATATACTTTTACTATAAATATTTAATTTAAAGTTTAAACTAAGATTATTATGATAAAGATATTGCTCTACAGTTGAAGTAAAATTATGTTTACAATAATTCCAGGCGACGCACTGGGGTAAATGACATCAAAAGCTGGCATAAATTGTGTTTATCAAATTGAACCTTCTTATCATATTATTATATGACGTAACCGGTTTCGTGCATGTAGTGCAACCTTATAAAATTATTAAGAAACAGCTTCACAACATAAGTTCATCGCGAATCATATAGTTAAACAAGCAGCATAACTTATTAATTTTACTTTTTTTTATCTATTACTTCGGAATATTATTATGTTCCCAATTCATCATGGAATCATTAGCAACAGGTCAGTTACGTTAAATTTTTTTTTAAACTTTTTACCTGAAATTAACATTTTAAATATACGTGTTGAGTTATATAAATAATTTCATAATAATGATTTAAAGTGTATGTTAACTTCTAAATCCGTTCAAGTCTTTATATTTGCACAATATATTTGGTTAGTTTAGTATTCGTTCACCTTGACATAAAAATATTGCCCTCTTTTGTGTAAACAGCTTCTGACTGCTTTAACGCATACATACTTAATAATTTTATAGAAAAAAACTATTTTGCTTTACCTTATTTTTTTCCGTGGGAGGGGGGGCTAGAGTAGCACAACTCATCGTAAGCATTTAAGGCTGAAATCATGAACACCATGAGAGTGGTGGTATGCATTATTAACACGCCGCGCGCCATACCGCTACACACAGTGGCGTAACAATAGGGTGGAATGACGGGAAAAGAGCTACGGACCCAAATCCGTGATCAAGATACGCTGATGACTATTTTTTTTCCACTTGGCCCCCAATTTGGTTATTCAACAATATTTTGCCATACGGACATTAGCAATTCTAGTTACACCACTGGCCATACAAATGTTACTCCACTATTCTCTTCCAATCAAAACTTAAAAGTGGAATATCTCGTCAATGGATTGACGGAAATCAAAAATGTCGACACTAAAATGTATTTTAAATATTAATATAAACAGATGTGATAAATAGTTGTTTATAATATAAACATTTATTTATGGAATTTTTAATATAGGTTGCCATTTGAAAATCAAAAGTAAATTGTAGTTTTACCCCTATAAAATAAAAGTGACGAAAAATGACATAAATTTAAAATTGTAGAGCAGCTTTTTTCTTATAAGTTTTAGAAAAAAAATTCCGGAAACAGTTGATACTTCGCGAGATAATGAGTGTCTTATGATAGATTGACCACTCGGTATATTATTTAATATTGGCAATGACAACAATATTTAAATTATCTTAAGACTAAAATTTTTTTTTAGAAAATTAACGATTCGTCATTAGTAAATAATATTTGTAACTTCAAAATTTTGTTTCAAAATATATTCATAAAATGACTATTGTTAATTTTTTAATTAAAAAAAAAAAACATAAAATAGAAGAATTAAAGTGCGAAATAACATACAGGAAATTACTAATTACAGGAAAAAAAAAAGACTTAAAAATATTGAACAGAACAAAAGTTACTTCAGGTGTCGGATCTTCGTGTTGCAGCCTGTATGTATCTATATACAGGGTGATTAATCTATCATAAAACACTTTATCTCGGAAAAAGGTACTTTTTTCGAAATTTGTTTTATAGACAATTTTAGAAACAAGCAGCTCTGCAGTTTTATATTCATGTTATTTTTTACTACGCTAATGTTTGGGAGTGAAACGACTATTTACTTTTGATTTTCAAATGGCTCTCCCCAGACCCAACTTAAAAGTGGAATATATCGTCAACGGATTGACGGAAATTAAAAATTTAAGTACCACAATTTATTTTAACTACTTCTCCATATATTAATGGAATTTTTAATGTAGGTTGCCAATTGAAAACCAAAATTAGGTAGTCGTTTCATCCCCAAAAGTTGGGGTGACAAAAAATTATGTAAATGTTAAATTTTAGAACAACTTGTTTCTTAAATGTTTTTTAAAACAAATTTCGAAAAAAATAATACATCCCGAGATAAAGAGTGTCTTATGGTAAATCGATCACTCTGTATACCAGGTATAATTATTTCGTCCCTAATATTATAATATAGGTACTATAATATAAATATGATTGTGGAATTTGATCGCAGCTTCGGCTATAAGCCTATATATATATCAGCTACATGATATATCTAATATTTTGTGAACCGTAATTATATATGTATGCGCCCCATCCGGATATTTATCTCCCGCGGGTGTCGATCCACGATCCATGTATAGGTACCGAGTATACCCTTTTTTGGACCTGTAGCGTCGATTAGAGAGGTTAACCAGATGTTATTTAATACCTATGCAATTTTAATAATGTACCTTCGATGGACTTTTTCCCGCAGTCAACGAACCTGCACGCCATTGGCGAATCTGCGAGAGTATAATAAGTTACATAGATATAATGCATGTACCAGTGGCGTAGCCAGGATTTATTAATAGAAGGGGGAGTCTATAACCTTCTTAACCTTACTTATAGCTAAATAGGAGGAGGTAAAAAAAAAAAACAAGTCTAAGTCACTGTGCGGTATCTATAGATCAGCGGTTTCCAACCTTTTTGAGATTATTACCCATAAATCAGATTAGATATTAACAAATACCCCTCCAACCCCCTCTCCCAAAAAAAAAAAAATTTAAAAAAAATTATTACTATCGTAATAGATACATGATTGATGCAGAGTTAATAATAATAGGTGTAAAGTACATAAAATAAAAAAAAAAATTAATTTGGTTGAGTAGTCTTTACCCCTCAAAAAGATTGTGTTTTACCCCTTGGGTACAAATTATATTTTATAAAAGAAGAAATTGACTATAAACGCACATCTAAAACAACGGGGTTTAGTAATTTGAAATATCGCGTAGAGGTTCCTTATATATAATCATAGTAAAACCCCTCCGAAAGGATTTTTCAAAGGTCGATTCCTAAAGGGTGGTTGCCACTGGGTTTTTGAAATTTTTAGAACGAAAATTTAATTAATTTTTTTTTTTATTTATGGAAAAGTTTAACGGTACAGATGAAAGCATAGTTATAAATAGGTAATTAATTGACATACAGTTATTTAAGGAAAAATAGCGTGACAATTGTTCGATTAGTAAAATTAATTTACCATTAACTAACATTCAATTATGGGATTATAGAGTATCATCACATGAACGCAACTATGACTAATAGTATATATAGTACAAGTTGCGTTCTGCTGATTTGTTCTGTTAACTATAAGGCCATAAAACTGTGTTATATGATAAACACCAAACAAAAGCTATAATATGTATATTTCATTATATAGGTAGGATGTATAGCATTGGTACTTACTCAATACGGTGAATCCAGATTAGTCTGGCCGTGGTGGTATTAGATGATAACGATAATCGTATCAGAAAAGTGCCAGAAATATTGCTCCAATAGAAAAAAAACAAAGGGATCTTTCGTGTTGAATATTTTTGGTTTTAGTTTGGGTATATTAAAATAGTATAGGTATTTGACTACGAGAGCGATCTGCAGTCGTTCGCGCGAAACACCGCGGCTAAACAAAGAACGGCTATTATCAACCGTGAATATTCATTATTCACTTTCTCTGACTGTCGTGTATATATCAGATGTGATTATTAGTAAATGTGATTGGTTCTGTATTGACATGTTACCGTGATCATCGAGATTTCCATTTCCGAGGTATCGTTTTTCGTTTACTCGGAGCAAATATTTAAAAAGCAAATACGAGTAAATATAACATGTGCTCGTATTCGTTTTTATATTTAATAATAATATTAAAAAAATATATTTGTTTTATATTGAATTGTATCGAAAAAAACATTTCGAATTTTCTCCGACAATAAAGACTATTGCACTTTATTAGATCTGTAGTGTTTGGAAATTTTATAAAATGTTAATTTTGATATATTTACGGCGTTATGATTTCTTTATTTTAAATTTGTACGG